TCCTGCTAAAATAGTTATCATAAGATTAAAGATTATCACCGACCTATGATATGTCCAAAGTTTTTAAACTAATCGGAGGGGAAAAGGCCCAAATGCATAAGGTTTCAGATATTGATGCTTTAAAGACTGGCTCTGTTCATTTGGCTGAAACTCTAACTTTGGCCTTGAAATATAAGGAGTAATAATAATAATAATAATAATGTCAACTAATAAAGCGCACATATCCATTCTAAAAAACTGTTCAAGGTGGTTTTGTACAACATCAAAATAATTATACAATATTAAAACTACGACATAACCAAATGGTGCTTAAGTTTCTTCTTAAATATTTCAATTGATGATGATTGTCTTATTTGTAATGGTAAAGTGTTCAATAATTTGGGTGCAACGTTAACAAAAGCCTGTCCCCCCCCCCCCCCATTTGTTATTGGTTTTGGGTGTACATAAATGGAGCTGTGGACCTGAACGTAAATTCCGTTGTGGGGTGTACGGTTTCAACATCTGATACAAGTAACGGGGTAAAGAATGAAGAAGTGTTTTGTAATTCAATTCAATTCCATTTCGGTTTTTTACAAATATACCAAATAAAAAGTCCAAAGACTAACAATAATTGGCTCACAGTGTATCATATAAAAATGCATAAAAACAGCAGATTTAAAAATTCAGTAATAAGTTAAAGTACATCGCTCACATTGTATCATATAAAAATGCATTAAAATGAACAGTTGATTAATGAGTAACAGCTTATACATAATACTTTTTGAGACTGATAACCAATACAGAGATTTCAATATATCTCAAATACTGTCTGATCTACTGCGGAGAGTGACGAGCCTAGCTGCCATTTTCTGAACTCGTTGCAGACGGGCTATTTGATTTTGAGGACGGCCAATATACAGTGAGTTACACATATCCAAACGACATGTAATAAAAGAATGAGCAATCTGCTCAGCGGCTATCTGATTCAGATATTTTCTGATCCTCCAAATATTGTGAATATGGACTAGCAACATTTTGAAATCTGAGATCAAAAGCGCCTTCTTTCTGTGTAATACCGTCCACAGTTTTTATTTTGAAAGGAGAATATTTTGTCAACAATTGTTGTAGTGAAGGTGAAGAATCTCAGGTACCGCTCCATCACGGTTTTGGAAAAATTTCTTCTCCTTGCTCTAAATCGAAATCAAAAAAAGTATATAGCTTAAAATGAACCATTGAGAAAATATATATGTAGGGTCACTAAAACTTAGTTCCGTATTATCGCATTATTCGCATATAAATTTGCTCGAGACTGTTATATATCATTCATATTCTCAAACTACTCGGGATACAAATGAGCTGAGAAATCCTTCTGTTCAGAAATCGAAACTTACTATAACATCTTTCCATCCTACATCATAGTCTGGGGAAAATGGCTTTGATAATATCGGCCGATATGTGCAAATATAGAGCCGTTCAAAAAGGATGTACACTACACATCATGTGTATCGTATTTGTATATTGTTCATATAAATTGACTCTGGCCATATTTGAGTAGAATTTGAACTATAAATTAAATCCAAATACTTCCGTTTTTAAAAGCAAACACTTAACCATCCCTCAGTGATCGTAATACAAGATTGTGATCTACATCGATCATGTGTTGGGGGGGGGGGGTCAGTTACAGTATGTGTACTATTAACCTTGAAAGAAAAAATGTATAATGCTTGAAGGGACAAAATCTCGGTCCTTTTCAATTTATACACAGTTAATTTCCTATTCAGAAGTATCTCGATCGCGAGAGAAATGCTTGTTAAGTGTGAGATGTCTGTTTGCTTGCTGCTAGTGTCGGTGATTCGGGGGTGTTCCCATTTTTATTTGTTTAAATTTTATCGGTGTATTCATGGGAATGATTATACTTCTTTCCCAGGTGCTACACTGCCTCGCATTAAATATAAACATCGTAAACATTGCAAATCATAAGTCCGTGATCATCACAGACTTGAACCAGTGTATTACAATCGGTAGAGATTTGTTTAAATATCCCATAGGACTTACTACTGATGTAGGTTATGCAATCAAAAAGGGTAGGGGACGCACCACTTTAAATTATAATTGGTAAACCAGTAGCCCCTACAAGAATATCAGGAAAATAGCAAAATTAGTCAAAATAACAATTCGACGTGTGCTGTTATCACCTTAAACAGCTCTGTAGTATTAAAAAATGAAAAATACATGTAATATTATGAAGGAAAATTACAGACTGCAAATCTTTTTTTTCTTCTTCTTTCTGTTATTTTGTTAGGGGGCATAACAAAAAACGTTGTGCGATTAAGGGGGTTGGGATCTGCGGCAATGTTTGGGTAACAATTACCTCGTATTTGAGCAGCGAGGTGGTCTGTTTGTAAGTTTTGTTTCTCATATACTATATTTTCCATTTTTTTTAAATTTGCTTACATTTTCTTCTAAAGGTGTCCCACGATTGTATATTATGATTTTCAAATTATCAAGATATTGTGCATTTTTAATGTTAATGGTAATAAATATCCTATGTGTGATATTGAAGGAATGTTCCTATCTCAATTTAGATGATTCTAGTGAATGCAAAGCCTCTGTCTTCTCAGGTAAGAGCATGAAACGAAATGCAACGTGTTCCACCCTGAAGGTCATACTTCAAAACATTGTTTAGTTAATGTGGTTTTTGAAAGCAGGTAGAAGTAATATGCGTTCGGCATTAATTAATAGTCAGTTCAGAGAATTGCAACAAATTTGTCAACAATATTTTTTTCCACCAATTTTAGGTTTTTTCAAGAATTTATTTATCACGGTTTCAATTATTCGTACTTTTTTCTTGTAAAGAACTCTGATCCCAGGCAATAATATTCGATTAAGCATAATATAGTCGCAGTCGAGTGGCTTAACAACATGACTGTTTTGGAAAGACGTTAATCTGCAATTGCCACTCTTCTCCCGAGTATTCAATGGGTACTGGTAGAAAGGAATTCCCCGAATGCTGTGAGCACCGAAATCGGTAGCCTATAGCTGTGGTATAGTCATGTATCTTGCTTGGTGGATCTGTGCAATACGCAATATTATTAAAATTATATTATCCGTTCGTATTTGTAACGTTAGTTTTCCAAAAGGGGCATGCCCTCACATGCGTTGCTTCTCAATCGGCCATCAATTGATTTAGATTTAGATTATTCGACAGTTATTGTATTGTTTAAGTGATTGCATATAGTACATATAAATTACTTGATGGTTTGAAATCCAAACTGCATGTGGAAAATGAAAATGGGTATAGACCGGGGTAATAATATATATATATCTGTAAAGCGCTTTGAGAGGGCCTTCGGTCCTGAAAAGCGCTATATAAGAACTAGCTATTATTATCATTCTGGTTCTAGATTTTACTCCGACAAAGCGGGATCCCGCATCACGTCAGAGGGCTGACCTGGGGGTTGACCTGGTGGAGTTATTTCCGATTGGTGTTTGTGAAAAAAATCGCAGATTCTTTTCTTATAAATGTCTATGTTTGGGGCGTCTAGGATGTCATGAGGCAGGTCGTTCCAATATTTAACAGTCCATGGGAAAAAGCTATTTGAGTAAATTGTTGTGTTGGTTCTAGGTCTCTGGAAGGATGATGGGTGTGTGCGTCTAAGTTGGCGAGATGGTCTGGTTAAGTAGGGGTTCCAGTCAACGTCTACGAGGTTTGAGTTGATTTTGTACATCATATTGAGTCAGGCAATCTTTCGTCTGGTCTCGAGGTCAGTCCACTGGAGAGAGGTTATCATGGCTGTCACGCTGGATTCTCTTGAGTAGTCGGTGAGGCACATTCTTGCAGCAGCTCTTTGGACCATGTCAAGCTGATGTTTTTCCTTTTGTGTGCTAGGGTACCATGCAGTCGTGCCGTACTCTAGTTTGGGTTTTACAAGTGTTAGATAAAGTCGTGATTTGACGTCAACAGTACATGCTTTAAAGTTGCGTCGGATGACTCCCAGTACCTTCTTAGAGCTCTTGGTGATGTTGTTAATGTGAGAGTTCCATTTTAGATCGCTGCTGAAGGTGATGCCCAGGTAGGGGTGGCTAGAAGTTACCTGTAGAGAGTTGTTACATAGTTTATAGGGGGTAATGTTTGGAGATTTCTTCGATGTGAAATGCATGGTAAAGCATTTGTCCATATTAAAAGCCATCTGCCAGTCGGAACCCCATTTGGAGAGGGCGTCAAGATCCTTTTGAAGGGTTTGGGGGTCCATTTCCGAATTTATTTCCCGGTAGATTAATGCATCGTCAGCGAATAAACGTATCTTGGTACCTTTGGAGATACAGTCAGGCATGTTGTTAATGTAGATTAAGAAGCACAGAGGGCCGATGACAGTTCCCTGGGGGACACTTGATGTAACCTCTGCGGCTGAAGACAGTTTCCCATCAAGTGTTACTCGTTGTTTTCTTTGTGTTAGAAAGGTTTTAATCCAGCCAAGTTCTTTTCCTCTTATCCCGTAGTGGTGGAGCTTCTTGAGAAGTCGTGTATGCGGAACGCGATCAAACGCTTTTGAGAAGTCCAATAGAACAGCATCGACTTGCATATTTATATCAAAGTATTTTGCGATGTCGCTGATTGTAGATACTAGTTGAGTATCACACCCCCTTCTTTTACGAAAGCCGTGTTGAGAGTCCACAAGAATATCAAGTTGATCTAGATGTGACATGATATTACTAGTAAGGATATGTTCAAAGATCTTACAGCAGATTGAGGTTAGTGCGATCGGTCTATAGTTGCCGGGTGAGTTTTTGTTGCCCTTTTTGAAGATAGGTGTGATGTGGGACATAAGCCAGTCAGACGGTAGATCACCTGAGTTAAGGCTTTGGTTAAAGATTGCTGATAAAATGGGAGCCAGCTCCTTGGCACACTCTTTGAGGAATCTAGCTGGCAATTGATCAGGTCCAGATGCTTTATTGGGTTTTAAGTCGGACAGAAGCTTTTTCACACCTTCTGGTGTGATTGTGATGGAAAGCATTTCCGGATGGGGATCTCCAGACATATCAGGGATATTTTCAAGGTCCTCTTGTGTATAGACTGATTTGAAGTAGCTATTCAAAATTTCAGCTTTTTCTTGGCTGACGTCAGTTGTATTCCCGTCGTTGGTAGACAATGGAGGGACACCTCCGTTGTCAATTCGTTTTGATTTAAAAATTTTCCAAAGTTGTTTAGTGTTTTGGTGCAAGTTTCCAGACATAGTGTTTTTAATATAGTCGCCTTGAGCATGTCGAAGCTCTTTTTTGTAGTTAGTTCTTTGGGCTTTGAAGGGTAGTTCGTCGCTTTCAGGTTGGGTCCTTTTTTGTTTGTTATACAGTTTCTGAAGTTTGCGTCTCATTCGTCTAATCCTGCCATTGAACCAGGGTAAGTTGTGTCTGCTTGAAGTCATCTTTGTGGGGATATGCTTGTTCATCAAAGTCGTAATGTGCTCAGTGAGGTTAATCCAATTTTCTTGAACAAATTTTTGGTTTAATTAGTTATCAATCATGGTTTTCCCAAAGGAAACTAAGCTTTCACGCACAGATATAAAATCTCCTTTTGTGTACTGGAAGATCTTTCGCTTCGGTGGGAGCTTTTACAGTGACGCAGGCAGGGCATAGCCATGCAAAGTCACCTTTTTCGGTGAGTTTAGTATACTCCTCGTTACTGATGTCGCTACAAATGGTGTGGGTCCACCTACCACAGCCGTCGCAGCTTAGCGCACGTTGGTTGTCACGAACCTCTTCATCGCACTGGGTGCAGGGAAATTTTATTTTATTTGTAGAATTTCTAGATCTAGTTCTAGACTTCGAAGGCCCTGGGTGGGGGTGCACGTCACCACAAAGTCCCAAAAGTGAAAGTAAATTGGCAGCAGTAGTTGAGTTTTTTCCAGGTTGAAAATTGATCAACATGGAGGAATATATGCCTCTGTTGGCAAGCTGTTGTTTTCTGAGCTTGCATGAAGAATACAGCAAGATAGCATTGTCAAATTGTTTACTGAATGAATTCACAACATTACTGACGACATTGCTAGCGTTGCCAGGAAAGATTGAATTTGATCCAGAAAAAAAATGGTTGGATCCTACCTTACTGTGGCGCAGAATCAATTCCTTGTTGTCATCTAAATCTAATTGATGATATTCCTGTTCAATCCACATAGAAAGCAAGAAGACGGCTAAGGTAGTTAGCGTACGTAGAGAATGCATGGTTGTAAAAAAAATGGCGGCCAGGCCAGGCGGCTATTTTTTAAAATTTTATTATAAAAATGTTAAAAATACATTGAAAAGTACGAAAATAACAACACAATTTGCTGACGGGCTGGCGAGCTTCTAGCGAAGCCTATGAAAGACCTCTGCCGTAAGTATAGCGTTGGAGAAAGATGGGCTCTCCGTCGCGTCGCTTGCCGGTGTGATGCACTGTGCCCAGTCGACTACGTAGATATACATGTACACGGGTGAAAGTTTTAGCTAAAAATATCCAATGTTAAAAATCACAAATTGTCGTAAAAAACATAAAACATCGAAGAAACACTATTGAAGATTCATATATATCGAGGATAGGTGCGGATGGTGAAAAATAACCGAAGATACAGGTGATTAAAAACAGCGAAGGCTCCGCAAAAAAATTCACGTCTACACCGTTCGGAAGGTCAGAGGTCGATCTTGCATTATTATTATTACAGTTAACAACTGCATTATTCATACCCCGTGTAATTTTCTTTTCTTTTCATAACTCAAAAATGAAAGGTGGATTGGTTGAATTAGGGTCTTTGTTATATATTTTTTGATGCAAGTGTTAATTATAATACTCATGGGCGAGACTCTTTTCATTTTTGGCCATAAAAGACAAAAATATATTTGAAATCTGTAAGAAACAATTCTCCTGTTGTTTGGAACTCTATTCCTCCTGAAATATCCTCATGCAAGTCTTTAACATTATTTTAAAAGAAACTAGAAGCCGCATCTTATATCTTAATATCATTGATTCTTTTACCAATATTCTTATTAAAAATATACAACATTACCTATAACTGTTTTCAAACTCATGATTTTGTAATGATTATTTCCATTTGTATAACCTGCCATGAATGATTTCCCTATCATGTTTTGTCATGTATGTTTCTTTTTTAGTGTCGTTTTCATATGTAAATCTGTTAACTATTGTTAGGGGAACTGTGCCTCCACAAGGCCATTTGGCCTTATTTTTTATTTCCCTATTTTCATTTTCTAATATATTGCAAAGGCTCACCATTGTTTATGTCTTTGTATTGTTTTTACTGAAAATGTAAATGAATAAAACGAATTGAATTGAATGTGTCACATTAAACATAGTTCGGACAAATCAATTATTTTCCTTCCTTAAAAATAGGGCAAAACTTGGAATAGGTTTGAATAATTAAAACAAAAATTCTCTCTTGGTGTTCTAGGTGAGGTTGTTCATATCACAGTGCTGACCGTGGGATACACCAATATAGATACATCTAACAATGTGCAGTATCAATGTTACCCCAGCGAACCAGATGCAGACGCTACACTATCATTTGGTCGATCAGCACCCATAACAACAGACAGATCACCACCAGCGGATGAGAGACACTCAACTAATCCATTGGTCAGAGATGTCACATTCCCTGCAGGAGACTGGGATAGTGATGGTTTTGGTCCTTTCTACTGTGAGGCTTCTAAACCTGATCGAGATGTTACAAGGGTTACTACATTTTTCCAACGTAGTGATGGTAAGATAGTTATTCCATTCATTATATCAATTTTAGGATTCCCTTATTTTTAAAGATTTCTTCTTCAAATGTAGACTATACATGATGCACTGTAACAGCAGAGATATTGAGCTATAAACTGTTGTGTTAAGTATCTTTGGATATAGTTCATTTATAATCCGCGTTGAAGATGTTGCGTAGAGTAGAGACTTTATACTGCAAGACGATTTACTAAGGAACAGAAGCGAGAGTGATTCAATAAAATGGCATCGCTTATGAATGGTTGAGAATGGCTATATTACAAAGGCTTAATGTTTCACATACAGTGTGAGTCAAAAAAAAGGTTTACACATAGAAAATTGTTAATTATTTTAAGAATCATGTATGAACTGTAAATTATTATACATCGTATGAAAGAGTGTTTTATACCAAATAAATAATTTGGTATCATTTTTGTGTGGTATGTGGTCATGCTTGGATGAACAGGAGAGTGTAAAAATGACTTAAAGTGATGCTAAAGTGATGCCTATGTGATGTTTGAATAAAAACAATTGGGATTTGGGTATTAATTCGGTCTTTGCAGATCCAAATAACATCCCTAACAAAATTAATCATGCCACACATATCAAAACACACAGAGAGTCACACTTAGTCAGTCACATACAAACGCACACACACGCATGCACACACACAGACACAATTCCGCGCACTCGCACACTCAGATAAATGAAAGATACCGTGTGAGTCATACAAAAGTTTACATTCAGAAAATTGTCCTTATTTCAAAAGTCAGCTATAAACGAAAGGTTATCATAAATTCTTTGAAAAAGTGTTATATCCCAAATCGTTTGGTATTATTTGTGTGTGGTATAGGTTCCCGCTTGGATGATCTAGGCATTGTTTGCGAGCGTGAACAAAAATCGACTTGCGCCAAAGTATTAAAGTAAGAGAATGAATTGAATGTATCAAATGAGATGCAAATGCATATGCTTTTTGTAGAAGCAAATTCACACACACACGCACACACACACGCGCACAAATGTTTTTTTGATATTAGATATTTTATATTTGATATGTGTGGCATGATTAGTTTTGTTAGGGATGTTATTTGGATCTGCAAAGACCGAATTAATACGCAAATCCTAATTGTTTCATTCAAACATCACATAAGCATTCCTGGTGCAAGTAGAATTTTGCACTCTCTTAAACATTGTTTCCTGTTCATCCAAGCGTGAACACATACCACATACAAATGATGCCGAATTATTTGGGATAAAACCCTCTTTCATAAGATGTATAATAATTTACTGTTTATAGATGATTTTAAAAATAATTAGCAATATTTTTTGGTGTTAACTTTTTTTTGGACTCACACTGTTATATAATGAGAATGAATCTTGAGATTCTAGAGTAGAATTCTGTTAGGCAATTTTAACCTCAATTACATAAAATAATTATCACAATTACGTTGATGCTGTTTATTTACATTCGACTAGTCAAAGGAAAGTTCAAACAGATTTTGAAATACACCATACTATTTTCTATGTTTTCATCTTGGAAATAATCTCAACTTGTTATTTTAAAATATCACAGTAAACTAGATCAATCAGGGGCGGCGATCCCGGGGGGGGGGGTGACGGGAAAATTTGAAAAAGCGCCCCCCCCCCCCCCCAAAAAAAAAAAAAAAAAAAAAAAAAAAAATGCAACACACTTTTAGGCTCTGAAGGGCCCAAGAGTGCAGCGTTAAGACTAATAAAAATAAAAAAATCTTCTCTCTCGGTCGCTACGCTTCCTCGCATAATATCCTTCAAAATCTTCAAGTAAATATTGTAGAAAATCTCGCATTTTGTCCCTCCCGGTCATGAAAAGAAATCGCCGCCCCTGAGTTCAATGCAAAATCTTACAAAGGCAATGTGGTTTCCTTTGGTGAGTAAATGGCTGCAGTGTACGTGACCTGTAAGTGGTTGCATAGTTAACATTTTCTCATTTTAAATTTATTATCTCTTTTTACAGCTAAATTCATATCAAGTAATGGATTGTTTACACAGACAGTTAATGTGAATGACATCGGAGTGATGATCAGCATGGATAGTCGTATTAATCCTGATGAGAGTGACAATGTGATTACTTGGATGAAAGATGGAAGTGAGGTTCTTACATCATTTGATGGGCAGACTCAGATCAGCTTCCCAAACCCAATCCAGACATCAGATCAAGGAATCTATGAAATCTACTATGATAACGAGAGGGATCAAAATAGAGGAGGATTATACAGACTCATCGTCAGAGGTACATGTTAAGTGTTTTCGTGCTAAATTCAGACTTCTTGAAAGGGGTCATTTCTTGTCCGAGATAAAATTGTTTGTTATGATGCATGTAACCAAGTTTTGCTATATATTTTGCCCCCAAAATATTGATCTTTTTTAGATTGGTTGGATTATGCAAGTTAAAAGATGATGATCCTTACATATCCATTCATATTTTTATATTAATGAATAAATGAATGTGAAAAATTCTGTAAAATGTTAGTTTAGAGCATTCTGCTAGATGATTTCCAAGTCTGTTCCATTGGGCTTGGCACATAAGATGGATAGGTTGTTCCCCTTTGCACATTTAATTTCAAAAGATGTATGACACTTCACAATATGAAATCTAGGTGTTAAGCATGTCATAATCTATGATGTAATTTGTACAGAGGTGTAGTTCAAAATTACCTGTAAATATATTCAGAATGTAACAGAGCCAATGAAATACACTATAGTTCTTTGTGCGATCACTATATAGTCTAACCGACTTTTCAATTGTCTACTTCAAATTTTTTTTACCCTGCTTATCTCCTATCTATTAAAAAATATATAAATGTTATCTTTAGTGACATGTATTTTACATCATTATGTTTTACGCTTCCTATCTCATATTAGAATGCACTGCTGGTAAGTGGGGTCCCCCTGAGTGTTATGGTATCTGTGATAAATGCTACAATGGTGGAGTCTGTCATGACAAGTCTGGTCTATGTATCTGTCCTAACAACTTCAAGGGAACGAATTGTTTAGAAAGTAAGTAGGCTTGTATAACTTCATGTGGAATGGTGTTTTTTCTCTCTTAATAGATGAATTGAGGAAGATATTTCTTGACTTATTCCATTGTAAATGAACAGAGTAATGTACATCTATGTTCATTTCAAATATTCTTCTACCTGCCGAGGAAATAGAGAAATCAGAATAGTATTATACATCATGTCTTCTTCAAATTTAATATATTTCCTTTATAGCGTCATCTGACCAGGAATCGTTTTCAAGAATAATGTTAATTTACCATTTATGATTCTGGTTATAACGTATTATCTCTCATGTATTATGAACAGTCTGTTATATAACGTAAAATGACTAAGTTTGTAAATACTTTGTAAAGTGACCCTCTCTACCAGAGCTGCGGGTCATTCTACATGTACATGTATAAATATACATCAATACAAACTACGAATGAAAAATATTTAACAGCATGGGAAAGGAATTGCTTTTGTTTCTTATTCCTTAATACCATGAATGTCTAAATAACGCCTAAATAAATGTCTCAATAACATTAACTTTTATGATCGACGAACTTTGCTATCCATGGAATTGAGGGCTTTATTCGTTGTAGTAAAAACTGTTATGTTTAAAGAGCATTAGACACCATCAATAATTTGCAAAGGAGATTACAGGAAAGCAACCAAACATATTTGAAATTTATCTCATGAAATCTTATTTCATATGCCACTTTATAAGGTTTTGATTCAACATTGCAACTATTTTTTTTCAGCTTGTAGAAATCATGGTGGAAATCGATTTGGATTGAACTGCGAGTTTCGATGTTCATTTAGAGACGATGATCCTGTCAAACGATGTCATGGGCTTCTTTTTTGCCTACCTGATTCTTATGGATGTTCATGTGACGTCGGTGCTCATGGTCCAGCATGCAACACACGTAAGCCTTCCGATATATTATTGTGCTCAAATTATAATAATTATAATACATATATCTAGAAGATCTAACAGTTATCATACATGTAAATCATCAAAAGCACATACCATGGTATGGCTAGAATCATGAGTGAGGCCAGGCGCTACTCAGTGGAGAAGAGAAGACGAAGAAGATGGAGGAGGAGAATGAGAAGGAGAAGAAGAGGAAAAATTAACAATAAGAAATTATCGTAACATGCACGACATTTCTTTCCGATCAATGTATTTTGATTTTTAAATTCTATTACAGTATGTACTACTGGTACATATGGTCCAGGATGCTCACAGACATGTCACTGCACAGGCGGTGGTTCATCATGTGATATCTATAGTGGAATATGTACAGGTGGATGTCAGACTGGCTGGTCAGGGGATAACTGTCAAAGTAAGTCATGATCAACAATGATAATAAATGATATGAAAATGCATTCCCGAAGTATGATAGATCAGAATTTTATCATTATTGATTTACCAATAGAAGCCATTGTACACGCAGCCTTTTCACACAGGGGTAAAATTCTAACCTTTTCACACAGGGGTAAAATTAATCGTATCTAGAGCTGATTAGATTAAAGTTTAACTAAACAGCTTTAAAGGGCCCATGACATCGAAATACAAGTGTATTCCTGTTGGTGTGCAGTCCTGAATACATCTCATATTTTGATACGTTAACTTCTGAATTTGTTTCATAGATTTTTAAATATTTTTTGAAATATTTGTTTTTCAAACTTGCTAAGCTCCATCCCAAAAACCTCCAGATCTCATTCCACTTGTAACATCATCTGTCAGTCATTAATGAGCTAACTTGAGAAAGTGGCATGTATCTTTGCCAAAGTTGACCACCTGTTACAATACCACAAACAATAGCAACATATAAGTTGCTATGTCAGACATGTCACAGATGATGTCACAAGGGGATTGAGATCTGGAGGTTTTGGGGTGGAGCTTAGCGAGTTTGAAAAAAAAAATTTTTACAAAATTTAAATACTTCCAAAAAATATTTAAAAATCTATGAAACAAATTCAGAAGTTTACACATCAAAATACGAGATGTATGCAGGACTGCACACCAACAGGAATACACTTGTATTTCGATGTCATTGGCCCTTTAAATTAAATTTTCCCTTTGTGAACGTCGTATACGATGTTCGGACGGATACGAAGTCGCGATCTATACGCCGGTCAGAGCAGGCTGCAGATACGAAGTCCGTATCTAGAGAGCAAGACATCGTGGCCCGAATTCACAAAGGAGGTTTGTCGACAAACCGAGGTTTATGTGCGTCATACGACGCGTTTTGACGCGTTTTTACAACCTTGGTTTGTAAAAAACAAAAGGAGGTTTGTTGAAACAAAAGGAGGTTTGTTGAAACAAAAGGAGGTTTGTTGAAACAAAAGGAGGTTTGTCGACAAACCTAAGTTTGTCGACAAACCTCCTTTGTGAATTCGGGCCCGTGTGTGTGAACGGTATACGTCCTTAACTTGGGAGGAGCTAGGACCGGGCACTGCTCGTAAATGCGCAATGGCCTTACTGATCGTTTAAAGACCAGTGAATCTCGAACAACAACACCGATATTTTCTATGTGTGAATGATCCCCCTTTTCACACAGGGGTAACATTCTTTAAAGCCGATTAGTTTAAAGAGCTTTAAACTAATCAGCTTTATCATTCACACCCAGAAATTTCGGTACGGTCGTTCGCGATTCACTGCTCTTTAAACGCTTAGTAGGGCCATTGCGCATTAACGAGCAGTGACTCACTTCTCGTAAATGCGCAATGGCCCTACTGAACGTTTTGGCCGGTGTTTCTGTCCGAACATCGTATAAACGACGTTCACACAGGGAAAATTTTCTTTAAAGCTAATCAGCTCTAGATACGATGAATTTTACCCCTGTGTGAAAAGGCTGGATGTTGTATCTAAAGCTGATTAGTTTGAAGCTCTTTAAACTAATCAGCTTTAAAGAATTTTACCCCTGTGTGAAAAGAGCTGAATAGTTTAAAGCTGTTTAACCAAAAAGCTTTAAACAGGGATATGTGAGTTCCCTTTGTGAACGTCGTTTATACGATGTTCGTAGTCGCGATCTATACGCCGGTCAGAGCAGGCTGCAGATACGAGGTTCGTATCTAGAGAGCAAGACATTTAGGCCCGAATTCAAAAAGGAGTTTTTTAAAATTTATTACAAACCTTGGTCTAAAACGCGTTGAAGCGCGTCATATGACGCACTTGAACCTGTTTGTCGACAAACCTCCTTTGTGTAGCTCAGACCGGGCACTGCTCGCTTAGTAGGGCCATTGCGCATTTACGAGCAGTGACTCATCTCGAACGACCGTACCGATATTTTCTGTGTGTAAATCTCTTTAACCCTAAAAAGCCCGGGCTATATGAGGTCTTAGTACGGCCGGGGGGGGGGGGGCATTATGGCCCCCACTTAAGATCTTCGCCGTGAAACTGCTGATCTCCGCGAAAATTTGCACAGATGTCAAGTGAAGTGTATTGAATACTATGATAATTTCAATTTTTTGAAAAATTCACTTATTTGCATATTTATGATAATTTATGCAAATAAGGTCATAAATCACATTTGTACCCATAAATTATATATTATTCATATTTAAGCATTCTTTTTCACTACATATATTCATTAGACCATTTGGAATAATAATACAACAAATTCCTTATGTTATCTCTTGTTTTGATGATTTCTTATGTATTTCATTGTATTTTAACTTAACTTATTGTTAACTTATTGTTTTTGTTGTTTTATTATATTTCTAACTACAATTCAACTAAACTTTAAACAAGAACCAATAACCAATGTTTTATCTATTTTTAGGAAAAATGACATTTCCTTATATGTTTTGTACACAAATCACGAAAATGAGGGATTTTAGGGCTGACATGCAAAGACAAAAGGTCACGTGACCTGGTAACTGTAGGTCCGATTTTCACTTTTTTTTTTAAAGATGCGCAAGACTCGAAAGAAAAAAGTCAGCGAGCGGCGGGGCGCTATCCATATGCGTTCCCGAACAATCAGAAAAATCGTGGAGGGGGGGGCATAATGGCCCCCCGGCCTTATTAGGGTTAAACTAATCAGCTTTAAAGAATTTGTCCATTGTGTGAAAGCTGTGACTCTAGCTTTGTAATTTATATTATTTTGTTAATTTTGTAACCCCATCGTCTACAGGACCTGGGTGGCGCCTGTACTATACTCATTTGAAATACGATAATTCACAAATATAATCACTTTAGGTTGTTATATTTTCTATTTTGGTAGACAAATCGCATCAAGTAGCGGTTTGCGGACAACTCCTTGTGTATACTATTTGCATGCTTATTGATCTAGAGGAAATGAACGCTTACTATAATAGAGTACATCAATTAAATCTAGTGAATACATCATATTACGTAGTTGTAGTACTTGTTAAATTGTGATTTGTAAAATATTTTCTTATCAACCCCAGTTCCAGATGAATGTGAAGACGGTTACTACGGATCTCAATGCACTGATAAATGTCATTGCTTGAATGATGAACCATGTGATGACAATGCTGGAGAGTGCCCTGAGCAGAAGTGTGCTCTAGGATACATACCGGCAGTACGCAGTGGCCAGGTCATATGTCAAGGTAAATACTATTTTTCAATAAAGGGTGTTGAATTTTCCATATCAATTCCTGTTCATTTTTCTCCAAACTACATACAACATGTTCATCAAGTTTGGTGCAGTGTGCATGACATCAGTGGCGGATCCAGGGAGGGGGCCCCCTCCCCTGGTGCTCAAGGTGGGGGGGGGGTGTGATATTCATTGTTTTGGGCAAAATCGCCGCTAAATATTTTCTCACGAATCGGGCCCCCTCCCCTGCCGCCGGCTGGATCCGCCTATGCCTGACACACCAGGATTGTTTTATGTATGAACAGTCATAAATCCATGTACATGTATGTATATTGGTCATATCAACCATATACAAATATATATATATAATTATATGTACATAGTGCTGTGATATAGTAAATACAATTTTATGGATGTATACTCTGGATGGGGATTCTAGTATACAAATATTGACTGCTTTGAGGGGCAAAGTTGATACTCTATTGCCCATAATGTACTCTGCCCTTGAACACACTTGAGTTGATTAAAATGATGACCCCTAAATTAGAAGTCATTCTTTGTTATACGATACCTATGCACCTGCCATAATTGTTCCCTGTAATTCTACACTTAACCAAGTTCTTGTCTTCGACCCTTGACCCAACAGTGAACTGACTCTAACCCTAAACCTAAAACCCAATTGCAACCCGAGCCCTAACCCATACATTTGCTGAAATACAGCTCAGAATAATTGTTCTAGGAACAAACGTCTGGTCTCCGTAGAATAGCATTACACAACAATCCTCCGTAGTAAGAGCTGCACTAGTTGTGAAAAGTTATTGTCTGAAATGAAGAGTTGCGGCCAGCATGGTGAGCTGTGCATCTGAGAGTGGTTTTCAAGATAAACAGCAGATCTAGAGGTGGTCCCTGAACAGTCAGGCCTTAACATATTTCTAGTAGTACTGGATCTTTAATTCTTATAAGCAATCTGCTGATCAACGATGACCAGACAGAGTTCCTCATTATTGGCACGCGTCAGAGGCCGAAGATCAACATCCCCCACATCAGGACCCCGGCCCGCATCAGGACCGGCAATACTGACATCTTCCTTGCATCTCATGTCCAGAACTTGGGTTGCATGTTTGATTCGAACATGACCACGAATCGACATGTTTTGAATGTATGCAAAGCATATTCTTTCTTCTAACAATATCCGTCGAATTCGCAAGTATCTAGACCAGAGGTCATTCCTTATTTACCCTTATTCACGCCGTCATCACCAGCCACATGGATTACTGTAATGATCTACTCTATGGAACCATGTTTACCCAAGTTCTGTTAAATGAAATTTATCATTCGTCAATTGAACTGGCTACCCATCACTGAGGTCCCGGATTTAATACAACATACTTCGTCTCACCTTCAAATGCATCCATGGTCTGGCTCCTCCCTACCTATCAGCCAACCATCCCGCTACTCCCTTCACTCCTCTCAAGGCATCACGTTGAACCACCCATCTCCCAAGATGCTACCCACACTTGACGATAGAGCATTCACAACTGCTGCTCCCAAATTGTGGAATAACCTACTGATATCTCTAACCAACAATCTGTCAATACCTTCAAAAATTATCTAAAAACTCACTTCTTCTGTTAACAATATAACTGTAAAGTACATTTGAACACGTATATGGAAAATGCGCTTTATGAATACATCATTGCCATTTTGATTATTACAAAGTTAATCTTACCTGCAAAGACGTGAGCCAGAAGAAAATCGAATAATTTCACCTGATTGAAATGATTTGATTTTTGTGTTTACAAACCTATTTCCAGTAGACCTCAGCCAAAGAATAGGCCTTGGTATTGAGGTATGATCATTGACCAGATGTTTCCCATATATTCGACTTTTGTTTCATTTTTTTCAGAGTGTGAAGGGGGTACTTTTGGTTTGGATTGTCTTCAACAATGTAATTGTGCTCCAGAAGCTTGTGAAACAGAGAGGGGTTTTTGCAAGGGACAATGCCTTGATAGCTGGATTGGACCATACTGTCAAAGTAATTATACCTAGCATTTTGTGTTCTGGGTTTGTTTTGTTTGTTTTCTTGTTCAGCTTAAAGTGGTTCGGATTAAAACTATCTCAGAGTGCATATACATGTATATAACTATATGTGCATGTATTTGCTTATTTTAAGATATTATTCACCAACTTGCTCCAGAAGTACGTGGAGCAAGTACTTTTACTTTAGTTTAATTTCTTCCTAGAGCCCCATGAGCATCAGTACCTGGGTGATACCGGCCCTATATGAATAGCCATTATGATTATGAGTATTATCTTGTTTTTTCAGACACTTGAACATGTGCACTTAAGTTCGCAAACTATTTCGTATTTTTTGCTCTGTACGAATTCCAATCTTTATTTTAATGAAGCTTCTCCTATACGATACAACGCGGGAGTGTAACGGTAATGTAAATTAAAAATATGAAAAATCCTCCAAATGAGTATCTGTTATTTGATTATCTTTATAGAACAAAATAGTTTTCTCATTACAAGTGGATAGACATCTTAATTGATAATAGTCAGTGGTTTAGCGTTTTGCATTGATATACATTAAGCAATTAGACTTTAAACAAAATAATTAGATGAAGATCTTCCCTAGTTTAGGTACACCTGCATGTTTGTACATGTACAAGTGTATTGCATATAATTACATTATCTTTTAGCTTAGTTCTTGATAGTAATGCTAATTATGAAATGACGGAGTTGCAATCTTTTATTGCTCTAGAAAAGTTGTATGTAATGATTTGTACTTATGCTTGTTTTTTTACATGAATATCAAGATTATCAGTAACTGTTTCTTTTAAACATTGATGATTATGTTCGTGGTCAATTTTTTTTTTTAAATGTAGGATTTGTTTGCCATATGTATTGCAAGTTAAATACATAAAGCGAGCAGATTTGTAATAAAATGATTGGCCTTAGGGTTTGCTATGTCTCGATATGTCGATGTGCATAATTATGTGTATAAAGTCTGGTTTGGTTCTTGACAGGAATATCAAGATTGGTTCCAGTGAGAGTGAACCCATACCGACCATCTACCTTCACGTGTTATGTTGAGGGTAACCCACCTCCCGATGCATCCTCAGTTGATCTTTACAGACGTACTGGAAGCACCAATGACAGGACAGGAATCACCAGGAGATCTAGCACTGTCTCAGGGTCAGAACGAGCTGTTGTCTTTGATGTTGATAATGTGTTTCCACAGGAAGTTGGGGGATATGAGTGCAGTCTTACATTTGAAAACATAGGCTATCCCAGTACGCCAATTACCAACCCAACCTATGGTGAGCAAACTGTGTGACTTATGTGAGATACGTGTGTAATAGAAAGCAGGAATTCACTATCTTTAAATGTCTACGTACATGGTTACAAGGGATCCGTTTTTTTGTTGTATGTACTCTGGTAAATTTTATTTATATGTTGACTTGATGGAACTAATGGAAGAAACTTAGATTATATAGTTGTGTCATTGATTTTGACGGTTATTTCAATAAATTGTATTAATTATTTCTGTCTCTTTTCCTTCCATTTTTGTCAGTTCTACCAGTCATAGAAAAAGCACCAGTGATAGTGAGCACCATGTCAACTACAGTTGGTCTTCAATGGAATGCATGGTCTGAAGAAGATGACAAAGGTGATCCTCCTCTGGTAGGATATGATGTCTTTGTAAACAAGGATGATGACTGGGTAACGGATCAGAGAGTAGACCAACTCACAACATCAACCATCGTTAGTAACCTGATACCCGACACAGAATACATGTTTCGTATAGCAGCAGTGAGGGAAGGAACAGGTGGAACAGGCCCCATGTCTCCTAGGGACAACACAATAACTCGCTGTGGAAGTAAGTTATGTTCAGAAGATAAATAATTGAATCTGCCAAGGGTTTGTCATGATTTCAGAGTTCAGAATAAACATTTTGAAGATACTTATTTTTAAATGTACAGTTATTTACAAGAAAGTACATGTATTACATTGTAAGTAAATTATTTGTAAATACATTTGGGATATTTATGCATTTTCCAATGATTGAGCTCTTTAACTTATATAGTTATGTGAGTAACATCTGTCCCATAGAAATATTTGTATTTTCAATTCCATACATTCTCCTTTTAATAGTTCTATCTTTCTAATATTTGAAACCGAAAATGTATTCTATAAAATATGCATTTTCCCAACTGAAATATATTTACAGTATCCTTCGTTGTGCTTTGCCCATGGTTAGTTTCATGTTTCACTAGTTGACGTTTGATGAAAAACCACATCAGGATTGTTGTAGCTATGTATGATTTTATCACGAAGTGCATGTACATGTAATGAATTCATGTACTACAAGTCCAAGCCATTTAGTATGTTCTATATACTTTTAAACTTCAGAACCCAGTGCTTCTCCAACTGGACTACTCGTTTCAGCCATCAACCCTAAAGAGCTAGACGTAACATGGGAGGTATGAACTGTTTGAAGAAAGGCTGTTTTGGTCACTTAGTTAAATGTAGTTGGATGAAAAAACACGTCCAGAACACAAAATATATAATTGTTAATAGCCACAATTTATTGAGGTAAAACCACACTGTTAGGCCATAGAGCTGGTAAATCTACTACCTTGGTTAGACTTAATTTTACCCCGGGGGTCTCAGTCAAATATAAATACTGCTAGCATGCGTGACCAAAAAAAAAACGCGTATATCATTTAGGGGGTATTTTGGAAAGAAATCCTCGTTTAGGGGGTGTCTGGAAAGCATGTGGTCACGGTTGCTTTCAGTATTTCGACATGACAGCTGAGATCCCCGAGATTTTACCTAACTTCATCAAGATATGTCAAATATGAACGGTTAATTCACTCACTTCATTAGTATGCCTTTGGCTTTCCTCACGTACCTCAATATTTAACTAAATTAATTGCTTCCTAATTAAAAAACAGGTGTACCAATGTCTATGTTTGCCAGTTGAAAGTGTTTGCTTTGGGGTCTATATAATACAGATTAAATTTGATTTTAAAGTAAGAAGCTGATATAAATATGTTTTATGATCACAAGATTCTTGTTTAACAGAATGCTCTATCACGTTGATTTCATTATCATAATTAATCCGAGAAACTATACACAAAAATTATTAACATCTCGTAGTTTTTGTTTACTATTGTGGTTGTGATGCATGTAACATGTATTTGCATCTTTATATTTCAGCATTCCCCCTCAGAATCAGCAGAATGCAGGAGTGGAGTGACCCATTATATGATCTACTATGCTATCATTGGATCAACTTCTTCAAACTCTATCTTGGTCTCTCGTGACGATAGCTCCTATCTGATAAGAGGTTTAGAAACCTATCTGGACTATACCATCCAAATAAGTGCATCAAATAAAGACGAGGAAAGTGATAGGAGCAGTGAGATTATCGGCAAAACACTTGAAGAAGGTGAGACTTCATCAGCTAGTTATCTTGGATTCCTGTGAGGAAAATAGTCTTATTCCGATAGATATAGTAAAAGATGTGCAAATTGCTATCAATTCATTTATTATAGTTTGAATTGAACACATTTCCCAACGAGTGCTGCCAATTAAAGGTGAGGAGAATTGACAGAAGCAGTGAGACGTATTATCCGCAAAACGAATTGAAGAAAGTGAGAGTTTGCCTGCCGAATACAGAATAAATGTTTATGTCATTCTTTTGATGCAAGTATTGTTATGCTGGGAAATGATATCAAATAAATATTATTCAGTTGTATACACCTTGAATTAGATATATATTTTGTAGACCCTAGCCTGTGATTTATTGAGACCCGTCTCAGACGATTAATTGTTTAATAATTTATAATGAATTTGTGTTTTTGTGTGTAAAGGACTGTTTCACTCTGCTGCTTGTAATAGCTAGCTGTCTATATGAAACCTGTATGACATTAACTTACATTGTTATTGCAATCAATGTCAAACAAGACAAAGTACTACTAGGCCCCCGTCTCATAAAGAGTTGTGGATTATCCAAATTATTCATTCATATAATCCTTACCATTACCCACCCTCCCCTTCCTCCCCCCAAAAGAGAAGTGCATCCTCTCATACAAAGTTGATAAAAGTTTGTTAATCTTATTATAATACAGTTGCACCTAGTCCTATCAATGTGGCTATACCGCAGAGTACTACAAGCTCCTTCACTGTATCCTGGTCTACCCCTCTACCTTCTAACATCAATGGTAACATCCAGAAGTATATCATCCGCTTCAAGCAAACTGATCCCGTTGTTGATGATGACTTTCAGATGGAGGAAGTATTGAATGGTGCGTTTGAAGGAGAGCATACTGTTGTAGACCTGACAGCAAAGTCCAACTACTCAGTTCAGGTAATACTTGTCATGTACTTATATACTGCATGGAAAGTTTGGGCCTAAAAAAAAAACTGTTGGAAGTGGTAAAGGGGAGGGGTGGATTAACAAGTATGGGTCATGTTTGAGAAGTGAAAATGATGAACATGTGAAAAGAGTGTGGTATCTGGAAGTGGATGGCATTTTATTTATTTTATTTTATTCATTCATGGCAACCAAAGGGTTGGATTGTATACATTTTCAACATGATTATGAACATTATTAAATTCAGTACAATGAAATTGATAAATTATGAATAGAAATACAATGTAGATCATTAATACAACAAAAAAAAAAACAACATTACAAATCATTCAGGTATATCATATTACAAATAAATCATTACAAGAAAAAGGGAGAAACAACATGAACTTGAATAGACAAGAACAGGGAGCAAGAGAGGGAAAAAGAAAAGAAAGTGAAAAAGTGAAAAAGCTGCAATGATCAATCAAGTTAACTCTACATCAAAATATCAAAATATATAATATAATTATAAAGAAAGTCAACGTGTGGGTATAAACTGAAAAACTGCATGTACTGAATAATTATTCCAAATTGATCCTCTGAAGCAAAGTTAATATTTATATATATAATTAAAAACCAGCTGCATATGTCGGGGTACAAGTTCAAAAGAATATTGAATGATTGAAAATGTATATTGCACTAATTACCTGCTTATTATGAATTATACGCACACCAAGGGATAAAACTATTCTTAAATCGGTTAGTTTTACACCTGGGCAGACTCACTTATTTACTTTTCCTAAGGTTAAATCTTGTCTCTCGTTTTGGTGGGAGAAGGTCATTTAGTTTGTGTTCAGGTTTCTGTATTTGGTTGAATAATTGCAGGCACATATTATTTCTACGATCAGCTAGGGGATCAATGTTCAGTACATTTAAAGCATCAGTATAAGTCAGGTTGGGGTGATTATTATCAGGGCACGTTTTTGTATTGATTCCAATAAATTAGATTGCTCTTTGGTTAGGCCCCCGTGAAAGACTTGACATGCAGACCTTATGCAAGCTTTGTAGTACCTGCACAAATCGTCTTGAACAAGACCGGCTCTACGTAATTGGACCAAGAGAAACAAACGACTTACAGCCCTTGCATAAACCTTTTCCACATGAGTATTCCAATTCAATTTATCATTGATCCATAATCCTAGCAACTTTATTTCTTGGACACAGCCTACGGGTTTGCCATCAATGGTAAGTGGATAAACAATCGCATCTTTAGTAAAATTTATTACCATTTCACTTGTTTTCTGTGGATTGATCTGCATATCATTGGCCTTTGTCCATGTAAGTAATTCGTCTAATGCACGTTGTAAGGAACACTGGGATTCTACCTTACATATATCATACACAGTGGTATCATCAACATACTTAACCATGGGGAATTCAAGCTTTAGATCGGATAGCATGATGGTAAACAAAAGGGGACCTAGTTTGGTCCCTTGCGGAACACCGCCTTGAACGTACTTCCACTCGGAGGTGGATTGACCGAGTTTAACCCTCTGTTGTCTCTGACATAAAAACGATCTTATCCAACTGACAATTTTATCATGAACACCGAGCCTGACAAGCTTATTGATTAACACATTGTGATTAATACGGTCAAATGCCTTTTTGAAATCTACTAAAAGTATTCTTACTGCCTGTTTCTTAGAGTCAGTTTCATCATACCAATGGTGTAGGAGATAAAGTAGAGCCAAGGTAGTGGATGAACCAGGTACACTACCATATTGACTTTCATCAACGTGTGGTAGATATTCTTTCCACAACCATTTGTGAATGAATCCTTCAAAAAGCTTAGCTAAAACAGGGGTCAGGGATATTGGTCTTAGGTGATTTCCTTTTAATGTAGGGGGATTCACTTTAGGAATAGGGATAACATTGGCCGATTTCCAAATTGGTGGCACATATGATTGGGTGAAAGATGCATTCATTATTGAACAAACAGGTCCTGCTAATATGTGGGGGAAATCCTTAAGAATCCAAGAAGGAATTTGGTCTGGACCAGGGGATTTCTTTGTATCAACCTAAGTTGTTTCTCGACATCATTCACACGTATAATATATTCATCAGGGGAAATACAATCTGTGTCTGTGTCAGGGAGGTCGAGTGGGGGGAGATCAGATGAAACAGATACGAAGAAAGTGTTGATCATATCCGCCAGTTTAGTCGCATCACCTTCTGCAGCATTATCCATGAGAGGGAAAGGAAGACCAAAGATGTTATAGAAAGATATGTTGAAGAAAAAAAAGCAGTAAGGTTGGTCGAAAGGGGGAGAATGCTCGAGACAAGAAGAAATGGAGGAAGGGCGTGATAGTCAGTAATCCGTCGTAAGAGGGAAAATGCTGAATTGAATAAATGATGAAGATAATGCATAATGTATAATGCATGATGCATAACGTACAATGCAAGGATGCGCTACATTCAGATTGGTAAATTACCCTATTGAAGACGTCTGAATGGCATGTTTTGTCAAATATCCCTTTTTGAGAATCCGCACTTGAGATGCGATGTATAAAACAATTTTTACAGCTTTTTTGTCGTCTTAGAGTTGACCTCAGCACTTAGCCTCTAAAGACAGCTATATATGTGCTTTTAGAAAATATAGTTCGATTTTGGAAATAGCATGAAAGAGCAAGTTCCCTATTTTTTATAAGTAAACCTTTTTCATTTTAAAGAAAAAATATAAATGTTAAAGAATTATTTTTGTAATGATATCCATGTTTAATAATAATAGGTACAGACTGTTAATGGAGCTGGTTCTAGCAACTGGTCAGAACCTGTGAATGCTAAGGCGATACAATCAGGTAAGTACATTATTAGACTTATCACTATTGTGTTCATACATAAAAAAATAAAAAAAACCTTTTCCATGAAAATTTAAACTTTGACTACTAAATCCTACTCATTCCCATAATATTTTATAATAACAATACTACTTATAATAATAATAATATGTCTTGTTTACTGAGGGTAGCCTCATCAGTATTCATACTGTTCTCCCTGAGGGCCCTGCAATGATATTATTGCAGGGGCCATATGTTTCCACAAAATTCTATCTTAACTGCTAGTACTTAAAAGATTTGTGTATCTCAAGGTAAACATAACTTTTTTATTTCATTATGTTCAATGGATGGCCCATTTTGCCCAAGAATATCTGCATTGAACAATTTTTTGAACTAAGAATTGTTATGTTTTACTTCCTGACGCAGAAACAAACAAGTATCTGCGTCAAGTATTCTGTTCCTTTAGTGTATATTTTATGCACAAAATGGCAACGAACAAAGTTTAAGTAAGATAGCTTTGATACAGGATGCCACTTGTAATTAATCTGTTGTCCTCGAGATCCCGAAAAATCATGGCAAAAAATGGATCTATGGAAACCAAACAGCATATAGCAAGGGTCTATCATATGTACGTTTTAAGTTGTAAAAACATCCTTTTAGAGAGCATATTGGTTCTTCTATACATGATTTTGAACTCCTAAATAGCAGCGATCCAATCTTTACTCAATCATAGGAACTGCTTCTCTGACCAGCTGTGAACATTGCAAAAATCTGTTGATACTTAGTGTCGAATGTTCCTGATTTCATAATTTTTTTTTTTTTTTTTTAACAATTTTGTTTTATTTCTCCAGATGTGTAATACAAACCATGACATACAATTGAATAAAATAAACGTGTTCAATATTGATGCTTTTACATAAACATAATTAAACACAAACTTATTTGCAGTATAATATAACTTAACAACAAAGTAAACGTATAAGTACCTAAACATAATATGTCAATTGTAAATGTTATTTACTTATATATTACAACAACAAAAAAAATCTGGAGATAATTTTACTGAAACAATCCTGCCCCCTCCCTGCCCCCTACATCACACAGACATACTCACCCACTCACACACATACTCACCCACCCACCCACCCCCCCCCCCCCACACACACACACACACACAGTACTCACTCAGTGGATGTCTGCCAACATTCTCAACTTAAGAAAAATATACTAAATAAGTTATCCAGGCCGCAAAATCGAGTTACGCTTTTAACAAGCTCACGGTGGAGAAGAAAGCAAATCTTAATTAATCTTAAGCTGCTCCCACTTTAAAAAATGTGATCCTAGCTTTCCCATTTTAATTGCTATTTTCTTTTCCTCATCCCTATACTTAAAAATGCTTTTTTTCATCTTTTCTAAAGTTAGTACTCGCCCCCCCGATCTTGACATAAATGTAACATACTTCACCATGAAAATGATAGTATTACACATTTTTATTCTATATGAACTACCTACCAACCCAACAAATATATCTCGCCATTCTAAATCTTTAATTTCATCTAACTCAAAAAGTTGTATTAAAGCCTGCCATAACCTTTGAACGCTCCCACAAGATAAAAATAAATGTTTGTATGTTTCTATTTCCTGCTTACAAAACGAACATAAATTATCACCAACAAAACCAAATCTATGAAGATGCTCATTAGTGTATATGGCTCCATGCAATAATTTAAATTGAAATTCACGTTGTTTTCTAATGAGTATAGTAATTCTTGGTCTCACAAATATTTCTTTTAATTCTTTATCTATAAAATCATAATCATTTTGCCCATCCCTTACCTGCAAATCATACGTTCGCTGCAGTGCTTTGATGAAATAATCATAGATTGTTCTTGAACCCACATCCACAAACTGTATTTTTTTACTAGAAATATGGAAATAAGTATTAAAGCTTATCAAATCAACCTCGAGGAATTCTATTAACCCTGAATCATCCTTCCATAACCTGGGTATCGCATCATAAATATCAATAATCATAAGCAAATTATTACCTTTCATACCGAGGTTCATAAAATATTTAACAGGCTTAACATGACCTTTCTCAACCAAATGATTCAGTTGAACAATCCCTCTTTCAAACAAGTATCTATCAAATATACTTTTTCCATTTATACATATATTCTGATTATTAAAAATAATTGGATTAATATAACCCTCCAAATATCTTAAATTACTTGTCTCTTGCCATGCTTGCAACATTTCCATATAGTATGGTGGAATATCTAAAACGAGTTTAATCTTGTTTAAATCATAATCACATAAAAAAATAAATCTACCACCCACAAACTGTAAGCAATGATCAAAAAACAATTTCCATCCCAAACTTTTCTCTCCATATAAAAGACGTTTTATCCACATTATGCGCTGTATTTTAACGGACATTTCAAAATTAATCATTCTTAATCCTCCAAAGTCATAATCCTGATACATTATTGCCCGTTTAATTCTATCTTTCCCCCTCCATATGAATTCAAATGAATTTTTTGCAACTTCTTTATATACCCAATGAGGGACAATAACGAGAGATGAAATATAATTTAATTTTGAAAGCGCATAAGTTTTTAGCAAATGTATTTTACCCATAATAGTTAAATCTCTTTGTTTCCACCATACAAGCAATTTTTTTATTTTACTTAGAATTTCTTTATAATTCAAATCATCTTTTAAACTTCGATCTAATGAATAACTAACCCCTAAAATATGTATTTCCTTAACCAAATTTCCAAATAAAGGCCCATCAGGTTTGTTCTCATCCTCACCCATCCACATAAAATGTGTCTTTGTTTTATTCACTTTAAGACCACTAATTTTTTCAAATGATTCAAAAATATATTGCAACCTTCTAACCGATGCATTATCTTCATCATACATACACACACACACACGCGCACACACGCACACACACACACAAAATAAATAAACAAACAAATAAGAATATATACTGAAATCCCCAGTCCACATAGGCGTTATTAGATACAGGAGCCACCGGATTCCTGTATTTGATTGGTACATGGTACGAGTCATATTTCATTTATTCGACACTATATAGGTGGCTCTCCCAGGTCATCAGTAGGACCGATAGTAGGGAGTGTCATGGCTACCCTTATTATCATCATCCTGGTCATTATTCTCGTCCTCGTCATCTTTAGAAGGTAAGTGACAGGGAGACCATTGTCCAAGGGTCATTAAGATAGTTGAAATACGCCGTATACAGACACAAAGGAGACATACACTAAAAGCAATGACAGAATTCCTCTCATTGTTTGCATAAGTTGCAAAAAGATGATTTAAGAAAAAACTACAGAATTACCCAATTTATTTGTGAAATAAATGAAATCAAAGATTTAATATTACCTTCGGTAGTGTTCCTTTATCATGATGAGTATTTTGGTTATGTACAGTACACCACTTTGTGTCAGTATTAGGAAGTCTTCGCACAAAAAATGTAACCTTTGCTGGATTGATAAGGAATTTTTTTGTCAACTGTTGCATAGATAATCTAATATTCAAATTGAAACCAAAGTGACATATATGTTTACGTGCATGGAGAAAGCATGAATTATAAGTGATTTTTTAAATATTTTTTACACTTGTTAATGGTTTGTTGCACGATTCATATCATGGTTTGAAGAGCGCACACCTGGGCTGTGTTGCTGCATATTGAGTCTTAAGAAGCCACACAAATAATCTCCCTCTGCATTGTATCATGGGATACATATATTAAAGCCTTTGATATTATTGAACCAATTCCAGTGCAAGAGTTATCTTTGGTGGTGTTAAATGGTTGTCGTGGAGATAATCAAAACAGAAGAAGTGATTTTGCAAGGCAGTGTGTTGCACAAGTCGTCTAGTTATGCTGTACAAAATCAACAAGGTAGGCCTAAAGCAAGAGGACCACATAGTATCAACAGGGTTAAGAAGAAACCACCAACACTCAATAGAAATCCCCTTTGCCAGAAAGGACGTATATAAATACTCGTTTTCCCAAGAACTGGACGAGCATGGAACGCCCTCGACCAGCAGTCTGTAATAGCCACATCTGTTGGGGATTTCAGAAACACACTTTAGCATGCACCACCAGCCATACAAGTTAGCGACATGTGGAATACCGCCTTGCTGACTCCAAATTCAGAAGGTTCAGAAGATTCTATCAATTTGTGCCTGTTGTTTTGTGCTAAATTGCACATGTGACAAACCAGCGAGCGTGCAAAGAAGCGAAGAAAGAAAGGAAATGGAATTGTTAAAACAACAAACAACAAAGATCCGAACCATTAAAACAATAAAATAATTCTTTGGACCACTACCTCTGAAGAAAGAACTAAAAAAACAGTAGCACAATCCAAGTGAATTTTATGCCACTGTCTTATTACATTGTTACAAAGAAAGATAATAATTATTGTTTGTAATTGAGACATTAAAAGAGTTTGAATACTCGACAATCTAAAGTGAGCCAAAGTGATAATGAATTAAGTGATTGCAGGATTTACCTAGTCTCAAGGTCATTAATATAAATCTACCAAAAAAAAATGTATTTGAAGGTTTTGTCTGATAAGGGGCATTCTATTTCAAACGCATGCAGCTGTGCTCATCAGGGACAAATTGCTATTTCGATTTTGACTTACCTTTGTGTGTATGTGTGGCGTGTGTGTGTGGTGGTGCGTGTGTGTATATCCGCGTGTGTGTGTGCGTGTGTGTGTAAATTCAATGATATTAAGAAGGAGAAGAAAATTAATGTTATTTTGAATTGAATTTCACTTCCAGGACCAAACAAAGACGTTTAAACGCTGAACCAGCCGCGTCGCCACCAAATACTGCACAAGAGACCTCTCCGAAGTATGGGAACCCTGTATTTGATGACTCGGATACCAATACATACCAAGATCTTAATACAGACACACCTAATTACCAGAATCGTACCGAACCCCATACCTATCAAGATCTTAAGAAACCCAACATCGACGTTAACTATCAAAATGTCACAAAATCAGACCCGGGAGACACCTACGAAGAAATATAGAAGCAACCCAAGCGTGGCAAAGGTGTATGTTGCCAACATTGATACTTGCTAAATTTCAAATAATACGCTAAAAAAAAAAAAATAGTACACTTAAGGTAAAAGACTTATATTTTGTCCAACTAGGTCAATTAATGTATGATTATAAAAATAATATGTTGCCATCTGTTTTTCAAGAAATGTTTTTTTTTTAAAAGCTCAGTCCAGAATTACCCAACAAGTCATTCGGAGGATTTTCATTTACCTCTCTTGCGGACCCTCTTAGCTCAAAAAAACATTTACATATGAAGGCTCCATCGATTAATATTTATAAGAAAGATTATAATTTTTTTTTATTACAATCATATAAATCTCATTGAGGTATAAGATGTTGCTGTTGTTTTAGTTGAATACAAGATCATTCTCAACTCAGTGACTAAAAATGTAATTTGATATATTATATTGTGCCCTCTCGTGCTTATCTCCTTTCTAATGCGCATTTCTCCTTCCTCATATCCTTCTCAACCCCAAATGCAGCTCTTCCTTTTGTATTATTTTCTGTACCCCCGATCTCTCACTCCCTTTTGGCATTGTCTACTCCTCGTGTTGTGACCGAGTTCCTTTGTCATGTAAAGTACCCTTCTCGTCTCTGTTGGCATCCCTCTTTTTTAAAACCTATTTTGTAGTTCCTTGTAAAGTTGCGAACATGTTAAAGATAAAGGTGAGTTCTGGTAATGCGATTGCATTGTGAAAGAAAAGGTGTGGAATGGATCAGAGGAAGTTGATCATCTAGCATATAAGTATTGGTGTGAACTGCAAGGTTCTGGAATCATCAAAATCATAATAAATTTGGCTCAGTCTTGGTAAAGTATCAAGCACTGTACACAGAAAGATGTATATGGGACTACACAAATGTTGTCGGGGCTAGTTTATCTTGATTTCCTTATCTTTCTATGCTCATTACTCAGCCAGTATACAGTTTCTTCCAAAATTGTTTGGCACATAACATTTATTTGTAATCTTGAACACTCAGAGTGTAAGTTTCGTTTGATTCGGTGAGAATTCTTTCTTTTTTTAAAACCGGAACTCAAGTTTATCTTTAATTGAATTTGAGGGGTCCACAATTGTACAATCATTGCTTTTAAGTCGACCCCTCTGTTTCCAATATGTATACCTAAGTTGTTGTAAATGTTTATAATTGATTTGTAATGCTTTTTTGGAAACATAAATAAATTTGATGAAATTGAAATTGAAATGATGAACATGCTATGCAATACAGTTGGTAATACGTTTATCTTGATGCTCATACTAATTCATTTTCTATGTGCTTGTTCTACGGTACTTATCTATTGCAATTGTTACAAGAGCTATAACGAAACTTAAACAAGTATTTTCCAAATTTATAGAAAGAGGTTATATGTAATGTGATTTGTAAATCATTACTCGCTAGCGAATAAAGGGATGAAGGGTTGAATTTGTATGTAAATTCTTCCGATTAACTTTCATTTACAATGCAAAGATGTCTATTTTAAGTTATCCGCTACATTATTTTGTACAGTAAATGTTTTGATTTTGTTTTCACTTGAGGCGGTGTAATGTTCCTCAATGACATAGTTATCTTTTAAGATTTTTAAACGTGTAATTTATAAAGATTTATTCAAAATCTCTTGCCGAAGGAAGGACAAATAATTACCATCATATTTTTAAAGAACGTAGATATCATGAGACAAGAAGTTATTAGGCTGTTCAAAATAATTAAAGGTTATTCTATATGGATTGAAACAAGGTTCTGTGAAAGCATAGTTACATTGCATAATGTTAAACAATGATGCACTGAAGGACGAAGCATAATTTAACATTTAAATTATTTAAGACCAATGAAGCACATGCATATGGCCTGACCCACATTCGTTGCATTTGCCCAAACTTGGTACTGTAAAGCGATTTTGACAACACTTTTTAAAGATCCTGGTGCTCTGTCACCCGTGGCAGAAATATCATAAATAGGGTGTCGTTTGACAGGAAACAAGTTACTCTCCATCATTAAAATAGATTTTAAAGTCATGATGGTTATGAATTTGTAATAAGAAGCTACTAAAGTTGGGTTTATACACACTGTAGTGATTACAATTCCAAAATTAATAACATCCGTTCACCAATCTGCTTCTCCGATTTTCTGTTTTCTTTTAGAGTAGTTTATTGGAGTGTGACGTAACGGGGGGGGGGGGTGTCCGCGGGTGAGGGGGCTTCAACCCCCAGAGCCCCCTCATCCTTCGACACGATAATGGGAACACACATGCTTACAACATAAACAAATATATGCCATGACTGTGCAAAGTCTCAGAATTGCCCTGCAGAATTGTTCGTCACTCCTTTGCCAAGATTCCACCACCGACGGGAAAGTTATCCGCGACTCCGCCACAATTCAGAAATTCACTTACCAACTACCAGTTTGATATTCGCATAGACCTAGTCATCTCAAATCTATTTCAAATTGTCGCCATTCTGTTTATTTTTTATTTCTCTGCTTTTATACAAATGAACTTAGTAAAAGTGTTAGCTCGCTCTTTGAAAAAGTAATCATTGATTAATCGTATATGCAAGTGTAATCCTGAAAGAACATATTATGCACTGTACTATAATACTAGTGAAATAAGAGGTAGTTGTAGTTTCGTATACATGCAACGCTAGTAAATTGTAGGCCTGAATAATCTGTACTAAGAATTTGTTTTTATTTTTTCATTATTGAAACGTAAAAAGAATACGTTGAATTAACAAAAAAATATAGTATATTATTTGTGATGTAGTTTTTTTTTTATTCATCTTGAAGGAATAAAGCAAATTCTGAGAACTGGAGTTTATTTAGACTTCTGAATCAAATTTTGTTCATGGTATTTTTTGGCGCGATCACAATTATTATTGGATGTGGTGGTTCCTGGATTTGTTATACATCTTATAACCTTGAAATTTGTGTTGGTATTTCGGGAGTTTCCTGAGTTGAGGAAAAATCATGCTTGCTCTATGTGTGTGAGCTTGCGCGCGCGCGCGTGTGTGGGTATGATGGATACTATCTGCTGACGTCATGTGACGATTCGTTCGGTGATTGGACGCTACCATTTTTTTCGGTAGAGAATTCCAGTCGGAAACATCGGTTAGCATAAGAAATCCAATCCAGATTACTTGGCTGGGCCACTCGCTCTGCCGGTCACTCGGGTTTTCGCGATTAGACTCTTTTTAGTCGCTCAGCGTCTATTACACATGTGGCCTTGTCTAAAGGCTGGCTACTTGATAACAAACAATGTGTCTGTATTGCTAAATATATTACTCACTGCGGATGTAGTATCGAAAATAATATGGTTGTATTTTATCATTTACTCAATATGGTATTTCATCCCGCTCTGCAACACTGACGGTCCTCAAACGTAAATAATCATTTCTGATTGATATGCGTCTGTAAACCCAAATACACACACACGCACACACACACAAACTTCTACCCTTATCCAACATTAAAAATTAAAAACATTCCGATTAAAAAGGGAGTTATTTCAAAGGTATATAATAATCAAACTGGTCTCAAGACCTAAAATAATACGCACATTTGTAAGGACATTTCCTCAGAAAGAAACACCTCTCTTTCTTGTCCAATAAATAAAAATCGTTTCCTTCTAGAGATGGGCGAGCAGGAACTGATTTACTGCTGGGGGATTTCGATTTAACCGGCCTACTGCATTTTTAAGACGAATATCAACCGGCCCTCACACCACACAATTATTGTTACAAGGTGGGAATCGAGCCACACCTTGCGACAGGGATCTTTCCTATTGTTGGTTCTGCCACTAAGACTTTAATATTTGAACCTGGCAAACAAAAGAATAATTAACACAATTAATTCGGTTGAATAAACCTTTTTTAATGCAAACTAATCTACACAACGGTTACAACAGAATACATAAATGAATTACAAACATATGAGACTTAAACAGTAGATTAATACAGCTCACTGATTAATGTAGGTCTTTAACTTTGTCTTTAGTTAGGGTATCTCCTGCTCCAGGACCCTGTTTCATAACACTTGTCATCAATAACAACTGCCACAGATCTGTGACAAATCTCCCCACAGCCAATCAAATACAAGGATTTCAGTAGCTTATAACGATTAGAGTAACATGTTACTGACATAAAGTTTTATGAAACAGGGTCCTGGAGTCAGTGGCGGATCCAAGGGGGGCCCGCCCCCCCCCCCCTTGAGAAAAAAAATCATGTAAAAACACGTGATTTTTTACCTTTTTGGGGGGTTGACCCCTGGCGCTCAAGGGGGGGGGGTGCAAATTTCAGAGGACCGCCAAAAAAATGTGCCCATTACCCCCCCCCCCCCCCCCCCCCCCCCCCCCCCCCACTGAATGAATGTCCGGCCGGCGCGATTTTCTAATTTTAGGGAGCAAAAAAAAAAAAAAAAAAATTAATGCTCACTACCCCCCCCCCCCCCCCCCCCCCCCCCCCAACCCCCACTGAGCGACTTTTCGGCCTGCGCGATTTTCAAATTTTCGGGAGCAAAAAAAAAAAAAAGTTGGCCCCCTCCCCTAAGAAATCCTGGATCCGCGCCTGCCTGGAGTATCCTGACGACGACCTGTCTGTCTGACGTCAGCCCCTGTCGATGGATAGACCTGTACCAATGGTTTTGTTCTGTCCCTCTGTTCCAGTTACAGTACAGCTACGTAAGTCCTAAATACCAAAGTTACAGTACAGCTACATAAATCCTAAATACCACAGTTACAGTACAGCTACATAAATCCTAAATACCAGAGTTACAGTACAGCTACATACGTTCTATTAATACCAACTTCTCGTTGGTGTTTACAGATTTACACCGATTCCAATTTGTCCAATGTGGAATCATAAAACCCGCACTATGGGATTGTCCTATACAATACATATATTGTATTTCTCCTTCTAATTGCAACAGCATCTATATTGGAATTGAATTTCTAGTTGAGTTTATACCAATTTTCCCCATAGACCCAATGGTCACGATTTTGGGTGACTAATATTCTTAGAAATAGTTTCGAAGTCTACAACCCACTAAATGTTATTGATTTGATTTAACTTTTTTTCCACTCATTTATCTAAAATTCAAATAACGTACTTATATAAACCATACAGTTTTACAACATACATTATAACAAATGAATTACACAAGTAACGAATACTGATAAGTATCTACGAAACAAAATAAGTTTACAGAGTACATTTAAGTTTGAGAATAAGATAATGTTAACGCTAAGAAATTGTATTTCACCTCTCCCCAGAACTCAACCTTTCCTTAAAGTTTGAGAATAAGACAAATATTTTATATACAAAAAATGGAATCTCAGAAAAGCTAGGCATATCGAGCGAGATTTCCAGTATAAATTAAGTACTAGACCATCGTCAGCGTGCGTCAAATCTTGCGCGTGTCAGCTCCCATAATTTGTGCGTATGATACAATTAATAGTCTTTTTACATTATACATACACATATTCAAAGTCATCTCTTAATAGCCCGAGCGAAATATTCCCCAAACTCGGACCTCTACATGGCCGTCCATCCCGGCTTCTGAACAGTTTCTTCTACAATGAAATTATATGACCATTCCGCGCTAGAACCCCAATATTTCACATCTCAAATGGGGATAACCGTGATAGGCTATGGGGTAGATCTTGACGTATTGTGCAGAAAGTGGGCTTGGAAGTAAATTGGTCACCGGCGTACCCCCGTCAAAATTGGCGGGAAATTCCTAAAGATACGGGGGAAATAGAATAGGCTATTAACATTTATTCATCTTTTATAAGTACATGCATTTCCTCTGTGTATTGGATTTTCCGTCGATCTTGTATACCTTTTTCAAATCCAAAATTTATCTTATCACTTCGACTAGTTTCTAGGAACCCGGGATCGTCCAAATGTCAAAGTTAACTTAGTCATTTGTCATTCAAGTTAGGCAATTGGTAATCAATTTCAGGACTTGTCCGTCTATTTTCGTCATATTTAATTTGAATTCGTCTCACCTACATGTAGTGATCCGCTGCAGAATGTAATAATCAAATTCGTCGTTGTGCGATTAATTTCCAGAGAGTTTCATTCAAATTTGTCGTATCTTATAACGAACGAATGACGAATTTATATGACACTTTGACGAAATTGATTGTAACAGACGAAGTTGTATTATGGAATTGTTCGTTGGCAGCCGAGGAGAACAAACTTGAATTCAAAGTACAAAAATTTGAACAATAACAAATACAATGAATAAAATGTTTACAAAAGTAATTAATAAAAAAAAATCGTGTACAAGTATATCATACAACAAAAATGTACGAAGCATACAAATAAGATAAGAAATTTCAAATGAATATTTTTCAATAAATGAGAGAGGTAATTTAGAACGCAGGAGACCACCGTCGTCAGCGGTTAGGCCGGAGATTGATGGCGGCCTCATAAAAAGAAAGAATTGGCGACATAACTCTCTTGGGAAAACTGAGTGATCCAGTGGGTGCAGAAAACAGTTGCATGATAAAGAATAAAATAATTCACGGTTTTATTGTACTAATTTCTGTCATCATTACAACGTATCCATTGAATGCATGACAGGCAGGGACTAAACTATATAAACTAACCTTCAAGAATCCACAATGCTCTTCTGAAACACCGACCCACGTTACACTATCGATTGCGAGTGACAGCGTGTAGGATGTTGTCCATTGATGGAGATCGCCGTATTCAGGTAGGGGTGGTCTACCCTGGGTCATGACCCCTGTCACCTGATACACTGTGCCGAGGTTAACCTGAGTGTGCATGTCGTAAGTAATGACAATAACGATATTTAATAATAATAACAACAAAAATAACGCATATATTGATAACAATAATGATAATGACAATAATAACGATAGTAATTATAATAATAAAAATTCAACGCAAAGCGTAACATCCCCTCTCCGACAAATGGCCTATATTTAGCCATTTTTGCATATTTAATTAGCTGTGACCTTTGACCTTTGACGTACATACTCACAACATTACTTACGTTATTGAATGAAAACCAAATTTTCGAATAATTAGCTTTTTTTCGCAAAATTTAATCAGCTATGACCTTTGACCTTTGACCTACATACTCTGAAATCGAACTTTGGTTGTGTTTTGTCCATGTACCTTCATATCCAATTTCATTAAAATCCGTCAAAGTTATCGAGGGGAAACCAGATTTGTTACGAACGGAAGGACGACAATGCGGACGGACGGACGGAAGCACGGACGGCAGCGTCATTATATCCTCTCCGAATTCGTCGGCGAGGGGATAATAATATTGATAATAATAATAATTACAATTATAACAATATTGATATAAGTAATAATAACAATGATAATAACAACGACACCAGTATAACAATAATTCGTTCTATAATACCTCTGATTGTTAATTCCATTCGTAAACAATAAATGCAAAGTAGGCCTACCTAATTCTCTCCACTCCACCCCGCCCCCTATATTACTGGACTGGCGCCACTACTTTTGTTGAATGTACAATTTAACAAACCAAATTAAACCATAAGAGTGAATTCCCTACCTTCCACCAGGATGATGTGCGTGAAGCGGGCCCCCAAGCAGAATTTCCAAAAAGACGTGCCTGGTAAGCCTTAACTCCATCTCCATAGACATGGGTTGAAGAAAATGAGCTATCGGGGATGATGCTACTATTTGCCACTCCTAATTTCTTTCCCAAGGGTGGAGCACATCTCAATTCGGCTCGTAGATATCACCTTTAGAGAACGATAAAGAAGGACTACTACTTGATACGGATATTGAAAATGGGTACACAGGAAATGAATATCGAACACAATCGCAAAGACACCGATACAACCAAAGGGATGGACAGAACGGCTGGGTGGGGGTTGTTTAGCAAAAAAAATGACGAAAGCCTAATAAAATGTCCTTATTTTCTGACATCGGTTGAAAAGACGGACGCTTTATTTACATTTAAATAAGCCAACATCGGATTTGCAAACAGAATGAGAAATAATTCAGGAAATTGATACCGAAACATGTTAAAAAAAACTTGTAATCCAAGATATCAACTTCAGGGCAATTTTTTTTTTTTTTGCGTTGCGATAACAAATCACGTTGGGATTACGTAACAGTCATTTCAAAATGTGGAGAACAGATATTCCATGGTTCATTTTTTCGAAAATCGTCTGCGATCATGTGCTAAATGGCGTATCAGGGGGGAGGGGCAGGGGCACGTTAGAGAAAAGGAACAAAAGTCATGATCTTCAAGGGTTATGCGCCCCAAGTACGAAAGGTAAATTGTATAAATAGAAATTGAATTTTGAGGGTTTAAAATGCGACGTTTTTCTAAAGCCCGGTCGCTTTTTCCCTCTCATTTGTTGCACAAGGACAAGGTGGGGAAGGGGGTAGAGGTGCTGGGCTTGGGGGCTCATCAAAGGATTATTAGAGTTCTAATATTCGAGCAACCATCACCTCATATCCGGCCAGTGACATGCTCGGTTATCTTCATATCCGGTCAGCAAGGTGCACGAAGATATCTAAAGCCTCGGTCACAAATGCCATTAAAAACGGCTACGAACGACGTAGGAACGATTTTCAGACAATGGAAATACGGGAAGACAATGGAAAAACAGGGATATTCGTACGAATTTATCGTTCATACGAACCTTTGTGACCGTAGCATAAGCTAGTGATTTTTCATGATGAAATATATTTCAAAGAAAGAACAGTTGATCATTTTCGCTCGCTCGTTCTCAAAATCTAAAAACAAACTGGTTCTTGACATGAGAAGTACTGAAAATGTTCACATGACGAATTAAATATCTTTACACCTCATTGGTAGTGTCTCTTTTTTCTCTCACTTTGCTCGCTTGTATAGTAATGTAAATACGTTTGGGAGGGGGTCAATTTCATTGCTTGCTCCGAGTGCTGTTAATGCCTAGATACGCCACTGTGATTGGATATGACAACAACAGCGTTAATAAAGAAAACAAACATAATGTTACCTATGTAATCAGCAAGTGGTCCATAACCTATAAGGTCAAAACGGAGACTTGGTGACCCAACGTAAGTACGAGGGTGAAGTCTAATGAAGCGCGCCATCAACGGAGGATGAAAGGAATGCTCAACAGGGGTCGTACGTCTGAAATTCCCTTGAAATACCTGACAAAGTGTTCAACCAGATTATTAAAATGAAAAATATGAGACACAAGTTTGAAAATAATAGTGAAGAATTATATTTTGTAAAATGCCCGGCTTTGCAATAATGATCCATAGAGGGTTGTTCCGGTATGGATCCCCATATGGAAACTCAGTTCATACCGTGCCAAGTTGCCACTTGAAACAGGATATTTTATTGCATACAAATTTCCTAGTCAACAATCTGGCGCCACATGTAAATGATTCGTCTCTCGGCAACTGCTCTAACTTCTAGTTCTGTATTCTGTCAAGTAGCGTAATACGTATTCTTTGAAAACCCAAAACTATTATAGTTAGCGATTTTAAACTCGCTTCTTCTGACTCCAAAATCTACGGTCTTAAAAACGACTTTAAAAGAAATTACGAAATAAGGTTTGTTCAACAAACCACGGATTACAGCAGATGCTACCAATGAATGAAATGAATAAATCCTAATTAGCCCCAATCGATTCTTGCATTTGGAAGAAATGTTTGGACTGATTAATTTTGTAAGGTGGTCTAGAAGGAAACGTGTAAATTAAAAGTCTATAAGTGAAGTAGAACACCAGACTGTTCATATTTGAATATTAAAAACATCTTTTCAATTCAGTATTTATGGGCTTATCAAATCTTCACCCGGACCACCACCTTGGATGTGGACATTCAAAGAAAATCACAAATATGTCAACTAATGTATCACTAGAAACTGGTTAGCTAATAGATGGCCTTGTTACAAGTTTTAGGTCAAGTAAACATGGGGTGATATATAAAAAAAAAATACAAATAACACCAACTCCATACCAACTGGGATATACGAGAGATTCGCCAGAAAGATAACGATGTTTTATGACGTCACATAATGCACCAATACTGCCCAAGCAGATGACATCCCATAAAGAATGAACAAAGTTGCAAAGCTATTATTTCTCAAATTATCATGAGTTTAGTGTATATAAATGTCATGGCATTTCAAACCATTCGAAAGGTGATATGAAACCGATTCTGATAACTAAAATATTTTGTTTATAAATACACAGGATAGGGGTTAATTAACAATCAAAGAAACCAGACTTTCAAATTGAAAACCCCCCGGAGTGATATTAAGGACGGCATTTGTTCCCTCTTGAAACGCCGAACATACCGCGGCGTGTGCAGTTGAAAATACAATGGCGTCTTATTTTGTTTACAAGCGACGGATCCCTTTATTTTTGTATCGCTGCATTTGTCATTAAAATAAAATCATGCGCGTGGTTTAGAGTAAGGCAATATATTATATATATTATACATTTAGCCTGACGGTAGTGAAGTAAGAGAAAGAACTCAAGAACAGATGACAAACAGGCACTGAAAATGTGTGAGATATCATGGGACATCGTCTGCTTGTGCAAATCAAGTTCATCCTGTGATGTCACACATCTCAGCAGCGTTCGGAGAGCTCTTCAGGTGCTATTCCGGGGCTGTATTTAAGCGTTTTGTAATTTATAATAATCATTACTTCGAATGTTTCCGAGCATTGAAGTTTGATAACCTTGTCGAATCAAAGTTTCAACTTTGCAATAGTGAAAATAAAGTTATTTTTTAATCTACTTTAAAGTAGATAACGAATTTCAAAAACGGTTAATCATCCGTGAAATGAAAGAGGAACAAAATCGGACGCAGATATTTTCGAGTCAGTACTAGATAATTCAATAGGGTGTTAAGACTGTTGCTCGCGTGCTGATTTCTCGAAAGTCTTCACAATCTTGTCAACCCCCCCCCCCCCCCCCCATCCAACTTCAAATTAATTAATATTCGCCTACCGTAGAATTAGAATACGTGTAAACATCCCTGTAGGATATCCAGGTGTCGGTATCCAAACGGAATGATATTGTATACGAAGTCGTACTGTCATCCAAGGAATGGTGACTCTGGGTGACAACCCCGGTGACCAAGTGCAAGGATTCCAAATGGATCTGAATCCAAGGGCTAGCATAGTCGTTTGCAGCCGGTATCCAGGTCGCGTTGGAGTGTAGGCGCCCGGCTGTGCTGTCACAATCAAGCGATGCATCACAACTTGATTTAGTAATGGCCGAATCGGGAATAATGCCGGAACTAATCCCCAGAGGCTCCCCTTCAGGTCCGCATACAGGAGCTGTACGCACATTGTTTGGAGAATAATATCATGCCAAATATTTCTTTACATTTTGTTTAACACCAATAAACAATAACGAATTTTCATTTTCGGTTTAATAAAATTTGGAGTGGACTAAAAGATTATTATTATTATTTATTTCTTTCTGTTTGTAATTGGACAGAATGCACGAATGAATTCTACAATTTAAAGTAGTATACGTAAGTTGAGGGCTCACCAAGAAATGCATATATTGTTAAGTTATATATTTATCGTAAATCAATTAAGTCAGTTCCATGTTGACTGAACTTTAAAAAAGTATATATTGCAACTTCGACAGTTAAAAAACTGAAAAGACTGTAGAGCTGCTAGATGCAGTGAAAATGGGCTTGTTCGATATTAAAGCAATACTCAATCAGGTAACCTGAGACAAATTAACAAAACGAAAAGTGAGAGAAATCTTTCTCTATATAGATAGGATCCGGATTATAACAAAAAAGAAGATTGGAAAAAGGAAAAGAAGATAATGAAGAATGATGATGATGCTGATGATGCTGCTGCTGCTGCTGATGATGATGATGAAGATGATGATGAAGGAAAAGAGGAAGAAGAAGGTGGAGGAGGAGGAGGCTTGATTCGGTCAGGAAGTGACACAATCCGAATATAACGCCTCGTGTGCATAAGCTATGAAGCATAATACTCACATGTACAGCAAACCACTGCAATGATCATATCACTGATTACACCATCCCTTGGTCTGGATTCGTACCAGCATTCTGATATGTTCCTCGCATCCTGACCACACCGTATATCACCGTACTCTAGACTAGAGTTGGAATCAGTAGTGTTGTACACATTGCCGCTCAATGTAGCATAGGCTCCCCGACTATACCCAAGGTGCTGGCAGACCAGATGGGACGTATTCATGGACCAGGCCTCATTTGTAAACAGTTTAACTTGGGAAGGAGAACCGTGGCTGGTGAAGCCCACTCTCCCTTCGCTGGTGCCATGATCAGTTCCATGGACACTTACAGATAGGATCATAGAAACTGAATTAAAGAAAATAAGTTATAGCGTTATAAAGAAGAAATCGAAGTGTACTACATAATGGTTTCAATATCGAAGAGCATGATTTTTAAAGGCAATGAATCACATGTGATCTGCAGTTCTTCTTCTCGGTTAAACATAAACCACCCAATTTTACTTTCTTGGTTATACCCGGGTAACAATCGGGGCAGCGCCAGGAGCGTCACAACGTGACGGACATGTGCGCTATATAAGAATCCACCATTATTATTATTATTATACTACCCTATATACCGGTATGGCACCCTATTGTAATTGTTCTGGATGGGTGCATGTATTTGGGTATTTATATATCAATGATAACAGTGACAATTAGGATAGGAATACTCTTTTTGACAATTTGTATGAATGATGCTTACTTCAGTATGCGATCTGGAAAATCAGTTACCAGAGGTATTTATTATCCAGGCGAACGCCCCCTCCAAACTCCACCTTTAAAATATCAATTCTGTCTGAAAACTAAGATTTAATAAGAGCATCCTTTTGGCTTGCCGGCAGGTTTCGTAGGACGCCCCCCCCCCCCCCCCAGCCCCCCCCCCCCCCCCCACACACACACACACACACACATACACACACACATACTTGCTCACGCATAGAAGCCTATGCCCCTGCATGGAAAGTTCCTGATTCATGGAATGAAAAGGAAATGAACTTACATGTTTCGCAACTGTTGCCGATATATCCGTCTGGACAGGAACAGGTAAATCCTTCAAACGTTTCATGGCATGACCCTCCATTGAAGCAAGGATTGCAGAGACATGCTGTGGGAGAATGGATATGGGTGTGATATAATGTATCCTGCATAACCTGCGCTAATAAAGCTAACTTTTCGTTACATGTTCCTCCATTGAGGCACGGATGTCTGAAACATGCTGTGGGTAAAAGGGATATGCCTGTTCCACATAGGGCGTAAACTCGGTAGCGTCATTTCGTGCGCCAATGAGCCTGTAAAGTCCTACATATCCCGAGCCGTTACTTCAATTGTATTTATTACCTGCACTAATGAAGCCTAAAAAGGTTTCGTTCCTCCGTTAAGGCAAGGATGGCAGAGAATTTTGTGGGAGAAGGGCCCGGGAGAAGGGATATTATTTTGAAATAATACCTGCTGCACACAAGACTTCATTTGGCTTGCGTTATTCCATGCGCTGTTGAAGCCTCTCAAGGAGTTTAAGTCTATACGCCAGAAATTTATCGCAGTACTAGTGTGTGAATTGTTGATTTAGCAATTATTTGTTGTACCATTGGCCATCACATTGCCCGTCACGGACCCCACAAGTCACTGACACAGCTCTACGTGAGGCCTCATTATAATTGGCTTGATTCGCAGAGGTCGTAACGCAATCTATGCCTTTGATGATGATGATGATGATGATGATGATGACGCTGATGATGATGAATAATATCGAACTAAAATGGTATTTATTTCTAAAATCCACAAAGTAGCCAAAGGGCTGAATTACATGGAGTTTACAAAGTAAAATATCAACAAATAAAACGTCTTACAAATCCATACATTTATCATCGTCATACAGCTATGAATAAGGATAGCGCTGATGATGATGATTATGATGATGATGGTGATGATGATGGTACTGATGATGATGAAATTGACAATGATAATGACGAAAATGATGATGGATAATGAGATTATGATGATGATGATGATGATGATGATGATGTTGGCAATGATAAGGACGATAACAATAATGAATAATGAAATAATGATGATGGTGGTGGTGGCGATAGAATTATAAATATGGAGATAATCTGAAAACGATCTGTGGTGTCAGTTGTATTTTAAAGGTACAGCAGCCATCATGGCCGTCTTCTAACATCGATAGCTTCCTACCTGGTTCTCTGCAAACGTGATGGAAGACGGTCCTCTTATCTAAGAGGCTGAACAGAGTCTGTAGTTCTTTCGGAGCCTCTTTCAGTACGTACTCTATCACATCGCCTTCATCAGAGATCCGGGTTGGGCATTTTATGTTTGTCAGGCAAGGCTGTTGAACGTCTGTAACGCGTGTAATGTGAACATCGATTACACTATCATATTAAAATGAATGAATTAAATTAAGTATTATGATAATAATCCAAAAAAATATTATAGAACTAATAATGATAATGATGTTGGTAATTGGGATAATATTAATCATTATTTTATTTTCATTAATATAATAGTTATGGTCATAATCATTTTTATAATTATGATCATGTCAAAAATAATAACATTTACAATGATAGTAATGATAATCATAATAATTTAAATAATTAAAACAAATATGCACTATGTCTTAACTTAAATCCCATCTGTATTAGTTTACAGGAGGGATTCGAACACCTTGCAACGTCGCTGACATGTGTTATCTTATCAAATCAGCTCTCAATTAACATACGAAAAAGAGGATCAAAGGGACCAATGGTCACCGATTAGGCATTGTATGCTATACAGTGTGAGTCAAAAAAAAGTTTACACCTAGATAATTGCTAATTATTTTAAAAATCATCTATGAACAGTAAATTATTATACATCTTATGAAAGAATGTTTTATCCCAAATCGTTTGGTATCATATTTGTGTGGTATGTGTTCACGCTTGGATGAACAGGAGGCATTGTTTGCGAGAGTGCAAAAATCGACTTGCGCCAAAGTTGCTTATGTGATGTTTGAATAAAACAATTGGGATTTCGGTATTAATTCGGTCTTTGCAGATCCAAATAACATCCCTAACAGAATTAATCATGCCACATATATCAAATATCGAATATGAAATATCAACGAACAGTTGTGCGCGCGTGTGTGTGTGTGTGTGTGACTTTGCTTCTGCAAAAAGCATATGCAATGCATTTCATTTGATACATTCAAATCATTCTCTCACTCCGCTAATCCCCACATAATACATACAGTAGGCATCACTTTTGCGCAAGTCGATTTTTGTACTCTCGCAAACAATGCCTCTTGTTTATCCAAGCGTGAACACATACCACACAAAAATGACCTCTAAACTCAGACTATTATCATGATATTAGTAGTCACGTTGGTAGTAATAATGATTTCTATTAATTTTGTTTTATTGCACTAGATACAAAGCCTATTCCTGAGACAAACCATAACAAATTATTCGTTGTCAAATGATATTCAATTTAATAGTTCTACAACTGCAGCTTGGGAAATTTATGAACAAAATATTCATCAGCACGATCGTATGAATTAATGATTAGTTTTTGTCGGCCCTTTTACAATTTGACTTATAACGATATTAAATGCCCACTTGCAGGCCAATTAATCAATCATTTTAAGTGACATAGAATTGTATGCATCCTTCTTTTTTGTGGTAAATTTGTGATCCGGAAGCGATGTGATCTAAAAGCTAGTTTCAAGGATGAATTATTTGGCAAGGTCAAGTGTGCGTTTCTACATCCAATTAATCTTTATTTTACCATTGCCTAAAGCATGTCAAGTAGACAAAAGACGAATTCAAATTGAATAATTCCTTGGTTATTCATGGTAGTTAATCCGAAGCACTTGCCATCTTATATTATTGAAAATGTTCATATGGATATTTCAAATTTGAAGAGGAGTCTACCTTGAGTATTTCGGAATACATAATGGATGATTAATTATAACTAAAGCGAATAAAATAGCGTGTTTTAAAGTTCACAATATGGAAGAACTCTAACGCTCGATTGCGGTGCTCCCTTGAAATAATTCAGAAAGCCTAAAGAATTAAAATGTCATCTACTCGATTGCCTTGCTCTCCCCACTTTTACAATTACTATTCTATCATTATTCTACCATCCCACGTCATTGCATCATCATCATCATCATCATCATCATCATGTTAACATTAACGATTCACTTAATTAAAAACTTAGAATTGTTTAGCTTATAAGTTTGCGAAATGGAAAAAACATTATTGTTTTTTCCCGGGCTTCTTATTCCTAGATATGTCACTTATAATACGTCATGTATAAATACAATGAAGAATCCTGGCCAGATCCATGATTTATAATTTCCAACTGTTAATTGATAAATTCGTGAATTTCGGAAGTCCTACTTTCATACTCCAACCAACATTTGAATAAATCAAAGATATTGGCCTAAGGGTGAGGATTACTATTGAGTGTTCAAGTTGGTTTTCGGTTAGGTTTAGGTTTAGTTAGGGTTACGATTAGTGTTAAGCTTAGGTCCGGGGTTGAAATCAGGAAATATCTTAGCGTATAAAATTACTAATGAGAGCAAAAATGTCTCGGGTATAACATTTGCTTATTTCCACTCCAAGCTTCATTTACGTGAGGACATTTTCATGATTATCATCATCATCATCATGTTACGAGGAGAGGTAGATCCTGTAATCCTCGGTCACTTCTTCATGGTTGGTTATGTTCCATATACATGCACTATGTGTTTTATTTATTTAAAGAGGTGATCATCGAACTAATTATCGCTACCGAATCTAAGATTTATTATTTTTAATATTTTCATTCTCATCAAAGGTTTCCTATGGTGACGATATTCTTTTATTGTATTACTAGCATCAGAGCGAAAAGGATTGTCCCTCCGTACCCGTGATTTTTGTTATAATCTCATGAATTTGTTTTTTAATCATAAAAGATACTAATGGCTATATGAATTTAATCACTAAGCAGCATCCATTCTCCCCCCCCCCCCTCTCTCTCTCTCTCTCTCTCTCTCCATCTCTCTCCCTCTCTCTGGAAAAGGGGTGGGGTTTAGGAGTTACGTTCGTGATACTGTGTGTGGTGTTTTTCTCTAGCGCTCTCTCTCTCTCTCTCTCTCTCTCTCCATCTCTCTCTCTCTCTGGAAAAGGGGTGGGGTTAAGGAGTTACGTTTGTGATACTGTGTGTGGTGTTTTTCTCTAGCGCTCTCTCTCTCTCTCTCTTTTCTCCCTCTCGCTCTCACTCTTTTTCTCTCTCTCTCTCTCTCTTTCTCTCTCTCTCGCACTAAGACTTTCTCTCTCTCTCTCTCTCTCTCTCTTTCTCTCATTCTCTCCCCCTCCCCCCCCCCCCCCCTCCCAACTACTCATTGTTCTTGTCAAATAAACACTTACCTCTATTGGCTCCCTGTACTGAACCGTACAGAAGAAAGGAAAGGCACAACCAGATCTTGTATTAAAGAGAGAAAATATTCACAAAAATCAAGTTAAGGGGCTATTCGGTTGATTAAAATTCTTTAAAAAAATCAATTAAGTAACAAATTCAATATGAATCAAAATAAGGTGGATACGCCCTTCAGATTTTGTGGGAATAATTTAGGGTTAATACTGCGAACGTAAATGTATACATGTAGATGTGAAGTCAGAATTTCAAGTCGATATTTATTAAAATGTGTGCTCATACAGTATAGAGACCCATTCGTGGAATTGTGTTCCAAAATTGAACAACTCAATGTTCGTTTTATGAAATCCATGGTAACCACATCGAAAGCTTACATGAAGTCTACTATCATAAAAGCTCCCTGAAATTTGTTTCCATTCATTTAATCTATCATATCTTAAAGTAACCTTATATTAAACCACTTAATCTATTTTGTAAATATCCAACCTGGTTATCATTCACAGTATTTGATTAAGCGACTTGCTAAGAGTGCAGCGGCTATTTTGTAGTCGCAGTTGAATAATGTCACTGGCCGCCATTTCTTCAAAATCTCAGGACAGCCTTTTTAAATAACAAAGTTATCAGCCCTTTTCTTTGGAAAAACAGATAAATGCTTTACATATGAATAATTTAGGGCATCGACTAAAATCTGATCTATTTTGTTCCAAAAAGTTTTATAGAGTTCGATTTTGGAATCCATCTATAACAGGTGATTTATTGTTTTTCAAATTTCCTATTTGTCATTAATCCTTCACAACTTTCTGTATCTTTATATTTAAGTTTAGGACATTCATCATAACCAGGGTCGTAAATCCCGGGGGATGGGGGGGGGGCTGCATCCCCCCTGGCTTGAAGTAGGGGGGATGGCCTGTACAAACATCCCCCCTGATATCATCCCCCCCCCCCCTGAAAAAAAATGCTTATTCAGCGGTCGGCTGAGTCGTTGCGATTTTTTGGAGACCAAAAAAAAAAAAAAAAGTGTCCTCTTACCCCCCCCCCCCCCCCCCCGCTTATTCAGCGGTCGGCTGAGTCGTTGCGATTTTTTGGAGACCCCAAAACAAAACAAAAAAGTATCCTCTTACCCCCCCCCCCCCCCCCCCCCCCCCCCGCTTATTCAGCGGTCGGCTGAGTCGTTGCGAAATTTTCGGCCCGATTTATAAATGTTAACCCCCCCCCCCCCTTGAAAAAATCCTGCGTACGCACCTGGCGTGTAGTGCTATCGCCGATCATCCCCCCCCCCCCACTCCTCGGTACGGATTTACGCCCCTGATCATAACACAAAAATCATCAATAATTTCTAAACTAATTTCTTTTTTCTTGTAAAGCCGCTAAATATGTATCTATTGACCTCACTTATTATTTCTTGTTGATTTCTTATCAACCTATTCTTACCATCCTGTGTCTTTAATTGTGTTAAGGCTTTTTTCTCACCATTTCGTTTTTCTAGTGACATGAAATATCTTGTGTTCTTTTCACCTTCGTCCATCCTTCGAATTCCATACCAGCTCCTTTGCATACTTTTGGGGTTTATTTTTATATTTGTCCTTTAACTAACTCATATACCTCTAAAGTTTTTGGATCTCCTTCTACTAATTTCAAATCCAAATCTTGTAATCTTGTTTCTAAATCTGAAGAATTAATTTATTTTTTTACTTTCTAGCAGCAAATATTTGTGAAAATTCTTTGCCCTTATTTTTAAAAATCTATTTCACACTTCATAAAAAACAAATCTTCATCGCTTACACATTTTAAAATAATATTCTAAATTTCGACTCGGAATGATCCATCCTCTTAAAGAGAAACATTTATTTTCCAATAACCAGGACCTTTTACACCTTTCCCCATTCTTAATATCAGCGAAATGGCATTGTGTTCATTTCTTAACATTGGACGTATATCAGAAGATACTACCAGTGGTATAGATTTATTTCAATTTCGAAGTTTTTTTTATAGCAATATTAAATTGGCGTATATCTTTGTGATGTTTCCTTCACACATCTAGAAACTTCAGATTTCCGAATAAATTCTTAAAAGCGGTTGGTTTCTTGTAATATACACCAATAGCACCTCGTTTGTCCTTTGTCGGATTAATTGTACAATTCATATCTCCTCCTATCATTAAGTGCCTTTTATTCTTTTTCATTGCTTTTTCAATACAAGTGTGAATTTGTTTTAAAAAATCTGTGTGCCTTCTCTTTGTTGGTGCATATATATTTAAAAAAAAAAAAAAAAAAAATCCTATGTTGACCATTAATTAACAATAGTTGACCATCATCATCGGCAAAAAACACGTTATCTATCCATTCACTCTAAATAACATTTCCAAGAACTTTAGACCACTGAGTTTTTTGGATAAAAAGACCATCACTATTTTGTGTGTAGACTACCTGAATGTTTGGCTGCGTCCTTTTTTTTGCGCATACCTCTTGAGTTAATACTCAGTAAATGACAAACTTATAAATCAATTAGGAAAAAAAAAAAAACACAGATAATATCTTTAATTTTTTTCAGTTCCATCACATCATTGACGAAATCATTTATTTTTGTTGGTATGTTCGATGGATATATATATAATAATCATAGTCATAATCAGAATGAAAGACTTACCAGCGCTGCTCTTTCGCCAGTCGCCATCCTGTTAGTAACGCTTCCCGAATACAGTAACCTTCATCCACAGCGTGTCCACACACAAACAAGTTATCCCGAAGCTCTATAACGAAACGTCGTATAAAGAATCATCGTATAAATTCCAGGATGTCTACAAACACGAGAAAGTAATCCTGAAACTCTACAGCGAAATGTCGTATAGGTGCGCAGTTTGCTACTGCGATCATGAAATGGGAGCGGAAATGAGAGGTCGGGTCTCCTTTCGCTCGAGGTCACGTTAAGCCCCGCCCAGTTATACCGTTCTAGTTCGACTAGTTATACTAGTAACGTCCACACACAACACATTCCATGATTAGACGTGATTAGGCGTGATTCTTGATACGTCGTATAACGAAACGCAGGTTCGGGCATCGTTTCGTTATACGACGTTTCGTTATACGACGTATAGTATAGCGTCCACACACACAATTTCATCGTTTAACTATCGCGAAACAGTACTAATCACGCCTAATCACGGAAAATGTTGTGTGTGAACACGGGGTGACTAGCTCTTCTGGTACCTACCCAACCGTCAAGGCTGAGTGAGGTTATTGTTCTCAAGTTCTATTACGTCTCCCATCAATGTGGTGGAAGATAATAAGAGAATGAGGGGAGAGAATGAGAAGGGGAGAGAGAAAATATGAGAGAAAGACAAAAAAGGGGAGGGAGAGAGAGGAAATAGAGAAAGAGAGAGAGAGAGAAAGAGATCGGTGGAGGGAGGGGGAAATAGGATAAAAACTAACAGAGGGGAAAGATAAGGGAGAGGGGTAGGGACAGAGAGAGTTTACGAGTTTTCCCTTTCTTTTTTATGTCAGCTAAGTCAGTAGGGAGATCGTGGTAGAAATATCCCCCGTAAAGGATTGCATTTCAAAATGCCGTCTTATACGAAATATGATGAGAAACAGTTAAATAGTTAGAGACGTTCCTCCATGTCATTCGTCTGCGTACTCCCACATAAATTATACCCATTCCTTAGAGCAGTGCACTTGATTTTCAGCAACATAAAGTCAATTTCTGATCTTTTAATGATTATAAAATATCAGATTATACACCAATTCTTATGAACTCACGTGTATATTGATCTTTCCCAGTTGCTTCAACTATCATTTTCGTCATTCTTGCATTTCCATTAGACCTACTTAACATTATATTTAAGACAACGTCCACTCATGGCATCAAATAGGCTTGAATAAGAGCATGAAATTGAGAATATCATATTATCGGAAACTTTAGGAAAAACAGATAAAGAATAGAAATTTAGAGTTAGGCCTATAAATAATTTGGTATTTGTGATGAAAAAAAGATGAAAAATTACCAAAATGTCGTTAAAAGGTTTTCTAAGACTGACATTTTTGGGAATCAGCGATTATTTTGTAAACTGGATAAGATATTGAACCCTTCCTCTGACCAAAAGTGACCATAACGGTTAGTATTGGCTCCCAAAGTGGCAAAATTTTTCAAAATATCTTGAAATGGTCTGTACGTAAGACTGGCATGTTTGGAATCAGCACAAAGTTTTACCCCGGATAAGCTATTCAAACCTTCCCCATCAAATTTCTTGATTAAAGCCCTTTTAATTATTTCTAATAAAAGGGTATTCACTGCAGAGTGCAATTCCAATTGAATTGTTATATCGAATTTCGATGGCGCGTACCCTAATTTAATAAAGTGATCGCCTATTAAAAACAAAAACTTTTAATACATTTTTTATTGTGAAGGTGATATAGAACACAATGCACAACAACTTCATTGAAGTGAGCAGAATCTATTTATGCGTTGTAGCCTCGGTTTCTTTTGTGTACATACTAATCCAATCACTCTAATGCATACATCTAGCATGCCAACGATTCCACTTTTCTTTCATGGACAGGTCTACCATGATATCAAAGTTGTTTTTAATAAAAACAGACAAATAAGGAAACGCATCAGTGCAAGTACCGGTATTGAATAAAACACGTCAAGGTGACAACGCTGTGATTTTACGAGGCCTTCTCCCAATAGCTCTGCATAGAAAATTAAATAAATTGCCATTTCGGTTGTAGATGAAGGAAAATAATGTTTATTTTGTAAAGGGGCGGGTTCCTTGCACGATATATTGTGCACTAATTATCTAGGGCCTATAGATAATTTATCTCCAAAGTAAACATATTGTAAGAATAATGACAGAGTTAAGAATCGTTTTAGTAGAAGGCAATCAGGAGAGGTGTTCGTAAAGTAAATCAAAGAGTTGCCTATTTGTGTTTGATCTTTCACGACTTCCATAAACTCTCAAAACTTTTGTTATCAGACTATTCCTAAAACTTCCACCGATCTCTTTCTTCCATTCGCCTGATGAAAGCCATACTGTACGATTATCTATACAATGCACATCATTATTAGGCAGTGGCAGATCCAGGGGGGGGGGGCCCGGAGGGCCCGGCCCCCCCCCCCCCCCCTTGAGAAAAAATCATGTAAAATCACGTGATTTTTACCTTTTTTGGGTGTTGGGCCCCCCCCCCCCCCTGGTGCTCAAGGGGGGGGGTACAAATTGAATTTTTTTTTCAGGATCAAAAAAAAAAAAATTTTATTGCACCCCTCTGTAAATAATCGAATAGTCCATAGCGATCATGAAAATTTATGTTTTTGCTTACCACGGCAAAATACTTGCCTATAGATACTAAATGGAGAAATTACGGTGGGGGGTTGGCTGAAATGGACATAATGAACCGATCAGAACTGATCTATGATAATTCATGCTTGTTATTCTTCGTGTGCTTGACCTATAACCTTACAATCGCGTGTCAAATTGCGTACAATGTTCGACCTGTTTCACAATTATATGGAAGAGAATAATCATAATAATAATAATAATAGAGTATATTTATGTAGCGCATAATAAATTGTAAATTTCTCTATGCGCTTTACAGTTTTGTACAATCATAACAATTTGAATATATAAACAACATTAATACAACAATAAATAACAAAATAGATAAGCAAATGACTAAAAAAATATTGATCAGAAAGTAAACCAATTAATGCACCTATAATTACACCTACAAGTATATACTGCTTACTTCTCAATTCCACTTCTCAAGGATTGAGATATTCACGTAATATACTATTCAAATATTTATATAATTTATCTGAAACATGGTATGTATAAATTATGAGGCCTTGGGCCACGCAGGATTTCTGCTAGATGCTAGATAACGCCTATCTGACTCTAAAAGCATTATCGACAATGAGATAACCAGCATAATAATCCCGACGGCTGATCTTACAGGTGAATGAACAGCTCCTTTATCTCTATCCAATGAATGATCTTGATGTTGAACAAATCACGCGATGTCATGATCGCTGAAGACGTCGTGGAAGGGTTCTCGACCCTTACATGGTGACTTACGTGTTCACCAACTGTTGAATAGGATAATTTATCTTCCTTATTATGAGCAAGTTGTGCCGCAATGTTAAGAGCTTAGATCAAACTTTGGTACAGTATCTTAAAGAGATAAACGAATATGAAACATAAGTGTGACGGATTTCCCTCTCAGAACTCGGGTCATCATTTTAAAACTTAATAGTAGGGGCCTAGTCTATACACTTACACGGGGAACTCGGGAGTATAGAGGCGAGGCGGACCGTCACCTTGCCCCCATCCTTGTTGAGGGAAGGGGTCGGAGCAACCATTGAGCATACTACGGTCATTGGTTAGTGTGCTGCATGATAATGTGAGGGGAACAGAGAGAAAGAGAGATGAAGAAGAAGAAGAAGAAGAAGAAGAAGAAGAAGAAGAAGAGGGAGAGAGAGAGAGAGGAGAGAGAGAGAGGGAGAGGGAGAGAGAGAGAGGGAGAGAGAGAGGGAGAGAGAGGGGGAGGGGAGGGGGATTAAAGAGGAAAAAGTGACACAGAGAGACAACTGTGGGAGAGAGAGACAACGAGAGGAAGAGAGAGACAGAGAGGAATGGAAGAGTGTGGAGAAAGGAAGGAAAGAGAGGGGCGCCGAGAAAGAGAATGAGGGATAAAGGAAAGAGGGAGAGGCAGCTAGGCAGAGAATTTTTTTTTAAGTAACGGAACTTATTATTTTAAAATCCAGAAATAGACGTGTTTTAAGTAGTATATATAGGCCTACAAGTGCCTTTTATTTCTGTGAGTTCATTTTTAAAAATAGAAAGCCAGGTGAATTAGAAAACAGTATTCGACAATGTCTGCAGCTCCCTTTGAATTTGAAATGTACTACCATAGAAAATCACCCTGAGATAAAAAGTCGGTCAGAACCGTAAGGAGGAATTTAAATTTAAAACTCCTAATTTCCAAAATGATATAAATTAAAAAACCTAAGCGAAGCTAGTTGGTATCGTATTTAGATAGATATGTGATGTACGCTTTCAACATTCTACACTTTCAGAAAAAATGTTTGAAAATGTACAAATCACCCGAGGCTTTCAAATCATGTCACTCCCAGGTATGAGGTTGAAAGGCAGTGTGAAATGGGCTCAAGTTGCCTTTATTATGCAGGGGCGGGGCTTTTAGATCTTGCGTGACATGACAAAGTTATGTAATATCCACCCGGGGGCCGTGAGGGTAAAGAGAAGGGGGGGGGGGGTCGTTACTCGGGTACTTGGTTGTTGTTCCTCCCAAAGATTCCTAGTGGAATTTAAACTGGAGGTCGAGGTGGCAGAGGGTGGAGGGTCGTTGAGTAGAAATAAGAAAAGATTTTTTTTTAAAGTAATTTCACAACACCCCCTCCCACCTCACTGAGCTAAAATAACGGTCTGCGCGATTTTCAAATTTCCGCCCCCCTCCTCCCACCCCCCCCCCCCCCCATTGGTAAATCCTGTATCCGCCACTGAAGAGAATTACTGGCATGAATATAAAAATTTAAAAAGTTCATGTCCTGCCCAGGGCCGTAGCCAGAGTTTGATGTTTCGTTGGGGGGGGGGGGGGGGGCACATACATGTAATTGACGTCCTGGAGAGGGTCTTAAAAAGTTCAATGGGGGGGGCACGTGCCCCCCCCCCCTCCCCCCCCCCCCCCTCCCCCCCCCCCCTCCCCCCCCCCCCCCCACCCGTGGCTATACGGGCCTGGTCCTGCCCCTTTCTATGACGAAAAATCTCATTAAAAACACTCCACCAAAGAAATTCATCTAGATCTATCTTCTCAACTTCCATTCATTCGGAATAGTTGTTCCTAGCTTGAAAAAATAAATAAGAAATTATGGAACATCAAGTAAAATAGAGCTTATTATAATAATATTCGATTCATGCCACTTTATCATAAATTGAAAATTATTAACAAAGAAAAATATGGACTGAGGAAATTCAGAATTTCATTCAGTTTTTGGTGTCAGAATAAGAATGCTGATTAATCCAGTCTGCGCGAGCGACTACATAATTCTGACGACGTGAAAAGTGACGTGTCGTGTACTTGATCATCACAGCAGCTCAGCTCAGTATATTCTCCAAAATGGCCCCAAAGAATGACGATGTGGATGAATTATTTGAAATAAGGAACTCATTTTACATCGGGAGCTTCCAGCAATGTATCAATGAAGCCCAAAAATTGAAGGTAATATGGGTTTAATGCTATTGTTCGACAATTTATTGCAACTAATTTTATAGAACGGTCCCATGCGCTGCATTTCATGTTGTTTAGGTCCTTTCGTGACTATCCGGTAGACTGCTAAAATCGGAAGTCTTCGCCTGTGAACTAGCAAGTTCAAAGATACCATGTCCCTTTTGCAGCCAACATCAAATTCTGTAGAACTTTGCAGGAATTATGAATATGTCATGTATAAGTGTGGGGGCATGCTCATGCTAACTTTACAAACATCTAACAGCTTCGGAGTTCGTTAGTGGACTCTTGACTTCAGAACTCTTTTTTTCTCACCTGATATTTAAAAGATTTGATCTTGTCTGTTTTTTCTTGATTTTTCTAATTCTAATTTTAATTCTAATTTTCTTTTTGAACCAGCCTTCAAGCCCAGACTTGGCTCTCGCAAGGGATGTGTACATGTACAGAGCGTATGCTGCTGCTGTAAGTTTTATTGATAATTCTTGTAAACAAATTATACATGTAACTATTTAAACAGTCATGGCATTCTTCTCATCTCCAGACCATGTACATACATGCAGGCCTCTCGCCAAGAAATTAAAAACGCGTGGCGCGACCCGAGGGAAAATTTGCCCCCCCCCCCTCAAAAAAAAAAAAAAAAAGTAAAAATTTGATTTTTTTTTTTTTTTTTTTTTTTTTTTTTTTTTTTTTTTTTTTATTTAAATTTATTTTTTACAAGTATTACAAGTAATTTGATGAATTTTTAATACCATACCTGCCAACCCTTACGAATAATTCAGAATATTCTGTTTTGGGGGATTTCTAGGACCAGAAAATCCGGAATTTTCTGATTTTTCAAAAAAAAAAAAAAAAAAAAAAAAAAAATTGATTTTTTTTTTTTTTTTTTTTTTTTTTTTTTTTTCAAGAACGCGTGGCGCTAGGTCGGGCCGATCAGGAACGCGTGGCGCGCGCGCCACGCGTTATCTGTGTACGCGAGGGCCATGCATACATGAATGATTAGGAATCAAACGTTGTTATGTAAAATCATACAAATTGTTATGATAGATGTAATTTTGTATGCTGTTTGTATATTTGGTCTGTTGTTTAAATCATGTGAGATTTAGGAAGCCTGCTTTTACTGAACAAAGGATATTTTCTAAATTAATTTCATGAGAATCAAAGATAGAGAGGTGGAGAGGATGGAAGAAAAGGAAAAGAATTCAAAAAGAAGAAGAGGGATAAAAGGGAGGAAAAGAAGGAGAAGAAGAACAGAAAGAAGAGGAGAAGAGAAGGAGAATATGTACAAGAAAAGGTAGGAGGGAAAAAATGGAAAAAATGCAAAAAAATGAGGAAAAAGAAGAGAGAAGAAGGAAAAGGAGCAAGAGTTTGATTATGATAGGACAAGAATATTCCAAATACAATTTAGATGCAAGATGAAATATCAGAAAAATATCAGGTGCTATAAAAGAGAAACTGTTGATGATTTTCAATTTGACTGGTTTGTTTTCAATTGTGTTATATGACAGGGTCGTTATGGAGTGGTACTAGATGAGTTATCTAGCGCATCGTCACTAGAGCTGAATGCAGTACGCCTCTTTGCTGACTACCTTGCTAACCCAGACAGGAGGTAATACAGACAAACCTGGAAATTAAAGACCGATCAAGGAAACTAAAATGTGGTATTAATGGTTTTAAAGCATAGCTTTAGAAGAGAAATGGTTAAAGGGAAAAAATTGTGGTCTTAAGAGACATGTAGTCTTTCTAAACAGGTGGTTGCTAAACCCATTTTATTTGTATTACACGGACAGTCAAACCTGTTTGTAAAGACAGCTCAAGGGAAATAAGAAATGTGGTCTCTGTTTGTAAATAGTCTCTATATTTGGTGGCCTTTCTGTACATGCATTGTTTGTCCCATATACAGGTTGTATTATTGACCACATCTCAAAATTGAGTTTAATCTGAAGAAAAAAATTCTTTATTTAAAAAACTCCTAGAGATTGGATCAGGCAAAATATGGGGTAAAATCACACTGGTTATGTCAATTTATGTTCATAAGTCCCATCATAATTTATATCGTATGGGACATCCAATGACCAAATACCTTTGATGGTGCCTATCAGCATATATGTTATAATGATGGCTACAGTTTTATACATACCTTAGCTTAATCTTTGACCTATGATAGGTCAAATATTATGAAAAACAGCCAGAACTATTTATATAGGCTATGCACCATGTAACCTCAGGAAAATGTGCTGTATAAATCAAATTATTATTATTGTTATTATTTTGCTGTTGTTGTAGGGACAAGGTTGTGTCTGATTTGGAGCGTAAAATGAGTAGCAGTGTGGATGCCAACAATGATACCTTTCTACTCATGGCTGGATCTATCTACTATCATGAACAGGTCGGTTGAGACACTATAATCACATAGTTTTTGTGCTATTGTCAGTCGCAACACATGAAGCAGTGTCTGACATGTAAGACTAAATTGTGTCAAGTTACCTTGAAATGCACTGTGCGCTGTTAACGGCTGCCAGAACTAAAGCTAGGGTAATAATTTCAAAAGCTCTTTGGAAGCGCATAGAGATGTAATATAATGTGATATGCGCTATAAAAGAACTGAATATTATTATTATTACTTTAGCTGCTCCTGTTCAAAATAATTCTGTTTTTGCAGACTAATGATCACCTGCCAGGGGTTTAAAAACTTTGATGTATTGTAAGTTTATATCAAATCTATTGTTTATATCTAAAATATTAAAACGAATGTTTGTATGTATGAGGAAGTATATATTATTCTAAATGATGGTATGTTTTGCAGAGGCACATAAAGACAAAGATGCTGTTTTCTCCTGATCTCACTTCAGTTATGACCCCTCCAAATATATTGTAAAATTGAGAGTGACATTGTTTCTAGCTAATTATGAGCTAATATTTACAGTTTTATTTTATTTTGTTAACAGAACTACGATTCAGCCTTGAGATGTTTACGGCAGTCAGAGTCACTGGAGTGGTAAGTACAGTGAGAGCCAGAAGGGCGCCAAGTCTATGTTAACGTACATGATGTAATGCCCTACTTGCTCCAAACAGATGGTCTGTTCGTGTTTCATCTAATATGAGACTTGATGATTCAGTGATATCAAGATAATGCCCTAGAACCCTTTTGTAACACATTATTCCTCAATTTCCAAGGAAATGTAGTTTACTACCGGTATACCTTCATTATTTGTGGTACAGGGGCTGTTTATGGAGTCATTCAAAGGGATAAAAGAAATACAATATATTTTATTATTGATCAGTATTCCCTTGACCACACTACAACAACTAATTGTGAGTCCCAACTCCTGTCAGCAACTTGCACACAGGACATAACTTTGTTGAGTTGCTAAATCCAAACAATTTGACTGTCTGAAATATAACATCCTTGCTCTATCTCTCTCTCTCTTTCTCTCTCTCTCTCTCTCCCTCTCTCATATTTGTACAGCATTGCAATGAGTGTACAGTGCTACCTGAGTTTAGACAAAGTTGATCTAGCAAAGTAAGTGTTTAATTAATTATTTCCAAACTTTGATTCATTTGAGTTATCCTCACATAGGTTTGAAAGTACCACTTGTGCACAATAGTTATATGCGCATGTAACTTTGCTCATGCTATTGAGATTTACATCGTGTGTACAATGTATGTTCCTGTTACAAAAGTCCTTGGTATGTGTTCTATGTACCCTTTTATGTAAGCGACAGCATGCACACACAAATTGTTTTGGTTTATTTTATGCTACGGTCACAAAGGTTTGTACGAACGATAATTTTGTACGAATCTCCGTTTTTACATTGTCTTCCCGAATTTCTATTGTCTGAAAATCGTTCGAACGGCGTTCGTAGCAGTTCGTAAAGGCATTTGTGACCGAGGCTTTAAATATATGCAGAAGAACTCATGGTTCCATTGTGTTCCAGTCCAGTTGACATTTAAATGCCATTGTGCAAGTGTTAGGTCCAAAAGTTTTCGGGAGCTTCATCTAACATTATTTAAAACATATTTTGATGACTTATTCTCTCAAAATTAAGATTTCCTTACTCTTGTCGGTAAGTTCATATTTTGGGGGATGGAAGGAAAAATTTGCTGATCTTTCGTCAATACATATTATTGGTGATATCAGATTATTTGAGGAATGGAACTGTCCGTGAATTAAGGTCACGCGCGACTATAGTCACACTCACTGCACACCACCATACACTGAATTTTAGCTTTCATTATTTCTGTGTACCGGTTAGAAGTACATGTATCTATGAACATCTTGTAATTTGTTTATTTCTATATTCATTATCCAGGAAAGAGGTGAAGAAGATGCAAGATAAAGATGATGATGCCACTCTGACACAACTAGCACAGGCATGGTTTAATCTGGCAGTGGTGAGTCTATGTGAATGTGATTATATTACATTGCTCTTACAGATCTATACAAAGGTCATTTTCAATGGTTCTATTGACCGACTGGTCATTGAGTATTTTGTTTGCATCGTACCATATCCAAGCAACCCTAGCACTTAAATAGTGTTTGCAGTGTCTTAGCTACATGCATTTTAAGGGGAAGGCTGGATGGCTAAAGAAAACACAAGGTATGAGATTGCAATTATCCTTAATTTTATATAACAAAGTGTAATCGAGATCATCTAACATCACAGATATTAGATGCTGATTATAAGTATCGGCTTGCATGGTGATGTAGATATACAGTAGGCTTACATATATTGACTGGTTGGATGTGTAATATAACATTTTTTGGACCGCAAGGGAGTTATATTTTCTATGTTCATTAATAATAATAATAATAATATGGATATTTATATAGCGCCAGTATCCGCCAGGCTCTGACGCTCATGGCGCTGTACATACATGTATTACTATCACAAAAATATAACTTTCTTATTAACTAAAATAAAGTAAACTAAAACAACACAAATTATTACGCTACATTGACATGATTAAATAGCACTGTTTAGAAAGAGATGGGTTTCAGAGCAACTTTGAAGTCATGAAGGGCAGTTAAATTACGAATACTAAGTGGCAGCTTATTCCAAAGGGACGGACCAGAATGAGAAAATGCTCTATCCCCCCAAGAACTGCGCGTCTTAGGGACAACTAATAAGGAGGACTGAGATGAACGAAGATGTCTTGTAGGCTTATACTTAGCAATCAACTTGATATTGTAGGAAGGAGCAGAGTCATACAAGGAATGGAAAACTAGCAACAACAACTTAAAAATAATTCGGTCACATACTGGGAGCCAGTGAAGAGTTTTGAGAATGGGGGTGATGTGGGTTCTACGAGAAGAAAGTGTGGCAATACGTGCAGCAGTATTTTGTAGTTTCGGGAGTCGAACAAATTGTGTGTTAGGGAGAAGATAGAGAATAGAATTACAGAAATCTAAGCATGATGAAATAAGAGCATGTACAAGTTTCTCTGTGGTTGGACGACTTAAGTATTTCCTAATAAAACCTAGATTTCTCAGTTGATATCTGACTGACTTACAAATACTAGAAACATGAGTTGACAATGACATAGACGAGTTTAACATGAGTTTACCACTATTGTCATCATCACCATCGTCATCATCATGTCTAGCATTTATTTTCATAATCATGGCTACTGGTATAAAATTATTTTTAATTGTTTTTTGTATGGGTAATATCTATCCTAGGGAGTTACATATTTGCAGGGTGTCTTCATCATCATTATTATTATGAAGAGGAATATATTTGTTATTTTAATAAAATCAGATCATATAACATAATTTCTAAATACCAATGCATGATGTAAAAATGAAGCCTGGCTGGAACGCTCCCCAGGGAGTGGAGAATGTGCATACATTGTTTGCAGGTAAGCCTGAATCCGATGACCGGGGTAATAATATATATATATATATATATATATATATATATATATATATATCTGTTAAGCACTTTGAGAGGGCCATTCGTCTAGAAAAGCGCTATATAAGAACTAGCTATTATTATCATTATTATGTTATCCCAGGGAGGTGAGAAACTGCAGGATGCTTTCTATATCTTCCAAGAGCTAGCAGACAAGAACTCCTCCACCTCACTCCTCCTCAACGGTCAAGCCTCGGCATACATGCAGCAGAACAAGATGGATGATGCAGAGGATATCTTACAAGAGGCCATCAACAAGGTATCATTTAAATCCCATCTTTACTAATTTGCAGGAGGGGTTAGACCACCCTACAAGGTCACTGACAGGTGGTTATCTCATCAAATCAGCTCTCAATTAACATAAGAAAAAGAGGATCATGGGGGACCAATGGTCACCGATTAGGCATTGTTTGCCATATAGAGGGCGCAAGTAGCTATAAGTAGTGTAGTGGGGCTTTAAGAATACACATTGACCTTTAAATCTATAGATCTTTAATCTGATCCCCACTCAATTTATGTTACTTGTGCTTTCACCTCCTGATTTTACTTTTTCCATCTTTTATATTTGTCATATGCATTCTTACACAATTCTACTTATCTGTTTTTATATATTGAGTGAATAAATGAATTGAATTAATTTGAATTGAATTGAATTGATCCTACACTGGCCTAAACTTTGTAAGCTGTTCAAAACTGCCTCAAATTAACTTTTCCTTAATCATCTGTTATAATATGTAATTTTTAGGGTAAATGAGGTTCTATGCTCATAGAAAAAATTTTACCAACAAAACTGCCCTTCACATTACTCTTTGAATAACCTCTACTCATGTATCTGCCAGAGGTTAACAGGGATTAATACTGATATTTTTCTTCTTCTCGTCTTTTCAATTAAATTGCTTTCACTAGTACTCCCTGAATCGCCTGTAATTGCACATTAATCAGGGATAAAATCTATTGTTTCATACATATCTCGCAAATTTGACCAAGTATTAATTTTCTTTACTTCACGTACAGGATAGCAACTGTCCAGAGACTCTTATCAACATGATTGTAATCTCACAACATATGGGCAAAGCACCTGAGGTAAGTTTTTAAGAAGAAGCAGAACCAGTCCTCCCCCATACAAAAGAAAGAACAAATCCCACATCTTCCGCATTTGCTCATACATTACAATGATACCCCCCCCCCCCCCCCCACACACAAACAAAAAGAGAAGAAAAAAGAGCAAGGAACAAATGTTAATTTTTTTTCTTCAGTAATGGTAACAAAATTATTTTGAATTTAACCCATTGCTTACTGGAACCTGGTGCTCCCTAGGTTAAGCCTATGGGAATTAGATAATTCATTAGTTGAGGGGTTAATACCCCCCCCCCCCCCTGCATATAATTTATGTGTGAACAATAGTTTGTCTCATGTAATTTAATTAAAAGAAATGTCACAATGTATGATCTGTATTTCACATGTGCTATCAAACAAGATTCTTGTATACCGGTAAGCGTAATTTTAGCCTTCCATTTCACTTTGGGACAAAAAATGTAATTCATTATATTTTCCTCTTTATCAAGGTGACCAATCGCTACCTGACACAACTGAAAGATTCACATGCACGGCACCCATTCGTGAAGGACTATTTAGAAAAGGTAAATTTCAAAAATATCTCCTTTATCGATTTCAATAATCACAAGTAAAAATAAGAAAAATAATGCAATGTGTGTGATACGAAAAGATTTTGATTTCAATTGATATGATTTAAATAGATTATAAATTTCAGTTTTGTTTCATTTGAGACTATTCTCTAAGTATTGTAAACTCCCTCCATCCTGGGAAAATTTGCTATGAAACAGCTAGTGCTTTCTAAATTTCATGTATTTAGTTTTGTCCTCTGATGTTTCTTAGCTCTCCAATTCTAGATGCTGAATATGTACAAGTACTTACATTTTGTCTCGTAAATCAAATGTTTATGCTTTTGAAGATACTTCTCTGTCAAGTGCTAATAGATACAGTCAAACCTGCTTTAGTGACCACCTGTCTACAAAGACCACTTTTGTGTTTCCCTTGGGCGGTCGCTATAGACAGGTTTGACTGTATTACCATTTTTCTTTGAGAATTTTCATTTTGGTAAATTTGTTTTCTCTTCCATTATCTTCCAGGAGGCAGAATTTGACCGCTTGGCTACACAGTACGTCTCCAGCTAGAGGCTCCAATCTATGAATAATTTCATTCCATGAAAAAAAAAAGAACTTTATTCCTTGTAAATAGATTCATATAATGTCCCTCCCTTTCATTAGATAGGTCTTCATGCCTGTAGTACTGTGGTTTATGATCTTGGTCTCATATTGAAGGTTTAAGGTTCAAATCTGCATGCACGGCTCTGCTGCCTGTGCCTTTAGGTCAGGGTTTTTTTATAATAATTTAGAATTTACGTTGCGGAGTATTACACTCACATACCGGGCTATAGGTACTTTCTGGTAGTTCAGATCTGGGCCCTGATGTATGGAAGTCTACAATGGAACTTCCTGACAAGCTTGGATTATGAGGTTTTGTTTTAAGAAACAATACCCTTGGTCCCAATAATGAATAGTTTTTTATTGGCAATGTTTAACTTGAAAAGAGAAATACCAACTTGCTTTCTTTCTTGTAGGAGACTGCTGGTCGTTAAAGTAGGTTTAATAGTAGAAATAAGGTACAGATTACTGATTAACAATTATTTTATTTTGATTAATTTATTTATGTATTAAACCTGGACATACAGATTTTTGTCTCTAAAGCTGGGTAGATTTCCTTTGTATATTTTTTTTTGGTATTTTTATCTCCCTTTGTCAGTTGGATAATGGAATGAGATGAAAACAAATCTGAAAATCAGCACAATGTTATTTTACACATTCAGCCACTTTTCAGACTAGGTCACATTTGTAATGAATGCGCTTTACATTGTCAAGATATGATATATAAAGATTAGATCCAAGTATATCATGTGATGTACACTGTTTCTATAACATTATTTATGTCTATTAAATTGTTGTTGAAACAGAATCATGATCATATTTATAGAAAAGCCCAATGAAAAATGTCTCTGTTCACTTCATGTGAATATTTACTGTTATAAGAACTTATATTGTCTGAACAACATATAGATTTGTATACTGTGTTATTCCAACAGTATTTGAGAGAGAGAAACAAGTGAAAGGAGTGAACCGTAAGACCAAAACATTTGAGAAACTTTCACAAATGTTCTCAAGATGAAGCCATAGATCTTTTAGGATTTTCTTGGATGTTTCTTGCTGTGAAAACAGCTGTTGTTATCAACTTGTGAGAATTTTATTTCCCACAGTTTCGAGAATGATACATGTAATTTCCAGTTGCAAAATCTTTTCAATCAAAGTCTAACTACAACCCAAAAGGGGCTCATTTTTGTGAAATCAAGAAGGTCACCTTTAAATCAATTTTGGAAATTCAGAAAACTTCAACAGCAACTTTGATGATGCAACTATGTAGTACTTATTCCTATTACATAGTTCAACAATGTTGACATGCTCCTAAGCAGTTGTGAAATGCAGTTCTCAACAACATGTTTTTCTTTCTTAATTGTATTCTTGACATAACTCACTGAATAAATAATATGATAGCATTTATTCACTTGCCTATTCTTTCTGCTTTGCATTATTAATGGTGTGATATCATGTAGTAATTTCCTTTTTTTAAAAGCCATTTAGAAAAAAAATGTACACTTTATTTTTCTCATCATGAGAGAGAGCGAGCAGAGAGAGATGGGAGAGAGGGACAGGGAGAGAGAGAAAGAGACAGAGAAAGAGAAAGATCGAGAGAGAGGGATACAAAGATGTGTGAATAATGGTGAGAGAAGACCAGTCATGTTGGGATCTCTGTATCGTACATTCCTATATATTCATAACCTCGTGGATAAGTCAAACAAATGAGTTTAAAACAGAAATATTTTTTGTATAAAAATGTTTATATTTCAGGGAAGCAACTAAAATGATTGAATAACTGCTCATGCATTTAACAAAAAAATGTCTCAAACTATACAATTAAAAACTAGTCTCCTCTTTGGAAATGCACAAATACCGTATCATAGTGAACAATAATGCATCTCTTCTAACAATGTTTACCCGTTAATTATTACTTGCATTTAAAAACAACTTATAAACACAGGATCTTTTGATGTTCATTTGATAATTAGCATTTTAGTCATTTGAGTACAGGTTTTAACAATGCAAGACTCTGATTCATGACTTATTAAACTTTTCCTTGCATCACAGACTGTTTATTCCCAGTACAATTTTTCCTGTTGACAGTATGATAATACGCACCGTGTAACCACAGGTATGCAGTAGCTTCCTAATCTGTTTAAGTCGCTTATTATAACTACTTTAATAATCACTAAAAACTGAAAAGTATATATGGCTAGTGATGCACAAAATGAATTCAAGATTATGCACACTGCAGTGACAACGTTAAAATAAATGATAATTAACTTTTAAAAAATATTTCATCTAAAGACCTACATGTATCGGTAGTTAGGCATGTCCACATTTTAGAAGGCCAATTGACTGAGCATAATCATTAGGTAAACCCTCTTAGTTGAACTGGTAGACTCATCCAAAAGAAAATGCTGAAGACTACGTACACTATTTCTATACATATACATTCTAATCACACATTCTCTGTGACTATTATATAATTTGATTAAAAATGTATTTCATACAATATAATTTCATAATCTAATTGATAAGTGGATACAACAAATATGAAAGAGAAATGAATCGACATACTTTGAGAAAAACCAGTCAAAAACTAGAAACTGATTCATGATCGATGTATTACTGTGCTCCAGTATTTCCTTCTGAGTTTTTAGATAAGCCTCGTAATTATTTCTAAATAAAACATTCTACCAGCTACAGATTTACGAGTAAATAAGCTTGCAGCATAATAAGGATAAACATGATGTGTATAAGGATAAATATAACATTCATCATAATACATAAGTGGAACAAGAATAATGTTGATTATTTCAGTGTGTTATAAAGTGATGCAAATAATGATTGTTGGCTAATAATGTTAAATAAAACAATGATAATAAAATAAGAACAATAATAATAATAATAACAATTACGATAATAATAATTATAATGAGAAGAAAAATATTAGTCACATTGGTATAGCACTTGATAGGTTTCTAAGCTCTCTGCATTGTAATTATAATTACCATAGAGGTGTAAAAGATTAGACAGTTTCTTTGAAGATGAAAGTAAATTATCTTGACCAAGTCAATGAAGAGATAATGACAATGACAGACCACATGCATGAAAGTTAGCTTTAGCTTTTCATATAATCACACTGATGTTGATGTAAAATATAAATCTGCATTTCATACAGGAAGACATCAATTATATATGTATAAATCCACCACCCGTCTGTACATAATACAACACCAATCTCTACAGACTACAATAATAAGTACAATTAAAAAATTAATTTTAATACAAGTTATTGTTTATCCGAAGAACCAGTCTATGGACATGATGGAACACATTCACAGCTCTTATGAAATACTGAACATCCAAATCAACGAGCATTATAATTAATATATTTTGTTCTATTCTCCTCTTTTTGCATTTGTATATTATGTTTCTGTTGTATTTACTTCTGTTTCAACTGAAATTAAATTGTATACATTGTAAATGCTGGTGGAAGACACATTTCCACTTATGTGGACTAGAATAAATCAATTATCAATTATCAGTTACTAAGTACAGTAATCTTCAGCTACCTATACACAAAGTATATATAAAAACTACATAAATACAGAATATAAATGAATACAAAATACATATATGAAGGCTTTTATCATTAGATGAAATATAATGAAAGAACTGTAATGTTGATTCCATGAATTAGTTTAACATCGCCCAAATCTGCAAAAATTATTCATTTTAAACTTTATCAGTATTTTAATAAAAAATCATCCATGACAACTTGTCCTTTGTCATAAAATCAAATATAAAAGCTTGCAAAAGAATCACAAAATAGATTATAGTTAGAGTAATCTCATTTGATGCCTGTCATTGGTCACAGTATGTTTACATTCATATATACGTTCAAGTTGGTAATATTAAGTTTTTCTATTATAAACGCAATAAAGGCATAGTGTATAGTATAGATGTATAAGTAAAAAACAGACGAATAAAGTCAAGCCGTAGAGCACATCTTTAGGTGTTTGTGCATGAAAAGGAAGTACACTGAAAACTATACCTTTAATATAAGTTATAACTACGGAAACAAGTAAATATTGCAAAGTTAAAAAAATGATATTCGGCACATCTGATATCAACCTTTGATCTCTTAAATACAAACTAATTAATGCCCAGTAAGTGATTGGCTTCTAATCTTCAGTAAGTAATGGGGTCAAAAACAATTTTGAACTTCATCTACATGTATTACAAAAAGCAACTGATGATAACATGATCTGTGATCTCCAGCCTAACGATAAAATCTCAATCAGGACCAAATTAATGTGATACAAAGCTCACCACATTATTTAGCTAGGCTTGTTCACACACGATGCAGGCAAGCGCCTTTTTATGTTCATGTGCTAAGAAATGGCAAGTGAATGGGTGAGAAGATAAAAAAGTAGGCGTGGGAAGCAAAGTCCCATGCATACTCATTTACCTGTGTGTTTTAAGACACAGAAATATGAAGCACATTATGCTTGTCATTAATAATAAAAAATAAAAAAAATAACTGAGCTACGTTTGTGAATCAGCCTGTATATGAAGGGTTGCCAAGCACAATGCATGTGTCCAAATTTTCCCACAAGAACACAAAAATCATGATTACATGTTCTATTTGGCAGCCCTCTTCTAATCACGAGATTTGGATTGGATGATCACATACCTGAAAACACAAAATAGGGTGTGGGGGGGGGGGGGGGTTGATTGGGGAAAGGTTAAAATGCTATCACTAATAGTGCAATGATAATCAAACATGCAGCATCATAGCCGACATTAACTAGGTACGCCGGTAGACCCACTCCGTGAAAGGGGGCGTGGGTAGCTTCAAGCAAGGCAACGATGATTGACAGATTGATACTGGCATAGAATGCTTCCTCTAACGTAACCACTCCCATTCCAGCTCTGTAATCAATAAGAATAGGTTATTTGAGATCTCTATTTTATAAATAAAAAATAAAGGTACTACAAAAATAAAGGGTAGAACTATTATACTTGTTTCAAGTACAAAGTCAAAGTAATAACACACACTAACATATATAGCCTAATGAATAGCTACTTGGAAAAGCATATTCAAAGGTTTTAGGACAAAAGGTTATTTGCAACTGAAAAATGGGCAAGTTCTTTGTGGATCGGATTTTATGGTATAAGGAAAATTTCCCCTTTGTATTTCTCTGTCCTACAGGTGTTTTTCAGAAATGCATTAAATACTTCAAAATATAGTTTTTAGAGTAATATATTTTACCTTTTTTTTGGTCTAAGAGGCTATGTTGCTGTTCTAAACACTTTGGAATGACATTTTTCTTACCCCAAAATTGTTAAATGGTAGGCCTATCTCCAATAAGAAGAACATGTTCTCTTGAACATGATTCAAACTATAAGCACAAATTATCAAGACAGAGCATATATCCTATATGCCAGAGCCTTCAGTTTATGGTCTGTTTTCTAGTAGTTCAGTTAAACCCTGGGTCTCAAATCATGTTTAACAAAAGGAACAATTAAAACTCTGAATAATTTATTTTTTAAACCAGATTTTGGACCATAGAAACCCAGCATTGGGCTTAAAGATAAAGACCAGTTATGGTCATGCGATTGCATTGTGAAAAAAACGTTGTGGAATTGATCAGAAATGGTTAATCATCTAGCATATAAGTATTGGTGTGTACTGCAAGGTTCTAGAATCATCAAAATGATAAGAAATTTGGCCCAGTCTTGATAAAGTTACAAGCACTGTACACAGAAAGATGTATATGGGACTACCCCGAAACACGTACACGACACGTGCGTTATATCTATCAGGTCCAAATAGATATAATAATTTATCAAATATATCAATTAGTAGGCGGTTTCTCTGCAAAATTAGTATGATCATGTATTAGTCAAAACATATTCTTTCACATGATTGGTAATAAGAGCTGCCATTTCATTTTTTGAGAGGGGGGCGTTTCCAAAACTGGTCTTTACCTTTCAATTTTCTGAGAAACTGGGCTATGAGTCTCGTGATTTAATCAAAGGTTAAATATTTAAAAAATTGTTATGCTGTTATTCCAGCTTCTTATAATATGGTAAGTCCAATGTTCCTAACCCTAATTTCCACAATTTAAAAAGTAATCACTTATCAAGTATATTACCTGAGGAATCCATCTAGAAAGTAAGCTGTAATGGCTTTAGAGAGTGTAGCAACCAGGTAGGGAAGATTGCCTGTTTTCTGCAACTCTTGTTTCTTCCTGCCACAAGCATTCAACCACATTCTACCGATAGGGTTTGGACCGTACCATATGAAACCAATCACCTGGAAAGGGAACATATAGAATATATTCAATCTGATCTAATGAAGCAGAATTTATAGCTTTGGTCAATCCTTCAGTTAATAGTTTTATCGATTTGCTTTATTTTCTGTTTTTAGGTAAGGTATACACTGTAGATCTATCAAACATGATACCATTCAGATATCTATACTTCTAGCACTACAACTACCTGCAACCATTATCACTGTTAGTACTGTTCCCATTACAATCTCTAATACAGTACCACTAGCACTACCACCTCTTGTTATACTACTACCACTACAATTACCATCATTACTACAAGTACTCACTAACCATTTACACTAACACTGAAACTTCTGCTAAAGCACTACCACTACCACACCTACATGTACCACTACCACAAACTACTACCACCACTACCATCTCCAGCATCGCTACCACTATCACCACCACTAACATCATACCACAGCCACTGCCTATAAGCTCCTGTTACAACTACTGGTAATGTGATGTATACCTGGCAAGCAACGGTAGAGATTATGATTCCTAGAATGCCCATGATGTTTGTTGTTTGTCTTTCTGGTTTCCTGAATATGAGTCAATCAAGTACCTGTTAAAATGAGAACAATCCAAAATCACAACAATGTCTTTGTTAATTTTGTACATACTTTTGTATCAATTCATAGCTCGATCATAAAGAAACAACCCCAATATAGTATAGTAATTTACTAGTTAAGTAAATAGGAATAGTATAACAATCAAGGTAGATCTTTCAACAAGTTTCTGTTCAAATCATGACAAGCACTAGAGTGAACAAATGTTACACTAATGACAAACTTTGATAAGTCTTGAAACAAAAGTATATTTAAAAGTTACATATAGTCCTATTCACAATCACAGAAGTGTGCAGATTTAAGTTTGTACAGACTAAATCCTCAAAATAAAGGAAAAACAAAAAAACCTGGACACACATAGTAGGTAATGCACTTACATGTAGTTCTCTGGAGGCCAGTGTAGAATTGAAAGAAAAGCGTAGAATACTAGTATACTACATTTGTTATAGGTTCATCGATTGAGTGTACTGGGTCTAATATGGGTAGTTATTACTATTGAATTAAGAAATATCTGTCTTCTACCATTTCAAAAGTGATCTGTAAATATGGACAAGTATCTCTCACGTCCGGCCCTTATGAAAATATTTGCACTCAGTAAGCTGACCTAGAAATACCCATGCACCTGCTATTGAACAAAGTGAGACTATCATATTCTATCGAAAAGCTGCCGGACAATGAAAAAGCGCGGCAAGAAAGGAAAGAAAGAGAAAGAAAGAAAATGGGTGGTTTAAAGGTCAAGTCTGCATATGCTTCAGTTTCATAGATAAATATATCATTACATTATATTTACATATTAAAATTGCTCTCTGTGAGACTGAATGACCTCTACCCTTATGTGTACTTCGTATTTATTATCAAACTTATTTCAATTCACCATTTACATGGTTTACCTTTACTCATAGAAAAGGCAGTTTTCAGTAGGCTCTAAAATAAAATGAAAGAAAAAAATACTTCCAGGACTTCTATATAATAATTGTTATAGAAAAATCAGTCCAACCGAATTATTGATGACTTCTTAAATTCACAAAAGTAATATGATAACAACAATAAAAAACAATTATGGCATTTTTAAACATATAGACTTTTATTACAAAAAGTTATTTTGGGAATTTTGGATAATAGAAAGAAGAAAAAAATATTAATATTTCTTTTCTTATCAAAAATTGAATGATTATGCTGAATTGAAAATTAGAAAGTTTGAGGGAGTAAAATTTTGAACAAAATAATAGCAGCTTTTCACTATCTTTAAATAATAAAAAAATATTACAAAATAGATAGATCTAGCACGATAGTGTCAACAAGTTTATATGAGTTTGAGTTTGAGTTTGAAGTTTATTATCCAAAACAAAAAGTACATCAATATAACAATCAAATGTGAATGATTAACATTGAAAGGATAAATGGGACCAGAAAATAACATTTAATGCTAATCGTGTCTAGTACCACTAACACACAAAAGTATCACAGCAATAAATGAGAATGTAATAAATAAATATGCATAACTATTGAATGCATACTTAAGCTACAAACTATTCTACATCTAGGGTAAATATGTTCTGTGCTTATATACAAAGCTTTGGTACTTTACACTAAATAAAAGATGAAGAATTATATAACATAATATTTACAAAAAGGCAAGAGCCTTGGTTCTAAGTTATAAACAATTATTCTATTAACATTTGTGATATAAGAGTTCTACGAAAGCAAGACACTGATGCTTTCTTCCGTACAGAAAGGGGTAGATCATTCCAATAGCGGGTGCCTCTGAATGACATTGAAAATTTACCTTGCGTTGTCCTTACTTTAGGCACACTTAACTTCTTACTTTCTCTTAGCTTTGTCTAGTCTCATAGTTGTGCTCTATGAAACAGCAACACTGAATTAGAGACTGTGGCAATTTGTCATTCAATAATTGATACATAAAAACACAAATAGCTAATTTATGGAGTTGATACACATATGCAAAGGAAGATGCACTATTTGTTTAATAGAAGCATTAACAATGACGCTCTATTTGCAGACTTACAAAAGCATTTTCCACCAAAAATAAGGTAATGTTAGTCGTTTGTAGGAGTTTTTTTTAAAGTTGATACTCTAAGACAATCCCAAATACTGAGATAATTACATAAATAGAAAGCTTTTAACCCCCATAATAACACCAAATGGTGTCCACCCGACAAAACAAGTTTAGAATAATGAATTTATTCGAGTAAACTCTACCAAAATATCTAAGTCTGAAACCCGGAAGTGCACGTAGAGTCGGGCCTCTATCCGTGACGTCACGAACGGGAGTCATGGGCTCAGTGAGAGTGAATGGCAGTGATATCCCTACGTAAATGCTATCCTGTCAGAGCTTAGATTTGTTGTTGTTAAGGAGTATATTTGATGGATTTTCTGTTTTCATTTGAATGAAGAATAATGAAGCAACGTACATTTTCCAGTCGCTGATTTCTTTTTATATCCTCATATTCACCTATTTGGTAGAGATTTAAGACGAGTTTACTGCTTAGGAATTAAAGTTAAATCGTGCACTTATGAATAGGCGGATGCATTATATTGTCATCAGATGTACATGAGCAGTTTTGTAAAACGAATAGGTCTAGAACTATGATAGTACTTATCATAGATGTGTGTGACTGCCTCAAAAAAGGATACAGTACCAGTTAAACATTTTATGTTGTAAAATATCAAACTTGAACGAGATCATGCAAGCGCGCTTCCTCTATAATATTTTGGCGAGTGATGCGGCTCTTGCATGAACGTTCGTGAAGCGAGCAGAATCGGGAGGTAAGACCAAGCCGCTGCTCTAGGCGCTGCTTGCTTGTGATGGAACGTACGTGCGCTAGTTATGTTTATCGGCAATTGCAAGAGAATGAAAGCGACGTTGCCAGCTAAGAAAAACAACTAACAAAGACTTGCTCCTGACTACCGGTGTCAGAATTGGTAGATGAAGGATGTTCAGCGCCAAGGAAGGCGAAAGACATGGGAAAAAGGAAGAAGAAACCATCGGGAGATCGCTGTAGTGTATGGTAATGAACTGTGCATGGGTAGACAGCTACTGTTCACTCCGTGCCTGGGCCGATTTCAACACCAAAACAAAAATTACATGGTGAAAATATCGACTAATAGCACATCGTTGGCATGTATATGTCATAATTTTTAAAAGGGGAATTGATATTAATACTATGAAGTACTAGGGGAAGGTAAAGAATTGTACATAGAATTATGATTTATTAGACTTTTCAGCCTTTGAAACAAAAATATGCAGAAAATCGTATCACTCTGCACATGTTTGCTATGGAACATCCGGGTACGTGAATATACTCTCTCCCGGACGTGAGGTCATAAATAGTAGACCAGCGCCGTGACTGATTTTCTATGCAAAGAGAGGCGGATATTTTAGACATTTCAATTGAGGATTTCGAGTAGACAGAATTTTTTTGTGATATACTAAGTAATTGAAAAACTTTAAAATAACATACATGTAATACTTGCCGTAGGTAACAAATTAAGGGACATTTATTAGCTTAGAGTTTCAACTTTAACAACTTTTGTTTTTTGATGCTCGACATTTTCTCAGCGGAACATATACAGATGCTTGACATTTTCTCAGTGGAACATATTCAGGAACGAAATATACTGACATTCTGGTCTAGCACAAAATGTGCTCTGAATCCTCTAGCTATGACTAATCTTATTTAAAGCTTATCGGGATACAAATTCACAAAGTAGACTGCCGGTAGTCTACCTTGTTTTCTCAGAATTTGCTTTTTGAGGTTTAGGTTACTTAATTAGTCAAAGTAGGGTCTATATATGACCCTATTTCATGAACGTTCTTATTCTTTCATTGAAGAAAAGTGTAAAGTCTAAAGAATAGAAAAACAGGTCTACCTAGAAATCCATGAACATGGATATGTTTGTGAACATCCCCGAATATCACCCCTATTTTTTTGGAGAAATTTTAACTAGGATGTAGAGTCTAACACTGCCAACATAAAGTGACACCTATACTCTGCTGATCTGAACAGTGTGATACTTATATAACTAAAAGCTCCTCGGAGGGTTTTTTTTTTACATAAAAACAAACGCCTTAAAAAACCAACTACAACAATCAACTTAAACTAAAGTTGAACTTAATTTTTAAGACAGACCAACTAAAACTTTAAAAAGTAAGAACAAACACTGGAAGTGAAACAGGACAACAAAAACTAAAATGAAAATAGACCTCTACAAACAAAAGTTCACATTATGCAACCTAGACGACAGTATGCAGCACCTAGTTCCAGAATAAAAAGACGAAATGTGCTGAACTGCGCATACGGTAATAAGCAAATGATGAGGAAGAACCAGGCCATCGGGCCAGACGAGCAGCTCGAGTCGTCAGTAGCACCCACGCATATCCAGCCTGCCCGAGCTCTTGGGGCGAGTTTGGCGACATTCCGGTCGGTTCCGGGCGCGGTTGTATTTTTTGTAACTTTTTACCAAATTAGCCAATTCATTATTTAATTCAGCAAAGAAAAGATAAAGTCGGGACGCCGAACTTTTACACCGTCTACACGATTCATAATAATGTGTTATAATCTGACATAATACTTACAAATTCGCCTACATCTAGGGTCTACCCTGTTTTGATCTGCTACTGCTAGCTCACTGAACTTTCAAAACAAATCCCACAATGCAATGTAATTTAAAAAGGGCGCCACCATGTAACACAGATTCAGCACATGTTGTTAGATTATGGCTACTTGTTATGTGCCTATCTGAGCAAATTATCATTCACAAGTCAAAGTGCCAACCAAATTTTGTTGTAAGTATGAATAAGGTCATCAATAACTAATTCAATTTGTAGAAGAACATTGTACAACAAAGAAAAGTTGTCTATAAAAAGCTTAGAAAGGTTGGTTGTGTGAGAAATTCATTTTAAAAGTGGCTGAAATCATGTTGCATTAATTATCCCATGCCCATGGCCATGCAAGTAAATGATGTAGGCCTAAGTAGTAGTGGTTGTGGTGTGCAGTGTTATGGTTGAAACATTGATTCTAGTCCTAGATGGCAAGTTTTGATTTCTAAATTAATATTCAAAGTTAAAACCGGGAAAAGTTGCTAAAATTATTTTGAGATAGAGGTTAGAGGCCAGCGGAGTGTTGTGCGATTGTGCCGAAAGGATAAAACTGTAGTGTAGCCGATCGAAGGCGAAGGTCGAACTAGCATGAGAAAATTAGCCCAGGGGGGTCACTCCCAACATGACTGGCTACGCGACCGCGTCCAGAAAAAGCAGCGAAAGGGTGTCTTTTTCAGCTATACGGCGGCGTCAACGTTTTCCTCAAAAAGGGGTGTTTTTCAAGCGCTGATCGCACAGTAACCAAAAAAGGGTACCTTTTCAGGATCACAGGTTTCGACGTTTTCTTAAAAAAGGGTCATTTCAGAAAAAGCGTGATACGCCATTTATAGGGTCCATTTCAGATGTTGATGTACACGGGTGGGTAGCATTTGTGTATGAGAGTGACCCCCCTGGGGAGAAAAGTAGTTGTGTAAGCCAACTGATCGACATAAAGCACTGGCCACATCAACATTTCGGGTATAATAGCTAGGGGGCATTTAATGCAAACTGAGGTTGTGGCGGGGGGCGCCAGCAGTAGGATATTCCTCTAATATTAGGTAGTTTTATGGCAGACTTGGGGTGTGTGTGTAGGGGGTATACAAAGACGCCAGGTTCAAAGATCCGCAATGCGTGACATTTTCATGATTCGGCGCGCAAGCACACGTGCGAGGGTATAACACACGTATAAGGTATAGTGTTTTTTTTTTAATCTAGCGCGCGCGTTGTGCGTGAGAGCGTTTTCAGACCCTCGAAATGCATGATGTCACGCCTAATGCGTGACACTTGGTAGCTCTGGGTATACCCCCTGTGGTTTTGCCTAGTTTTGCCTAGCTCTTACTCTTTATTACTTGGTCTTAAAGGTAATACAAAGTTTTGGTATGGGGTGATGAATTTGGGTCAAAAGAACATATTGGAAGCATATGCAATCCTACAATATACAGTGATCGTTATCGCAGTTGAAATCGAGTCTAAAGTGATGAAATTGCTAATAATAAACTCTTATGTTGTATAGCGCCATCTCAAGTTCAAGATATTAATTTAGCTATAAAACAATGTTATTTGACTAAAATCAACCTATTTGTTATTACCGTTTGGAATTACCGTTTTTATGGTCACAACTACCATCGTCTGGCCGTAGGCGCTATTTCACATTTATCAAAATTTACCGGGAGCACCGGTAAATGTTTATATTCAATTTTTCTCGAAAGCAGAAGAGTTTTAGGGGCTAAAATTTTTAGTGCTTATAATAGGCCTACATCCATGGAGGCATCCAAATATATCAAAATTGTAAAGAATCACTATCCCAGACCTGCCAACCAGTACGATTTAGTCGTATTTAGTACAATTTTTAGAAGCAAATACGACAGTACGATTTTCCTGAATAAAATACGATTTTCAAAAAACATAAAAAAAACGATTTTTTTTTTTTTTTTTTTTTTTTTTTTTTTTTTTTTTTTTTTTTTTTTTTTTTGTGTGTGTGGGTATTTTGTGTGTGTGTTAGCCGTTTTCAATGGCAAAATGCCCATTGTGTCCTGTAAAGTATCCTACAAGCATCTCAAATTGGCAATTTGGGGATGTTCATTGGTTCATCGAACACAACAGTCGTACCGAAATCATGCATATTCAACAAATGATCCATAAAAAAAATTGATCCGCGTAACAGTCCGTGTTTATTTTTAAGAATACAACTTCTGTCAGTAAAATACAACTTTTGGGATTAAAGAATACAGTTTTTGAACTCCAGAGGTTGGCAGGTCTGCTATCCAGCCAATTTTCAAAATTTACCAAAACTTTGTAATACCTTTAATAAAAAAACATATAATTTAATATTAAATCTATAGTTCTATATGTTCTACTGTTTGTAAAATATATCCCCCCCCCCCCCTCGTTCCCACAATTTTTTTGGTCTAGACATTGTTGTGTTAGACAAAACAAGACATTATTTAAAAAAAGAGGAAAAACAAAATCCATGAGTGTGTTTCGTCAGATTGTAGAAGATCGATGAATGGTTGGATTTTTTTTTTTGGGGGGGGGGTGGGGGTTGTGGTAGGAATAGGGTATTTTATTTCTGAGAGATCTTTCCAATATAGTTCTTTAACACCAATGAGAACAAATTGTTAAATCAATTGTGAAAGTAGCTTGTAGCGAAATCCTGTAACTCGAGTTTTCATTGTTCTTCTTTTATTTTTTTAAATATTTTTTTATATATTTTATTAAAATTTACCGGGAGCACCGGTAAATTGATATAATCAATTTTTCTCAAAAGCAGAAGTGTTCTAGGGGCTAAATTTTCTAGTGCTTGTAATACTTCCACAGGGGCATCCAAATATATCAAAATTATAAAGAATCACTATCCACCCAATTTTCAAAATTTCCCAAAACTTTGTAATACCTTTAATCAGTAAAATGCCATGGTAATCACATTAGCATGTGGTGACTGTCTGTTCTACCTTGGTCATTAATTGTGATCAAGTTAACTTGCCACACTTATTAGTGTGAGACAACAGAATTGTACAAATTGCAAAGACTTCTTACATAATATTTTACAAGAAAAAAAAGCCTTTGGATATTAAATCTTTTTCATTAAAAAGTCACTATATTTTCTTTAACTTGAATTTATGTAGGGTGCCTCTGACGGCGCACCTGGACCTGTGAAGCATGGCCGACATAGTCGAGGAACAGATGGGGGACATCCTATCTGCCTTTGGGATCCCAGACCTAGCCAAGCACATCTTCCCCATCCCATTACCACCCCTCGATGATGAGGACGACGACAACGAGGTGAAGGAGAAACCAAAAGATGAGTCAAAGGAGAATCATCCAAAGGAGGATAAGCCGAAAGAGAAGGAGGGGGAAGGAGAGAAGGAGGGGGAAGAGGAGGCCGACAAAGAGAAGGATGCGTCAGATGCTGCTATGGATGTTGATAAGTCTGGCAAAGATGGTGACGGTAAAGACAAGGTTACCAAGTCAACAGGAGAGGAAGAGATAAAGGATGACCAAGGTACAAATTACTTTACAAAGTACATTAGCAGATGCATGTATTTTATCCAGTCTTAATTGTCAAAATTCAGTGTGTTAAAAAAAATTGACTAAATGGCATACCTTTGCACATGGTTTAACTAATTAGTGTTCAGTTTCAAACACTAGACCAGGGATGCCAATTTTCAGGCAATAGCCTGAATTCAGGCCCTGGCAAGTTATTTTCAGACCATAGTTTAGGCTTCTTTTTTTTTCGGTACAAAATAGCTCATTCTAGGTGATTTTCAAGCCCTCTGATCAATTCTAACTGGCATCCCTGACTAGACAAATTTCTAACATTAGTCAAATTCCAAACATTAAACCTGGGTTAATACTTTACCCAAACTCTATAAAACCAAAGGTCTAATGGCATCAATGAAACCAAAGTCCTAACCCTACATCTTTGAATAGATGTAGCCCACATTTATTTTTGTCGCAGCAAATGTTGGATGATGATATCAAAGAGAAAACAATGATTCATTCATTGTCAAAAATGATATACCTCACATGAAGATTCTAGGCCTCTGATTGGTCAAAAGTGCAGGCATTAAATACGCTACTGACTGCTTGGCAGTATAGTGAAAAAATACTAACCGGGCATAGTTAAGCTACTTCGTACATTGCAAGGATGCAATGATTGCGCATGAAGTTAACAATTGATACATGAAGTGATATACGTGCCATACTATTAAACAAGTTAATTTCCCTTCAGCCCCACTTTTGATTAAAATATCTGTTTTGAGAGTTGACACTTTGGATGGTTCATATAACAAAAATATTGACTGACTATATTCAGGTCACAGTTAAAATTAGCTCCTCTGTGATCTTGGGACTGCACAATGCATCTTGATTCTTGACTTTATTTTGGGCACAGTACTTATGAGATCACCTTGGGAAATAGTTTTAACCATGCCCTTCAAAGAAGTCAATATTTGTATACTCATGTTGTATTCATTTACAAATGTAGTTACAGAAATACAAGCTATGGAGGATTGAGGCCACCCAAAGGAAACTGAGAAAGTGGCCACTGTAGACTGGTGGCCTTTCTCTGCAAGAAGACAAAATACATACTAGAATGATGTTCTGTACTTGAAATTTGGCCCCAAGTTTTATGTACATCGTACTCTTAATTTTACTCATTTGAAATGTTCCTCTTATTAATTCCTGTACATCTGCAGGGAGTATTGAAGAGGATGCAGCAATGGAGACCGATGAAGGTACAGATAGCAGTGCTGCTGTCAGCCAAAATGAAGATGAAGCACCCTCTCAAGATGGGAAAACAGAGACATCCACAGAGCAGCCTCAGAAGGATATCCCTGACCTTGGTCTAAAACAGAGTGTAGCTTCTCTGCATGAGGGTGAGACTACCAACCAGGAGTCGTCTTTGATCAAGCAACTGCTGAAGTCCACGTCCAAACCAGTGATGACTTCTAGGCTTCAAGATGATCTGCCACCCCCTGATGCGTCTTTTGGTGTTCCTGAGGAGCCAGATGTGGAGGAACCCCCGCTAGAGTCTCTGACATCTACAGATGACTTTAACTCGTTTCTTGATCGCTGTAAGGAGAATCGTGAATTGATGGGGATGAAGATTGCAATCATGGGGAGAGCCAGCTGCGTTTCAACATATCAGTGCCCTAATCTTACTGAGGAACAGATGAAGGTTCTTGACATGGGCAAGGAGATCTTCCAGTGCCCTGGTTGCAATGACACATACCTCTTCAAGGCTAGTCTGGATGCCCACCTGGACCGCAGAACAGTCCTGGTGACGTTCCGCTGCAAGTGGTGCACAGGGAGACAGAACCTAGTCTTCTACAACAAGTGCACTTTCCTTGCTCACTTGCATAATCATGATGCTACTGAAAGCGAAATTGAAAAAGTGAAATTGCAAGCTTCGATCAGTCCTGTGAATGCTCTGGACTGTTTTAAGATATTCACTAAGCTGACAGCTCCAGTTAAAATGGATGCTGCCAGTAAACCTACAGTGAAGAAGTCATCAATACCATCCAATACTCCTCACCTCAAAAGCCAGTCTCTAGTTAGCCTACAAGCAACATCAAAGTCTCCTCATGCTCTGATCAATCAAGGGAATACAACCAAAAGGGAAGCCATCACCATGTTCCCAAACAATATGGATAAAGTGATACACTTAGATAAGCTATCTTCATTTGTATGCATGGGATGTAAAAGAAGATATGAAAGGCTGTCCCATCTGAGAGCTCATTTAGATAGGCCTCATCCTGAACCAAGTACACCTGGATACAAAGGCCCTTTACAGCAGTGTACCATCTGTAAATTGGTTGTGGCTAACGCGTGCAAACTGATCATGCACAACATCATTCATACTGCGGAAATTAAGACCCCTATTCCATGTCCAGAGTGTGGATGCTTGTTTACCGATCTCAAATCACTCTTGATCCATCAAAACGACGGATGTCTTCACTGGATGACACGACCGCTCTTCAAGTGTTCATTCTGCACCAAGTATGCCACTACCTTCCAGGGACTGATTAAACACTTTGAGCAGAACCATGTGGAAGTGTTCTTCAAATGCCCCCTCTGTCAGCTGGCCTTTCGCAACAACCAGTCAGCATCTGAGCACTCGCTCCAAGTTCATAAACTCACGACTGTGACCTATAGTTTGCTGCGCAAGTGCCCCTTCTGCAAGAGTGTCTATTCAGAGCGGGGCATGCTGTCTAACCACTTTGATTGTCACTACCAAGCTGGGCTCATTAAGATTGAGAAGTTTGTGTTTTCATGCCCCTTATGCTCTAAGCCTTTTGATTTTGGCCGGACTCTGCGTAAGCACCTGGCCGATGAGCATGGTAGATCCAGCAGCAACATGTTCAACTGCGACTTGTGTCTCTGTTCCTTCAGTACTATAGACAGTGTCATGCACCACAGAAACGTTTGTGCTATGAAGCCTAAAATAAAGATCAGTACCAAACCAGCTCAGCCGGAAGAGAAGAATGCTGCTCAACCAACCAACAAGCCTGTTGTATGTGGGGAATGTGGGGACATGATCCCCAACATGAATACCGTCCAAAAGCACATGTTTGAAAAACACAAAGACAAAATGGAAATGAACTTGGCAGGTCTGAAGAAGAAGCAGGAGGTAACAACTGTTGCTAAGGACAAAATAGAAGCCATCAAGCCAAAGGGCACAGAGGAACTGGTAAAGACCCCTGTGGTTGCAAAAAGGGAGGCACCGTTGATAGTAGAGCGCTTCACTGATCTGAAGTGTGGCAAATGTCAGTTCATGAGGAGAGACCGTCTGTTGTTTGAGAAACACATTCTAGGGCACAAAACGGAGGATTCTCTAAGCCAATGTCACCAATGTGGTCTTTGCTTCACAGTTGAAGGGTCATTGAAGAAACATCTCTTCATCAAACATAGGATCAAGAACATGGCACTCTTCAACTCTTTCTATGAGGATCACATGCCAAAATGGGAAGAGGACATGAAAAAGAAGAAAGTAGAGGAGAAAGAGAAAGAATCCACGAGATCAGAGATAAATGAGGAGAATGAGGGGAAAACCAAGGTGCCAGCAGAAGCAAAGGATGAGAAGATGGAAGAAGAGAAAGTAGATGAGACTAGCCTCTTTAAGTGTAAAGTCTGCAAAGTTGAGTTCGAGAACGATAAAGCCCTAACTGTTCATGCACGAAGCCATGGGCTGGCTTATCTTCAACACACACTCACAAAATCGCCAGAGAAAGCTGTCCGAATGCAGGTTTCCAAACCCGCAGCATCGCCCATAAAGATGGAGGAGAGATCACCAGATGTGGCAGACAAGCCAGAGATAAAACCCATTGTGCCTCCTAGTGTGAAAGGAACTATTCCTTCAGATACAGATAGTAGCATCTCTAGTGAGGACATCAGTTCAATCGACGGTCAGAATGGGGATTAGTTCACAAACATTCTATTTCTCTCTAAGTGTGTCTGTACTTTGAATTCTGTAAGTTATAATTTTCGGGAGAGCAAAGCTGATTGGGAGCTAATGGCTGTTTAATGTTTGATGCTGTTAAAGGGCTGCTCACATATCACTTATATAACGATCACATTATTAAATTAGTCTATGAATTATAGATATTTAGTGGAAATCCTCATCAGTTCTAATGAGCATTTTTCACAGATACAGTACCTTCTATTAAAAAAGACCAATTTTCAATTCAAATCAATTAATTAAATTTAAGTTTTATTGTAAAAAAGAACATGGCAATAGTCCAGAGACTAATATTGTCATATTTACAGTAAAATACAAGAAAACATGAAATGTGGTCATTTTATTGTTATCGTTCTCATTGTCGTTAATGATGCGTGTCCAGCCTTTCAGCTTAACAACTAGATCTTCAATAAGACATTGATTTTCTTTAGGTTTTCAAATATTCAAGGTATCAATAAAATAGTAAAACAACACATCTATCTTTTACAATTATTGTTGAGGATTTTACGATTATTGTCAAGAAATAATGTACATATTTGTAAAAGAAATGTAACCAGAATTTTACATGGTCACTTGTTTTGCATCATCTTCGTTGAATTAAATATGATCCAACATTATCAAATGTGACAAAAATGATGGAATCGTGCTGATTAACTCTCTTTATCATACAAGATTATAAATAAGGGTATTTGAATTATTGAATGGAAAGATTTTGATCTCAATGTAACCTTGGTGATTAAAAAAATATTAAGCCTCCGATAAGTGTTAGTTACTAGTATTGGAGTATTATTGGCTGCATATTAGGGAACATTCCTATGCGCCAATGGATGTGTTCAATTATTCAGCATATAGCGACAAAAATCATATACAGTCATGCTCGGTCCATGTTTGCTCAATACCAATTTCAAACAGTTCATCGATGCGTGTGATAGAAGAATAAAAACAAAAAACGGACTGAATCTGGACTAGTGGGCAACCTGCAAGAAGGTCATAACAGCTGTGTATTATCAATGGTAGTAAAGGCCTTCTTTATAGGGTGTCAACGATGTTTACTGATCAAACTACCAACATTGAATGAACAAATGTATGTTAAAGGGACTTGGTAACATTGTTCAGATGAGAGAAAATAATGCTAACATTGTTCAGATGAGAGAAAATAATGCTAAGGTAGAGAGAAAACAGACCCTTATTAATGATAGAAATCAGGAAAAACTGATCTGATCGATTCCTAAATTTTCCCAACTATAATATTGTAATTTAATTGAAATTTATGTGAATGTATATCGTCACAAAGCAATAAATTGACTCTGTATACCGTTCCAAACATTTAAGCGTTAACAGATTTTAAAAAGCCTGTTTTATGTCTTATTTTCATCAATCTTCAACAATGTTACTGGTTCACTTTAATCTACTGTATGTGTATCAATCGTTTTCGTACAGGGAAAAAAACCTCTTCTTTTGATGTAATTTCTCTGGAGTAGTGGAGTCATGTCTCTTTCATTGATTTATTCCATTTAAAATGGTAGGCATATATGCACAGAACCGTAGCCGGGGAAAAGGGTTTATATAACCAAGAGCATAATTTGCACAAGACAGATGTACAATTTGTGTACACAGATATTGTCAATCTTGTAAATTTATACTATACTGGAATGTTTTGTATTTCTTATGTAAATTTTGAATTCTGATATGTTTGTATACATTTGGGTCGAAAATGAAATCTTGAACAAGAAGTATTTTATTTGGAGTTAAGTTTGATTTATTTTGTTTTTGGAAGATTTAAACTTTCAGTTTCATTTTACTTATTCCAAGTTTTGTTCTTTCATTTTGCATAAAATTAATTTTCAAAATGTCAGGAGTCAGCGAAAAAACAAAATCTATTGCTTGAAAGGCCTCTTCTTGGGGTTTGTCTATGACATGTTTTTTTTATGTTTTTGGCTATCGATCATTACTGAAATTATACTGCAACAAATTTAATTTGTGAAATGTTATTCTGTGTATCATTTGTGTTGTTTGTTTTGTTTTGCTGTAACTTAGTAACAGTTAGGAACAGTTTGGATAATTTGGGCTCTGGCTTTTGTTTGGAATGAATTTATGAGAACCCACAACAGTATTTGTGTGTGCACATTTATTTCTTCTATCAAGTGCTCCTGTAATAGAGATATTTCTCATTTCTTAAATGCATTTATTGGCTTTTATTTCGCCAGGTAAGGTTAGTGCCAAGATGTTAGTCTGTGTGTGTGTGTGTGTGTGTGTGAGCATGCATGACAGTTTTTTTTTGTGCGTCTCTATCTCTGTTACACACAAATACTAGTGCTGTGCCTGTAACAGTCCAGAATCTGGCTGTTTTTATTGTTATGCACCTTATCCCGCGATCTCCTCCTATTTGCTGCCAGACGAAGATGACCAATTTATCCCGAAGTCGCAGGCTTGTCGTACAAATTTATGGATCATGCCATCTTGAGCTGGCAGTAGGAAGGAGGAGAGATTGCGAAACAGGATAAAAACCTGGCTGGATTCGGGACTACACTTCTAATGTCTGTGTTCTGAGTGATTGAACGAAGTGCCAATGAGTGAACCAGTGATGATAATTCAGCATGTATATGTTGAGGGGTCAGTGTCACAAAGACGTAACTCCATTTTGAGAAAAAGTGGTTTATGTGTCACTGAGCACTTTGGCCTTCATTCTATGTTTCACTAGCCATTGACTTCAATGGGGTGTTGGGTGGATTTAAGTCTGTGTTTCCTGGAAAGCCCACATTTTTCTGAACATTTTGATATCAAATGCTCACTTTGGCAAAATATGGAGTTAAGTCTGTGTCACTGAACCCTCAATGTGATTGCATGGTGGATCATTCCGATAGTCACAAAATCATGAAAATCACCAGTTTGGCTTATAAGAGCCAGAAGGCCATCAATCTTTATATATACCTTTGTATAGATGAAGTTCATGACTCTTACGACTCCTTCCTTCATGTTGACACACATATAAGACCATTTACAACATTTTACAGCATTGTCAAGCCTTGAAGTAATAAGTAAACTACAGTGGAAAGTTGTTATAACAAGGTCCTTTGGACCAAGGAAATTACCTTGTTATATCGGGGTAAAAAAACACAAGAATATAAAGAGCTGGGACCAGCAAAACCACCTTGTAATATCAGAGCTCTTTATACTAAGGTTCCACTGTACATGTATAATTATTTCCAAAAGATGAACAGAATTACTATCTGAAATCCTTAATATTCCACTTACTGTACATTTACAATAAAAAATATATCGATATATTTTTTTCTTCACTTTCTTATTTTCTCTTCAACCACACCTTCCCCTGCTCTTTTTCCCTCTCCCTCTTTCTCCCTACCTGTTTTGTTCTCTTACTTCTTACTCCCTCTCTCTCTCTCTCTCTCTGTTATCACCCCCCCCCCCCCCTCTCTTTCTCTCTCTCTCTCTTTCTCTCTCTCTCTCTCTCTCCCTCTTCTCTCAAAACGCTAACGTAAATGAAAAAAAAGTCAAAACGTGGTAGTACTTCAAAATAATCATTTATTTAAATAGGCAAATGTAACCTTTTCTTTACAAAACTGGATTTGAAATTGACATATTTTCATTGTGTAATGATAAATTAGTTGTATCTAACCAGCATCAAGAATGTGGTGTAATGCAAATATACAATTAAAATCATTACAAAACCTTGGTAGATAAAAAAAAAAAGAAGAGATGACCTTAAAATAATTATGCTCAGACATGATTATACCAAGGTGTAGTAACTCCTTGATTATACCACTAACCATGCTGTTGGAATCCTGATACATTTATATGTAATAAACATCTTCATCAGGGCTCTACACCTTTTTCTTTGAGGAGATATGACGCATTTAGAGGGCCAATGTGCAAGAGGCCCTAGTTCAAATGTTGGGGTCCATGTATAATGGCCCCTGCCTTTATTAAATTCAAACATATTTTTGAGTAGAATTCTAATGGCCTTCTATGCAACATAATCGTAGTTACCTAGCATCTTGAGACAAATAAAGTGGACTTTAGCAATTCAGTTCATAGAATGTTTCTTGCCCAACACAGGTAGCTCAGTTTCATTTAATTTTGTATTTATGAAAGAAAAAAAAGTGAGAGTAAATTTGTTTACATGAAGGGGAGACAAAAGATTAAATGATTGTAAAGATTGAGTGTTGCAAAAGAGGGGATATAAGTGGAGGATGGAGTTGTATATCAAATACATTGCCTTAATACACCTAGTGCAAATATTGCACGAGTCGAATTATACGAGTGCAATATTCATGCTCGGTGAATGCAATAGATCTGATATACCACAAAAGAAAGCCAATATTATTATTATAATACATAAAAATTTGATGAAATATATCTACAGTGAAATTTACCAAGGGCGCAAGTGACTGAAAACAGCAGCCGGCACTGCTTGCAAATAAATGCTCTTGCACATGCACAGGATTGAATATCAAGAGTAAGCACGCTCGGCATGCACTATTGTAATGCACAAGAGCATCTATTCACAAGCAGTGCCGGCTGCTGGCTTCAATAGCTTGCGCCCACAGTAGGTTACATGCTGATGCTCCATGATTGGTGGAGTGAGTTAATATACAGAGGAAAAGCAATATGCTCACAATACTTAACTTGATCAAACAATGGGAATCAAATACATGATTTTATTTTCTTGGAAATAGGCTCATATGTATAATAATGACCTATGATTTCACAACAGTGATATTTAGTAAATGTCAAATCTTAGCTGAAATACATATTCGTTCTTTTTTAAGGTAATTGTTAATTTTACAGGGTTTATTTTTGTATGAGTGAAGGAAAATTCTAACAATTAATGTTTCATCAATCATTTTATAAAGGTTACATAAAAAATATTCATAAAATTGAATTTGTTTCTGTGAATGCACCAAACCTCATGATCAACTGCATCTGCACATATAAAAATGGTAACAGGTTAACTGGGTAAAAAGAATGAAACAAAACCTAACAAAGAAATAAAAACAAAGCTTTCAGCTAATGCTTACATTAAATTGCAAGAAATTGCTTAATATGGTACCGGTACTAAAAATGTATCAAAGTGAAGAAATAGAAAATTAATCAATTAAGGCACTGCAACATATTGCAATGTTATCTTTTTCTCTAGCAAAATTTACATATATCACAAGCAATATTAAAAATAATTTTAAAAATGGAAAGACTCATTCATCTTATGAAAAATAGAAATAGAAGCAAAAATGTACAAAAATAGCACTCAATAAATAACATTCAACATTATTTTCATGATTCAAGTTTGTATTCTTGTGCTTTTGAAAGTACTGACGTTTTTTAATTCATGAATTAAAAAAAGAAAATTAAAAGAAGTGATAAAATATGAACAGTGAAGAAAGGTAGAGGATAGTAAGAGGAACACTTCAAGAAAGTTTTTTGCTTCTTTTTAGAACTCAAGAACTAGGTAGAAATATCTATTTGAGCCAGAAGTGATCACAATCTGAAAATCATATTTTTTCAAAATGCAATATATATTTAGATCCTGTCCAATAAAGGAAAACTTCAGACTAACTTCCTTTGTTAAACCCTCTTTTGAACAAATGCTAAATATAAGCTCAATTTTTCTGTTGTCACATCAACTTCATGAGGGGAAACATGCCTTGAAAATAGATATACATAACTATTACATGAGCATTTCTTGCCTTCTTGTTTCAAAAACCCTCCCAACGTAATCGGTGCAGGACTATCTTTACACATTTTCAAATTTAACCTACTGACCACAAATCCAAGTTAAACTTCAACCATTGGAAATAAATTGTAAATTATTTTGAACTGTTTCTAAGTAGCGCCGAAATATCAGCAAATTGAACACAGTGCATTGCAGCAAAGTTTGGACACAAATTTATATACAATATGCTAATAAGACAGATCTAAATGTATACTTCATTAGCTCAGCTGAATTTCATATTGATGATACTAGAATAGAATAAATAGATTAAAAGTACTTCATGCAGCTTTTTGTGTTAAAATTTCAATTGCACTTATTTGTGCATGTCAAAATAAATATCTTCAGGACTGTATTTCAGAGATATATCTAGGTAATAGAATAATTAAGAAGCCAATATCAAAAAAATTGTGTATAATTATATATATCAACATATTTTAAACATAGTTCAAAATGTATAATCACAGTCAACACATGTATGCATTTTTAAAAATATATGTTTGAATAATATTACAACATTATCTCTCACACAATAGAATATCAAAACGTGTCTGTAAATAAAGACATGCATCCCAGTTATATTTGGATCAAAGGTGTTTAAGGCTTTATCTGTAAGGTATCAAAGATATTATATTTCTGCGATAGTATTTCAATCTAATTACATTGTACTATTTTATACCTATTACTGGTATTTCATGAAATTATGATGGATTTAATAACATTAACAGTATTAATGAAGAAGGTGATGATGTTTTTCTGTTTTAATTAGATTAAATTTCAAAACACTATTATCTTTTCTTTTCTTTTCAAGTGAGGCACAATTTCACCAGGAATAAATTACAGATAAAGATTCTTGTCATTATTGAAAAGCACCCATTTACTACAAAACAAGGAAAAGTGTTGAAGAATCTTCATAGAAACTTTGTAGAAACTGATTGCATAGTTCAAATGTCAAAAACATTAGTGGATACATAGCGAAGACACATACATATCATAGCATGCATCTGCACTGTAGGAATAATATAGTATCACAAAATGATAGAACTCATTTGAAATTAAGGAGATAAGACGATGCTTTCTAGTTTAATCAGAAATTAATCCTCAGAGTGTTCATTTCAATGTAATGACTCTGAATAGAGACATTTTTATAACAATTTGAATTGTCAATCTTTGATCATTTGAACTTGTAATAAAAATTTCCATTTCTTTTATTCATACTATATATGTGTTTGCAGCCAGAAGGGAGTCACTCAGATCCATCAACGCAGCATTAACGCCCTTCTGGCTGTGTACAGATGATACTGCAAATTGCTCTCTGAAAACTATGGATTCACTTAAATGCCCTTAGACATATCAAGAGCGCAACAAGGAATAGGATCCCAGAAAAGGTGGATAGATGTGGGGATTTGAAGTTCTGATAGACTCGTCCTCCAACATGTATATCCTGAGAACAACTTCATCATACACCCATATAAAATTTATATAAATATGATGCATATATTAAAAAGTAATAAAATACATATCAAAATGCATAAAAAGCACACACACCAATGACTTGTCACCTGTTTCTCTATAAATGCGACCAGAGATTGGTGAAAACTTGATTAGAAAACTTTTTAAAAAGGCCAGTCAATAGGTGCGTCTTGATTATTATCTGTCTCACAATAGCTGTTCCTTGACATTTTCTTCTTCATCCCCCCCCCCCCCCCATTTGTCTATTTCAGATACATTTGAAGAAATTTAAACAAAATAGGGATTTCTTCATCTAAGTTCTGTCATCAAAATCTTCACTTTGCTTCTTTACTGAGAAAGTTAGCCTATTGAATTGGCATTCTTCAAATGACTGAACTCATCTGTGTTTTTTTTAAGTTGTTTCCCAAAAAAATTCTAAATCTTCTTCATGTGTTTCTAAAATCCAACATAAAAACTAATTAAAACCTCATCAATGTATGATTGATCGTCTGTTCAGAGCCGAAAGGGCATTAACTCTGTATCAAAGTACATGAGTTACCATCCTTCTGGCTCCAAACAGCTGTATGTATGGATTCTGATATGAATGAAATAAATATGAATACATATACCAAATAGAATACATGATAATTATCAGGTTATTGGTGTCAACCATTAATACACCAGGCAGCTCTTCGTCAGATCAGAGCTCTGTGAGTAGATTGCGATTGTGGCCATCAGATCGACTCACCCGTAGTATCTCTGAAGTTGTGATGCTCATTCTTTTGCTCCTAAATGGTCAAAGGAAATAAAGAAGAATTGGTAATGAGGGTCAATAGTGAGTGTACATAACTTTACATGTATGACATCTTTGATTTTGATATTGACAATATACTATTAAAAGCTAATATCAAAACATGAAGACTGACTGACTTATAATCAAAAGTCTTGTCCTAGCTCAGAGGTAAGAACCCATCATTTTTTTATAAATTCCAACCGTCATCATTTTGGTTGATGCCCATACTACAGATCTCTCATGACCATATTTCAAAAAAAGCTCCCTAGATATTGACTCTCAATTTTCCATCATTTGAATGTCTGACCTCTTCTTCCTTCACGGTACAACATGACTAGACATATTTAAATAGACATCCCAGTACTTGAATATTCACTTCCTACAAAATTTTTGAGGTGGAGAATGAGGAATTAAACGATTCTTGATATTATATTGAACTCCTGACAGCATCAAATTCAGAAGTTATGTATGGTGTTTCAAGACTTCCTAGATACAACTTACAATAGTGTTATCATCATACAAATGAATTTGCAGAAATAAAAATTAAAAAAGCTAGCAATATTAAAATCAGTTCACATCAGACTCTGCATAATTGATAACAGCAACTTTTATCATGCATAAATATGCATTCAAAGCATAACATTCAGGGGTAGGATTATATTAGCAAGGTTTTGAATAATTGTAATTTGAAATAACATTATTGATTATTGTACTTAAGAGAATTATATATCATTCTTTTGTTAAACAAATGTGAAATATACACTTGATCATGTATTTGAAAACCAATGAGTGGTAGTGACGGAAGTCTTTGTAATATACTCTTTTTTTAGAATAAACATGAAATATATATATATATATATATATATATATATGTGTGTACAGTGATAACAGTCTGGGTGTTGAATGTGACAAAAGGAGGGGAATAGGTAGATACAGTCAAACCTGTCTATAGCGACCACCCAAGGGAAATACAAAAAGTGGCCTTTGTAGACAGGTGGTCTTTGTAGACAGGATCCTTTAGTACATGATTCAATGAGAAACAATTTTCAAGGGAAACAACAAATGTGGCCTTTATAGACAGGTGGCCTTTGTAGACAGGTGGTCACTAAAGCAGGTTTGACTGTATAATCATATTGATGGAATCTTTGGAATATATTTGATTTATATAAACATGTAATATCCAAATATATATATATATATATACTATGAGAGAAAATACTATAGTCTGTGTATTGAAAGTGATATGAGGAAGGGGTAGTAATAATCAAAGATTATAAATGGAATTCCATGGAATGTTTCTTATATAATAACGAAAAATAAAAATTGTGTGACAAAGATAAAACCATAGTTTGCGTATTGAGAGTGACATGGGAGGGGGGGGGTATCAATGATTGTCATGGTTGTGTAGAATGGCATATGATGTGAGGAAGGAGGGGGGAAAGGAAAATGTAACTGAATATGATTTGATTGAATAAAGATTTGAAGAAGGTGGGGGACTTTATAAGGAAAGGAGCCTGAAATATAAATGAGTCACCCTGACAAATTTTGATGTTAACCATCTTATCATTCCTTAATTTTTTTTTTAAACATGCAGCACAGAGGCACAATAAATAAAGGAATGAAAGTAATATACATAAAGTTAAATTAAGAAATTTTAGAAATTACCGGTACTAGCTTTTCCATGCATACTTTTATGCAGCAGATGACAAGGGATAAATTTTACAAAGAACTTTACAATGCATCCAAGATAATACTGTAATATCGGAAATTCGGAATTCACTGATATTGAATTCAATTTTATAACAATTAGAAAATGGTTTGATAAATAATAAAATAAAGGACCTATCAATCATCTTTACTTTTTAGCTGATACATCCTAAAAAGTACTTACCCCCCTCCTTTGACTACAACAGGTGGTGGAGGACGTTGCACATCAGGGATGAAATCAGGCTTCTGTCTTCCACTCAATCGATCCTTGTTCTGAGGAACGGGAGGATGCCCATAGCTCCCCCTCCTGGCACCAGTCCCTGCCTGTTGCCGTGACGATGGACCTCGCCCTTCAATATTACTATAATTGGATTGGACTGATCTATTGCTGCTCCTGGCTCCCTGGCCGAGTTTGTCCAGCTCATTAAGGAGTTCACTTACGGCTAGGATGTCTACTCCCGAATGCAGCCTCCCACCGGTGGCGGGATGCAGTCCATTGCGGAGTGGAGGTTGCTGGCTGCCGGAGCTGATGTTAGAGTTATAGCTGTTGCGTTGTTCAAGCCCACCATTTGGAACTTGTATGTGTTTGACAGACCCATCAGATCTATGAGGTCTAGATGATTTGTCACTTTGCGACGAGTTTTGCCTGTCGCCCAGAGGATGGGAGCGAGGGAGGGGGTTTTGATGAGTGGTAGAGGAAGATGATGGTGGTAGCATGGAAGGTTTTTGATAGTTGTTGTTTTTGGCAGTGGAATCACTAGCAATGTTTGAAGATGGATGTTGCTGCTTAGAGGCTTGACGATGCTGCATGGATGGATGCGGTGGTGGTTGCCGGGCGTGTCCACGGTAGGTGTTGCTAGGTTTGCTGGGGTTATTTCTGAAAGGAGGAGGGGCATTTGTTTGGACGGGTCTCTGCTGCAACCTAGCGAATAGTTGAGGAGGAGGAGGTGAAAGAAGAACAGAATGATGAGCAGATGAGAAATGAATGAAAACGCATGCATTGCTATGGATACTAAACAAACACTATATTTGTATGTCTATAGTCGAGAGAAGAGGAATACACAAATCACATCATGTTTGGAATAAAGTTTCAGTAAGGAAGAAAGGCAGAAAGAAATGGACAAGGGAAAGAGATTGGTTAAATATTAGTGTCTTTTTAAGCATATATACCTTTATAATCAGCACTCTTTCATTCCGATGCAATATGTGGTTACACAGTCAAATGAGTATAGCATATTTGAGGTATATAAGAAATATGAATTCAACACATGCTTTGGATTAGGTATAATCGTTGTTACGCATGACCGCCCATCAGTTACCTCTCCATTTTTGGTCTACCAGGGAGTACTAGTTTAACAAGATATCCCTCTTTTTGAGTATACCCTTGTTATTTTCTGAGCTGTAATAGAAGAAACAATGATGATACAAATATTAATCTACTAAATTGAAAGCGAGAACAACAAAAAAGTTTATCTCCCAAAAGAAATACAAATTGTAATATTAATGTGATTATGGAAGGCTGGAATTTCATTTTCGAAAAGTAATGAGCAGAGTAGTACGTTCATTTAGAAATAAAGAAGTATGAGAAGGGGTGGAAGAGAAATGAATGCATATGTCTTTTACAAACAATCTTCTTTGAAATTAAAGGCCCTTTTTCATACGTAAAATTACTCCAAAATATTTGATGTAGCTGCTGAGCTTATTTTAGAAAGTTGTGAACAACATTTTTTTTCTTCAAAAACAGGCAATATATTGCAGTAATTAAAACTGAGAGACCCAATGATTCCTAATAATGACTTGAATAACTAGATGGACCTTCAACTGCGCGCAGTCGAAAATTATGCCTCCGCAATTTTACAAACCAAAACAGATACAATTTTTAAAATTCAATTTTGATTGTTATCCGTTTTGCATACATAATGAGCCCTGTGACATTTGACCTTGGATCTCATGACTCCAAAATCTAATCAGTTCATTGTCTCTGCAAGATACATACATGACTTAAGTTTGGCAGGAAACAATCAATTGGTTCTTGAGATAACGCGATCATGAGAACGGGACGTACTGACAGACAACCCCAAAACATATAAAAGGCTGAGAATGTTACCTTGTGTTATATGAATTAGTCTCTTCCTGCTCAAACCCAGAGTCTTCTCTGGTGTGATGTACGCTAGGTCTGATGGAAGATGCAGGATTGGGTCTGATTGGGTTGCCATTGGCAACAGCAGCATGGGAAGATGTGTACCCAGGGGGTGGAGGATAGGTCGGTGGGGGTGGCTGGTCGGCATGATATTGCTTTGAATTTGTTGATGGTGGAGGTTCTGGATGAGGCACGGATGGCTGTTTATGCTTCAAGATTCATAAAGAAAGAGAACATAAGTGTTTAAACTTGTCATTTATCTTCTTTAATAAATAAAGTGTAACTGGCACCAGGATAAGCAAAAACACACATATCAAGTAAAATTTCATCCCCACCCACCCCAAAAATTATAATGCCTTTATTTTCAAGTTTTTCAACACTAGTTTGAAACAAAAAATTCAAATAACGATATTGCAAGGATGATCATATATAGACAAAAAATGTTTGAACGTAAAAACTATAAAAATTTGATGTTTACAAAGTTTTTCATACACATTGGGAAAAAAAAGATTTCTCCACTATCAACCACCGTATTATAAGAAATTTTAGGAAAAATATTTGTCTTTCAGAAAGATTAATTTCATATTAATCCAAGACAAACGGGAAGTTTGATTATCTCTCATCATATGGAATATATAATGAGTACAGAAGGAAAGAGCTTTCCTTAATAAAACACTGTTCATGTACTTACTTTTCGTTGTTGGTTTATTGCACTGTCATATTGGTCTGCTTCAGATTGTTGTTGATGGCTAAACATTCCCTGACCTCTCTGGGCTAGAAGATAACCAGGTATATCATCTCCTCTTCCTCTACTCACGTCTGACCTAGAGGGCCTCCCATTGTTGTTTACCTGGATATCAAATAAAAGTAATTATCTTATCATCGGTTTGGGATTTTGTCTTGAAGATCTGCCTCAGCAACAGAACATAGAGTTGTGTACAGTTGATGCATGTAGCTTTTTGTTAAACTTGCTTTTCCTTGTCAAAAAAAAAACTGCACTATTGCAAAGTAATAGGTTGGATAAGAAAGCACTTAACACAAATCACATGAAAGTCTCTATTAATTAAAATACTTTTGCACAGATATTACTACCATGGACATTAGTTTCAACACATATCTGCGTAATATGTAAACCAAGACGTTTTAATTGTCATTCTGTATTGGCTGCAATTGGCCGTAGTTTTGATCTATCGTCCATTCGGAGCCAAAAGGGCATTAACTCTGTGTTGAAGTATATGAGTTTACGCCCTTCTGGCTCCAAGCAGACACTATGCATGAAACATGATGCTCACCAGTTCTTTAATATCACATCATTGTTAAATTTCAATGTGTTTAAAATATAAACTTTGGAGAAAAACTACTTATGAGATCTACAGCAACATTCTCTACTATTTTTAATAATAATTTGTAAATTTAACAGCGAAGGTGAAATATCAATAGTGAGTTTACCTGGTCTTGCTGGTTTCTATGTCTCCTTCTGCCACCCCGCTGGTCATCACTCTCGTACGTCGACGTCGCCGTTCTCGTTGGACGACCTTGACCTCCTGACCCTGGCTGGACAAGGTCAAAGGGCATTGCGTTTCTATTCTGACGGCTTCTGTGTGGACCAGGATCGGTCTTGCGGGTGGCTGTAGAGCGAACACTGCCCTGAGCTGAGTGCATGCTCTCCGTTCTATAGCGAGGAGAAATAAGATATATTTTTAGCATTAATAAAATTACAGAATAATTAAACTGGCAACAAACAAACTAGCAAATAGAGTTACACAACACATGCTCCTGTGACAACTGCTTTGCAGAAATTTCCTATACTAACTGAATTCCTTATTTCAATCCTGGACCAAGTACTAAACCTAACCCCAACCCTACACCTAACTTAAAACCCAGTTGCAACCCTAACCTTCTGATGAAATAAAGACTGGAGCAATTGTCACTAATGTCAATATTCAGGTCACCTTAAAAATTACATGATTAAATATGATATAAGCTATAAAAAATACAATCATGATGGAAACATAGGACTCAGTTAATTTACAGATATAGTTTGTCTGCAAAATGTCGCCAGAAGGAGACATGATGGCTTAGTGATAGAGCAGTGGCCTCTTAGCCGAGAGCTTCCAGGATCAAAATCAATTCCATGTGCTTGTGCCCTTTAATTGGTAAGGCATTAATTCTCATTACCAAGTACCTCACAGAGAACTTAAAAGCCATCAGTCCTCTGGTTGCTTACTTACAAGCATATACATGCTTTCTTAGCAATCGGGTAAAACAATAATCAACCAAAATAATATAAAGAAAATGCCCAAATAAATGATAACTATATCTTAGGTATCAAGCAGGAAAATAGATGCTTACTCATCAGGGTAGTCCCCTCTACTCCTCCTGTAGGCATGACTGGAAGGGCGAGATCTCTGACGGGTAGGAGAGTGAGATACTCTGATAGCAACACCATCCTCAGTACTATGGCAGAGAGATAGATAGTAGTAAGGATGAATATTGTAAAGTGCATTATAGAAATAGATTGTATGAATATAGTTGACATATGAGACATGTTTTATATAGAGTTGTTATTCATCTGAAGGATGACTCTGTGTCATGTGTCCATGATATACGTCCTAAGAAAAGAGAATGAAAATAATGGTGCTTTCTGGTATCACTACCATTAGTGATTGTCATATCAAGAGATTTATTCATTCAGGGATAAAATACATATACAGTGAAACCTGTATATAAAGCCTGCTCAAGGGAAACATAAAAAGTGGTCTTTATGTACAGGTTCCTTCAGCACAGGTCTCAATGAGAACCCATATTCAATGGAAACAAAATATGAGGTCTTCATAAACAAGTGGTCTTTCTATACAGGTGGTTGCTAAAGAACTATAGAACTGGCAAGGGTAAACTGGCCATGGAGATTTGGGGGGAGGGGGGTGCCTAAAGGATTGTTTAATTCTTTGGCATGAGGGCTGGTCAACTTGTGGTCTGAAGGTTGGTTGATATGTATCTTAAAGGGATCCGGTAACTTTGTCTTAGATCCTTTAGAAATAATCCTTGATTTAGCTCATGCTGCAATGATAATTATAAATCTTTAGGTCAGGCAGGAATCCCATGACTTTTACCAGCTGATTGCCTGTCTGATTATCAAGATATTAATGATTGGAATTACAAATTTTTAAAAAACCGTTCACCGAACGTTTTTCATAACACTGCAGTCTATTGGGAAAAACGGGTATGGTAAAACCGGTCACTCATTGATTTTTACTTTTTTGAGGCACTTCTTGATCATTTTGAAGCGCAATTTTTTTAGGGCTTCAATATTACACCATATCACAGACACTGGTAACATGTAGGACCGTGTATCTCAGATTTAACATTGTCAAGCAATCCCTTTAAGAGGTCCAGTGGGTCGGTCTTATCCAAATTCCCTAACTAACTGATCTTCAGTCCCAGTGCAACCCTGAGGATTGGTCTTGAACTAGCTGTACTGGTACTCACACTACTTGGGTGTATGGTATATCTAATGGATCTATCTCTACGCCAGGTTCTTGAAGACCGAGCTGGATGTGTTTCCTTAGCTCGGTGGAAGCCTTGATGTCTTCAAGTTGTCTGTTGTACAAAGCAAAATCAATACATTTCTTAGCGCAATATTTTCTTAACATGTTCTGTCAGGTAAATAAACAAGTGCAGATTAAGACACCTCCCAAAATGGAGTGCATTCCATGATTATTTCCAAGTGGAAATAGCCAATATTTTGCTAGAATGTTTGTAATTGACTCTCATCTGTTATTCTGCTAAAGAATGTCCATGTAACAATCTGTTTATTGGACAAATGTCTTTTCTAGTTTTTGAGCCAATATTTCACTTGAATTTTACATTTCCCCCCTTTCATCCTTAATCACTGATGCAAACAGGGAGTTCTCTCCATCAATTAGATGTCAGATCATTTTAATTAGATACATGTACATGCTAGAAGCTATTAAAGGGGAATTTCACCCTGATATTAAGTTGGTTTAAATAGAAGCAGAAAAATTACAAGAACAGTTCAGTAAAAGTTTGAGCGAAATTTAATTAAAAATAAGAAAGTTAAGAATTTTTGGAGCTGCGATCAATAAAACACAAATTGGCCACTTTGTGACGTATCTTGCAAGCTCCTCTCTAATTCGCTCCGTCCAGAAAATTTCATAAACTTTCATTTTCTTAGTTATTGATGATGGAATAGATTTCTTTCATACTAGGGTTGAATAAAAACATATTTGCAATAATCATATTTAGGGTGCATGAATGATTGCATATTTATAAAAGGGAAAATAGACATTTCTGATTTTTGGGGGGATTTTTTAGTACAGAGCAAATGGAAGAGAACATTGCAAGATAGATCACAGAGTTGCAAATAAGCCAATATGTGTCTGATTGATAACTTTTTGATTTTTTATCTGATTTCCTAAAACTTTCCCGGACCTGTCCCTCTTATTTCTGTGATTCGATCTATTAATATTAGGGTGGACATCCCCTTCAAGAGCCATAATCCTAACCCATCTTCAATCACTAACCTTCTTTCTTTATACCACGTGTATCCCTCCGGTGTATCTGGCGATGGATACCTAGTACGTGAAGATATATGGAACATAAAAGTGAATGCAAATGTATATTCATTACAGATTTCTGTCAAAACTTTTAGAATGTTTCAATCAGGTACAAATCTCAAACTTCAATTTAAAACAAAAAATGTATGTTCATATCATATTCTGTGTAACTTTGAAATTTTGCAGCTAGAAATCATTTTTTAAATTGAGTTGAACACCCTAGATTGAATTACAGGTCTAAAACCTTGAATTCTATTTCTTTTTCTGATTACCACCATGCTGCCCCCACCCCTCCCCTGCTTCTTCCTCCTTCTTTTAAATCCTATACCCTTAGGCAAGAAAAGCAAGAAAACATATCCCATTTCAAACAAGGGTTCACCATGCCCTCTCCAATTACTCCCTATACCCTCTAAGGACCCTCTGTTAACTCCTATAACAATCACCCCTAAAGCCCTCCTGCTCTCCAACTAGTCTGTCCATAACAACTTTTTTCATAACGGACCGAATTATACAATTATACAATACCATGGACAGCTTTAATATGAGTAGATTTAGACTTTGGTCTATTGTGCATGAGAGCCTAAATACCTCATGAAACTTGTTGGCCTGCTTGTTAATATTAGGAAAAGTGTTTTATTGAGGTTTAACTGAATGCCAAGTACAGTCTTGGATGTGAGACTAATCTCCAATCAGGTAAGGACCAGGTAAGGTCCATGTTCCTACTTACAAAGAAATTCATGTATTCTATTAACAGTAGTGTCCTTTGCATGATACCACCAAGCACATTTTTATGCTACACACACAGATCCATTTTCATGTTGTAAATCCTGTATTTTTCTAATTGCAGCAAATACATTTAATGAAAATGAATGAAAAGAAGTTCCACCTGTGAGAAACTACAACTCAAACTATTTGTGATGATAAGAGATAAAAATTTTGTAACATGTAAAGCTTTAAAAAAAGGGAGGAAGGGCAGTTCGATCACATTTGGAAAGTAAGATGACTGCGAATTGGTAAATGTGAACCAACCAATAAAGTTATGATGTCAATTGATTTGATCTATTTAGCTGCAGACATGATGCAAGTCAGAGAGAGGGAGAGAGGCAGAGAGATAGAGAGTAAGAGAGAAAGAGAGAGAGAGAGAGAGAGAGAGAGAGAGAGAGAGAGATGAGATGAGAGGAGCGAGAGACAGAGAGATACAGAAGGAGAGAGAAAAAATGGAAAGAGAGATCACAGTGACAAAGTGGAAAAGTGTAGTGACTCGATCTGATCCTGAGGGATTTCCAGCCCATTTACCGAAGGATCTCTGCTAAAATGCCCCAAATTATTTCTAAATCCGAGAATGCTTTGCCGTAAGACCGCCTGTGTCACCTCGGAACGTGGGAGGGGGAGAATTTGAATGATTGCGTGCTTGCGCCTCCTCCCCGCTCCTTTTCACTTCATAAACCTGACGTATGATGACAAGATGTAGAGAGACAGGGGAGAAAAATACAGGTCTGTCGAGGATCAAGGAAAAATACCAAGCGAGCAAAACAAATAGGTCCAAATCAAACTGATGTCTTTTTCTATAATAGACCACAGGTGCTGGAGACTGTTTATGCACTAAAGGGGGTTGGGAGAATGACGTAACAAAGCCAAGAAAGAAAAAAGTCTTGAATTTTTCAGCTCCTGTTTCTAACTTCAAAATTACAGAAAATTGCAGAATTTTTGTTTCTGAAACTCTTCCATACTTTTTATGATGAAATTGACACAATCTATAGCAATAGTCAAAGAAGAATGGATGAGAATAACTGAACATAATAGTGACCATACCCAAACTAACAACAAATGTGTATTAAACAGTAGCATCATAACACTATTGATCTATTTTGCTCCATATTTGTTGACCCTTTAAATAGGATATGATTTGGGGTTTCAGTCTTTTTTATAGATAATGTTAAAGTTCAAATTTGTTCAAGTTTGTATATCCAAATAACACCACATGAGTTCTTCAGAGATTTGTATATTCTTACCCGTTCTTGAGATTCTTGACGATCGTTTCTCCTGGTTCTCTCACCTCCCCTCGACTCTGCTCTAACTCTCCTGTCTGGATGGCATTCCACTGAGACTCCGACTCTACCATGTGATCACGTGACTTTGATCTGAACCAATCACAACACAGCAAATTGTTAATTAAATTAGTGGTTATATATGTACAAGTGCTTATAATCACATAAATTTTTAAGATGAATTTCATACAGACATATACAGTAGTTTTGATTTGATAGGTGAATAATTGATGCAAATCTATAGAGATTATAGGCATGCAGAGATTAAGAAAGGTAAATATGCCTATGGACCTTAAAAAGTGCTTCACTTTAGTGACCTTCATTTGATGTCTCATAGTTTTATTTACCGGTATCTAAAAGGCAAATTAACGAGTGAACCCCTTTTTTCAAATGATATACAATTTAATTTTGGATCGGTCATTTATCCAGCTTTATCTTTTCACATACCTCACACTATGAACATGACAGACAATGAAAGCGGACAAAATATACAGTTCCTCAGGTAGACAAAGGAACATCCCTTCACTGCTATTATGTAAAAATGTGTAGAACAGGTGAATGCATGTGACACATTTTTACATAATAGCAGTGAAGGGATGTTCCTTTGTCTACCTGAGGAACTGTATATTTTGTTCACTTTCATTGTCCGTCATGTTCATAGTGTCAAGCACATGTTTTGTGTTAAGGAGGGAACTTAACATGTAAAATGTCACTGAACTTTTAAATACAAGTATGCCAGCATTTTCTCACAGTTCTTACGCAAAGTACGACCATGTGTCAATATCTTCCATATGAATGACTGAGAAATTCTTTTTTCATGCAGCGTGCAGAACTTTCATTCCATGCTCTATACAGTCTTCATCATGACATTATATTAGATGTACACTTTATATTATTCTCCTACAGCCTAATTAACATTTAATGTTCAATTTTCACAGATAAGTATATTCACAAACTACACCATCATCTGAACAAATCTTGCTGACTGACAAAAACGCCCACCAAAACAAGTAACTATTGACAACCAGAAAGCATGCAAGAGACTTTTGTACGCACCACTAATCTTATCTATCCATCTGATCACACTAAACATGGCAGTATTGAATAATCCAAACTGATACTAGGATTTGGATGGATTTTATAAGAAATAACTACATGGCTATGAGTGTGGGGTATAGTGATTATAAACGTATACATGTATCAATAGAAATTATATATTTAGTTAATCATATAGCAGTTATAGATAACATTTAGTTCACTTTTGTAAACTAATAAAAATGAGTAGCATTTTCACATGATTTTTTTTATTAATAATTTTTTGAGCAATGTGAATGACATTATCAAAGACCCAGATTAAATGACTTCTAAAATTGATTGTGTTTGACTTTTGTGGGCAAATGAAAGGTTTTTGAAAATCCTAAAAAATCGTTTAATATTTCACCCTCCGTGTGATCTATCGCTCAATCCTCCTCTCCTCACAATGAATTTAACATCTCATCTATTATTCTTTCATGTGTATAGAGTAAAGATGCCATTACATGAAAATGAATTCCATATGATACAAAGTGCAAACACATCACAAAGTTCAGGTGGTGTCGACATATCTCACACGTACATGGCACCTGTTTTTAATTTGGGCTAAATAGCAGCGGCAGTGACTTTGGATGATTTAATGGGTGTATGGCATGCGAAATGAAGGAAGGTATTCATTCTGAATCCTTCTGTCTTTTCATGTCTGTCTCTGTATCTCTTCCCCTCCCGCCCTCTCTTCATCTTGTTTCATCTCCCCTGTACGATCCGATTTCAGAGCATACATGTAGAATAGAAGCTAATGCACCATTTATCAAATCTGCTTTGGTATCATGTTTTCTTTTCAAATATGAATCAATGGAGATGGCACATTTTTCTGAAAGGAGGTAAAAACTTTCTTAAAAATGAAGGGGTCATCATCATTTTTATACATATATCACAATACTGTTTCCCACTATCTAGCAAAAGTAAGAGCCACATCAGTGGCCTCTGCCAGGTCCCCCTCAGTGCATGGTTGGGTGATAATGCCCAACAGAAAAAATGAGTGGGCCAGGTACCCCCTTCCCCATTCCCATAACAGAAAGAAGAATTATGCTGACATCGGTGGGATATGGACCCATGCAATCAAAGTGACCAGTGACTCAAACCAGAGCACTGTGTCTGTGTTCAGTAAGCACATCAAAATAATGGTCCTAGGTTATGGTAATAATTGAAGTTGAAAGTTCTTTACCATCATGGTGGCAGCAGTGGGATATGAACACATGCAATCAAAATGACCATTGACTTAAACCAGTGCACTGTGACTGTGTTCAGTTTAATACCACCCCAAAACAATGGTCCTATGTTGTGGTAACAAATGAGGTTGAAAGTTCTTTATTGTCGTGGTGACAGAGGTGGGATATAAAACCATGCCATGAAAATGACTGGTGACTCAAACCATAGTTATATATCTTAGTTGAGAATCACATGCATATTGATTAGATGCCAATGCAAGGTCAAATGCCAAAGAGAGTTAGGTTAGTAAGGGATTTGAAGTTGATCATCATCCAAAAGACAGTAAATCTGATCTTGCATTTACCCTCAATCATTGTCAATTTGAGCTGTCTTCAGTGAACAGGTGGGATAGAAAACGAAAGAAATAGAAAAGACAGAAACCAAGGAATCTGCTACCCCGCCCCCTTCCAAATTAAATCTACACCAAACTCTCACGAGCATAACCTATTGCTTGAATCGTATCATAGATAGCAATTCCTTTTCTAGACTGATAGCAGTTCAACATCAAGTATAAAAAATTGACATTTACTTCTCACTCCCAATTGCTCATTCCTTTCAATATCTCCCGCATGGTATCAAATCATTATGGGTTAAAAACCAAGACGTCTGACTGATGAACATTGGGAAGTATCATGAAAACAGAGGGAGCCCGATCATTCATCTTCATTAATTTTTCATACGGAAATTAAAGACAGGGCACAGGGTTAAGACCTCTCCATGCGGATCATGTACAAACAAGCTATAACAAAAAGTTTGTAGCCATACAGTACATGCTTGGCACTGTGCCCATGCACGTTTGCCTCACTTAATCGCAATATGCTCTCTTCCATAACTGTTATGCACATTTAGGGGTTGTGCACCTAGCATATCACACTGCCTGTATGTAGGATATGCCTATGTCGATGGGAATAGGCCTGTTTGGGGAGTTGGAACTTGCCATTTTTGGCAGCTCTGTAATTTATCCCTTGGTAGATGAAGTGTCACTTCCACATGTGCTCTCATACATCTCCCCCATTTTCTTTCCACCTAACTTCTTTTATCAATTTTCATTGTTGTTTGGATCTAGCTATGTTAGACTGTTAGCGACTCTTGATACATAAGAGCTTTTTGCAGACATATTACAGGTATAAAATACAATATTTTAAGATCAATAAAATAAAGTAAAAATACTTTTCTAAGGCTAAATTTGAGAATCAAGCATGAAGGCAAACAAATCAAACAAAAGTTTTACACATGGTCATATCATCTGTATATAAATAAATACTAAAAGGCATTGAAACTCACCTTCTCCGATGCCTTCCCTCTCCATCACTCCCACTACTATCTCGTGACCTAGACATAAAGAAAAACAAAATATAGATTTTTTTTTTTAGGTGGAAGCATTTGTTTGTACAAAAAAACACATCTCAAACTAGAAGAAGAAAAAAACAAATTACAAACAAAAGTGCAATTAAAGAAGGTATAACGCAGGAGATAGCTTGGAGATAATTAGAAAATATTGAGTCAAATTTTAAAAAAATCATTAAAACGTCTAAAGAGTAAATGCACAATTATGACAGGTGGATGATGAGCACCGGTAGCCATTACGTGCCCTTCTGTGTTACACTTTCCATACTCTATGATCTTTTCTCCACGTTAGTTTGTTTATTCACTCACTTTCTCCTTCTCCTCCTCCTCCGATGACTTGTCTCATCTCCGCTAGCCTCTGACCCTGTTAATGACCTTCGGTACCTGTACAGATGAAAAAGAGCCACATCTAAATTAATTTGGATCATAGGAACAGATAATTTCAATACTTCTTCATTATGAGATATTGATATATACATGGGGAAAAAAGATTTAGAATCAAGCCAAAGTATATGATATTACTACAACTGGGTCAAAGTAAAAGTAACAGATCAATTAATTATGTTTTATAGACTACCAATACAATGAATACAAAGATTCATTACATTCTTCAATTTCAAGGCTATTCCCTGGTGGCTTTATTTCATGAATTCCTAGTCAAGGCACCAAATGGCATTCTGTGAGTAATCGATTCTGAATATCATTTACCTGTATTTCCTAGAGCTAATAGACTCTGTCTCGCTGCCTGATCTGTCACCATGGTGATGTCTCCTCCTTGGTTTGTGTGCACTTCTTGTTGTGACAGGTGACTCACCGCTCCGTGTGAACAAACCCCTGTATGCCATGGAAAGGAATAGCAATGAACATTGTCCTTCCTTTCTTTATTCCCAGGTGAGCACACAGACTTAAAGTGTCTTCATCAAATGATCTTTAAGTTATGGAAAACAAATCCAAGTTTGTCCTTAGAATGAAGAGCAAAGAATTGCATGCTACAGACATCAACAACAACATCATCATCATCACCATCACCCTCACCATCATCATCACCATCATCACCACCATCACTATCATTTATTTTCACTATCATCACCGTCATCATTATAACCATCATCAACATCATTATTAACATCACCATCATCATCACTATCATTTTCACCATCATTGCCATCATCATCCTCATCCTCCTCATCCTCATCATCATCATCATCATCATCATCATCATCATCATCATCATCATCATCACCACCACCACCAACACCACCACCACCACCACCACCACCACCATCATCATCATCATCATCATCATCATCATCATCATCATCATCATCATCAATATCATCATCACCATCACCACCATCACCACCACCATTATCACCATCATTATCCTCTTCATCCTTACCTATCAGATAGAGCTCCATCAGCATCATCCCACGGTACAGACCTGATACTGATACCAGAGGTTGGACTCTCTCTACCACTCATCTGACTGTGTGCCCTGGAGGCAAAGAGAAAGAATATGCTTATTAAGTTCTACTTGAATAATACAAGTTATGAATCTTTGTAATTTTTCCATGGTTTTAAGGCCTGTACTTAGATATCTAAGATGAACATAAGGAAGGTTTTAACTATCATCTCCAAGAATTTACTTCAGATTGCTATCAGCTACCAGTTATGACAAATGCAATCAATGACAATTCTCACAGCAGGAACATCATAGTGAGTAGGTTAGAGAATTTACTGCGAAAGCAAAGTAAGCCAATTCACAGTTCTAGATTTTTTGTGGGACAAGCTTCATGTCCATGTTAGCTGAACGTCAGTAGTTTGTTGCCCAGCTGGCAGAAGGGCGTGGTTAGCGACTCGAAAACTACTTTTCAAATTATTTGCATTTAAAGATTTGTGCTTTACTGCTTTACATCCCGAAAATTGGTTTACAACTTAAAAGACTAATAGAAATGTTATAGTAGAACACGGCCACAATTTCTTTTCGGAAATAAGTCAGTTTAATAAAAGTTTGAGGCGATTTATAGTGATTACGCCCTTCTGCTTAGCGCTTCATTTTTTACCTGAAATTGGAGCTTACACCCTTCTGCCAGCCAGGCATCAAGTTTTCAGACTGAAATCCCTTACCTGACTTATTACTGATATCTACATGATGTCTAAAGTTCCAATAACTCACCTCCTAACTGCTTCAGGAGCTATGGTCTTGGCAACCCTACCAGATGACATCATCATCCCATCTGCCTCCTCCACACCCAGTGATCCGTTCATCATCAGAGAGGAATGGTTGATGTAAAGGCTCTCATCCACATCATTGCCAGCAACTCTCCTGAGGTAGCGTCGGCTTGGGACCCTCTGGACTTGGGGCTCAGGTCGCCTCAGCCTCATCGAGTTCTGCAGTGCCTCCTCCTGGGTTCTGAAACTGAAGAGGTAAAAAAGAGAAAGTTAGACAAATTATTAATTTAACTTTATCAAACCTTTTATGTGAAAATTTAGAATAATTTATTCACCTAGGGACATTCTGGACCTGAGGCTTGGGATGCCTGATCATCTATCATATTTCACATTCACATATAACTCTGCCACATGTATCAAAATGATATTACGTCAGTCTATGGAGTCTCAACTAATTACACGTTAAGAAACGATGGTTACATTCACCTGTTCAAAAGTCATTGCTGTTAAAAGTGATTTAGTACGAGGTCAGTCGTGCAGGACAAAGAACAGTCTTTAAAGCCATCACAAGCATTCATTGGCAGAAGGAACAAGGAAATTATTATATTACGTATATATGAATTGTGTCATAGTTTTCTAAACTTCAAAGCAGTTCTGAGCAGCAGTAGTAATAAAAGTGAATTCATATATGATATGGCATTAACTTATTTTCAAGAGCATTCATGGAGGAGTCAGCTGTTCTCTGAACAAAAGTTAGTATAATCGAAAAAAATATCACTAATGATATTCGTTTGTCTCGCAATGTATGGTCAACAATGGATCTATATAAAAGGTCATGACGTTTTGTGCGCTGCTGCAACACTTTGTCAGGTGATGAAATATAAAATAGTATAATGTTGTATAAAAAGTACGGTACTAAGAGAGAAATAAACTATAAATACCTGTATCTGCTGCCATTGCTCTTGAGTGACTTTGTGAGCGTTCCATTGCGTTCTAGCATTGACGGTCTTAACCTGAAGAACATATGCTGCTCTATATAACACTGGAATAGATGCTTGCAGGATCTGTGCGATGGAAGGGACCAAGAGGACTCCTGAAAGACACAAGGGTGTATGGAACAGGAGTGTTTAAGAGCACTGAACATGTGGCTGTATGGTATGGTGTAACTGCATGGGGGTGGGGAAGGCAGGGTTAGTTTCAATTTCCTCCAGTCACCTTCAAAGTTCAGATTCCCTTATTATAGCTATAACATCCTAATACCATTAGGAGAGACCTGTGAAACCTTACCCATACATGCTGTTAGAGCAGTTTAATGGCCTACGATAACAGAAGAGAAGCCCCATGAGTTTAAGGACAGTCCTTTGTAACTGAGCAGACAGCATTAGAACTCTAAAATGTACAATTTTTGCATTGGCGCAATGGTTCAGTGGTAGAACAGTGGTCTCATGACATTCTAGCCTCGGTTTTGAAGCCCAAGTCGATATGCTTTTGCCCTTTGGTAGGTATTAATCCTCATTACAAAGTCCCTCAGAGAGGACCTGAAGCCGTCGGCTTCCTGGTTGCTTACTTACAAACATACACATGCTTTCTTATAGCAGTCAAGTAAAGAAACAAACAAATGAACCAATCTCTGAGCTAAGTCTGACATGGGATTATGAGAAACAAATAGCTGTGTTGTCATACACAGGAAACCTGAAACATTAATTTTCCTAGGAAAGTACTCTTCTAACACACCTCACAGACATTTTACCATAGTTAAAGGTAATACAAAGTTTTGGGAAATTTTGAAAATTGGGTGGATAGTGATTCTTTACAAGTTTGATATATTTGGATGCCCCTGTGGATGTATTATAAGCACTAGAAAATTTAGCCCCTAAAATACTTCTGCTTTTGAAAAAAAAAGTATTGTACCTGACATGTTTTGGGAAGCTGTCTTGGTATGACAGAAGACATATCAGTTTTTGCCATTAAGTCTTGAAGATTGAGGAAAAGATACTTTAAGTTATTTTTAACTCCTCATCCATCTATCCCACCCAACAAAACTACAGGACTGCTAAGAAGTGCTCTAGAGTCAAGTGCCTCATTGCTAACAGGTATCAAATAACAATATTTAGGTCATGAACAAGCACGGCAGGTTTTTTAAGTGTTGGGCACGTTGCATATGCCGCATTAGAACAACATTCATGTTGGCCGACCACCTGGCCTGCTGTTTATTGAAACAATACAAAGAGTGAAGTGAAACTGGAAGGTAGGGATGCCAAGTTAAAGGTACTATGTCCCTTTTGCAGCCAACCTCAAATTCTGTAGAACTTTGCAGGAATTATGGTATATGTCATGTATGTCCTATCTGTGAAATTTAAACATTAGCAGTGTCCTCATATTCAAATTATGCAAGGAAACCTGTTTACTTGCTAGACTTCACTGTCAGACACTATTGAGTGACTGACTGGCTTTTTCCTTCTTTGGTAATAACATACATGAAAAGAGTTGTAAAGGGTACATGAGCGTTTGTCTACATCAATAACCAACTTCTTGTGATGGCCAAGATTAAACTGATTAAATCTTTGCCCAGCATAAAACGTATGACCATTTGGTACAATTGTCTGAAAATCAAGACTATTACTTTTGGGCTCTATAGCCCTAAAGTCGATTTGACAACTAATAGTCATTATTTTCCCACTTGAAGACATTTTCAATCCCCACCTTTTTTAGGGAAGTTCTAAATATGTATTATCTTTCAAATGCAGTTGGAATTTAACTTTTTCATTTTTTTGGCCTGCAAATGGGACATAGTACCTTTAACGCGCAGAAAATTGGGAGACACTTGGAAAGTTTGGGTGTAACTGTAAGATACGGTAACAGTTTGCTTTTTGTGCATGCTAGGTATGGGAGAAAAAAAATAAAGAAAGACACAGAGAGACAGGTAGATACAGAAAGAAGAAGAGAGAGAAGAGAAGAGTAGAGGATTGAGAGAGTGAGAGAGGGTGAGAGAAATGTGTGTGTGTGTGTGAGAGAGAGAGAGAGAGAGAGATAGAAAAAGAGAGAGTAGAGAGAAAGAGAGACAAGAAGAAGAGAGAGAGACAGAGAGAGAGAGAAGACAAAGAGTACATAACAATTATAATGGAAAAAGGGTGAGAGAAGAAATACAGATGGGAGAAATAAAGAGAGAGTGAGCACTATTCTTTGTCTACGGTAGTTAAAATACATTGTTTGTCTAACTAGAGTCGAAAAATATGTTTGATTTTCTTTCCCCTTTTCAATTCTCTTCAACTTCAAATTCTCACCTAATGTTAGCTTTTCATCAATTTTATGATCTTAAAGAACGCTGAGCATGATCTCATAGTAAACAAGACACACAAATGGGCCATAAAATTCAACATCCACATACTTCTCCAAAATCATAAATGAAGGGGGGGGGGGGCTGTAAATGCTTGACAGCTGAAGTTTTGAAAATATGGGCTACGCCAATTAAAAATATATGTTTGCCCCTGTTGATTGATGAGTCAGGTGTCAGAACAGTTGAGGTATGTTTTATCTGTGATTTCATTGTGTGTTTAAGGAACATAAATGTCACTTATATTACAGGAATGAATGCCTCTTCTGATTTGTTGCTACACAACAATTTGTCAACAGTATCTATTTCATTCCACTTTGCCAGGGGGTAGGATTGGCCTGTCTCCTTCGATTCATGTCAAATTTCTACCCGTTTCTGTCTAAAGCTGTCTCCCACTCCATCTCTCTCTCTCTCTCGCTCTCTCTCTCTCTCTCTCACACACACACACACTTTCCCACTCGTTTTATACATATTATGTCATTTTCATTTATCTCTATATCCATTCCTCAATTCCTATTCTCATCTATCTGTCTAATTCTCCTTCTTTCTTCATCATACTTCTGCACTGCTCAATCTCCTTACGGTCACTTTTCTCTATATCTCACTATTTTTTAAAATTTGTTCTCCCTTCCTTCTACCTCTATCTCTTTCCCTCTTTTCCTTCATTACCTCTTCCTACTGTCCCTTCATCATCGTCCACCTCTATCACCCTTACTACCCCCTCCCTATCTCTCTCTCTTCCCTTCTTTCTTTCTCCCTCTCTCTCTCTCTCTCTCTCTATCCTTCTTTCTTTCTCCCTCTCTCTCGCTCTCCTCTCTCCACTCTCTATCTCATCTTCCATTTCTTCATTGCACATTCAACCCACCCCCTCCAATTTTACAGCACTATTAAACAAAACAAGTTTTATAATTTTGTTTCGTTCTCATCTATCAACATCGAGCTAGAGTATACATACCAAGAGGGAGAGAGTACTGGGGATTTTGGGGGTTTATTTTCTCTCTAAGTGTAATGGTTTTGATGAGTGAGATGAGCCTTATCAAATCAAATAACACAAGACATGTTTTCCCTTATAAAACTACTTGTTTTGATCCTTATAACCTCCTTTATGGAGACAGAAAAATGAAGCTTATCTTTCTACAGCTATAAGATATTTCATACAGTGATATTATTTATTTTCTTAATAAAAATTGTACTTAAAATGCAGATCAAAAGTAGTTTTATAGGCTTTCTTAAAGCTTTTTTTTTTTAATGTAAAATGATTAAATGAATGAATAAATAAGTGAACAAATACACAAAGGGTATATAAATAACAATTGACATCACCTAAGTTTCAATAAGGAATAAGTGTTGAAAACTAAATGAAATCGGCTGCCACTATCATATTAACCGAATCCTAAGCCAGAGATAACCAAAAATTGGGTACATGACTACTGTATGTTATGCTGAAATCAAATTGCATTCAATGGGTTAATTTCTTCCATGGTCTTGACAAAATCAATATAAATAGTCAATATTACATGAATATGACAAGTACATCCACAGAAAAAAGTCAAAATCTTCGAGATATACAATGTAGAATGTAAATCACAATGTCTGAAATCTTATAAATGCCAAGGTCAAGTCTGAAACACTTGCTTGTTTTCTCCACTGAATGCTGTTTAACTATCAAATTCAAGTTGGTAAATAATTTCTCAAAAAATGATAACATTTAATGAGAAATAATGGCAAGTTGAATGAATAAAACAATAACCCAACCCCAACAAGGAAAACACAAGAAGAAGAAAAAGAAAAAGAGAAAGAAGAATATAAGGAGGGAAAAAGAAGAAGAAGAAGAAGACAAAACAACAACAAACAAACAAACAAATGACACAACAATCATCACTGAGTTATGCCCCCCTGGGACCAAAGAACTTCTACAGAGACTTGGAATTAAACTCATCGTCATTCCATTTTCAGCGAAATAATGTTATAGTGTCATGCTCTTGAATACCAAAGCATCATTTCTCTGAACATATTAAATAAATCAGTGAAATTTATGAAGGTTATAAAGAAAGAAGATCTCCTCATTACCTTGCCTTCAACCGTGATCTTGAACTCTGTAAGTCTGAAGTTCATCTGTTTGATCTTTGACCTGTAACAAGGAGAAAATAAGAGCTTTTTGGTATTAAATAGGTTTGGTAGGATAGGAGTATAAGAAAAGATATTAATGAAGGAAAGATAATGGATTATAAAAAGATTGTACAAAATTATGAAAAGGAGATGGGAAAAAATGAGAAGATGAGAATGAAAGAATCGAAAGATAGGAGAGAATGAAGGGGGAGAGGAGAGAACTAGGTTGATGGAGAAGGACTGAGAATAATAATCTTGCCCTATCTTTAGAAGTACGATGGAAAATTGAAATAATCACCAAAAGTGCATAATGTATTTCTCTGCATTACTCTATACCAAAACAGTAAAATCTTTGTAAAAGTACGGACTAATCATCTACATGTATCACAAACTAAATATAGTTTGGTAGTAATAGAAAAGGATAGACAAGTAATTTTGACTCTCTTATAACCCTCACAATATTTGCTCGGCTCTACTCACCAGTTGTATAAAGCAACCCTCTTTTTGTTGTGGTAGATGACCACACCCTTGGGCGTGGTCCCTAGGAAGTACTCTATGTGGTCTCCGCCTACCACTGGACACAGGTCTACCCCGTACATCTCTAGGCGCTTGGCCCTGTCCAGGAACCCCATCTCTGCTTTCGAGGGTTGAAGACTCCTGAAATAAAGAAAGAAAAGAACACAAGTGAGCTCATGGTCTGGAAGAAACTGTGATGGCAGTGGTAAAGAGAAGTGGATTGAGACTGGGTCATGGGTTGAGAAGGGAAAATGATGAATCTGTGAAAAGAACATGGGATCTGGAAGTGGGTGGCATAAGAGAGAAAGGGAGACCAAAGATTTCATGGATAAATATGGTGAAGAAAGAAAGCAGTAAGGTTGGTCTAAATGAGGAGGATGCCTGGGACAAGAAGAAATCAAGGGAGGGAGGGTACCTAATGCACAGTTGGAAGTATATCCTATTCAAAGATATTTGTCAATCTTGATGATAGCGAAATGTATCTGAAATGGATGAAGTACTGGATTTAAATTGCTTGGTGAGACCACTGACAGTTAATAGTGATTTACAGAGTTGCATTTAATTCAGATTACGAAGAGCAGAGATGGCAAAATGATACGAAAACTAGTAGTTTTGTGCATTGTGCAAGAGAGGATATGATTTTTTTAAATTGGAAGTGTGAATCTTACCTGAGTTTTTTATGATGTTCTGAGATAGCTTTCTCCAGCTCTTCAGTCTGATTAGGAACGAAACGGAACTCAGAAACATAGCTCGCTGGATGAAGCTCTTGGTCATAATCTCCTAATTCAGCTTCAAGAGTCAAAGATAAAAGGGAAAATTAATTGAATCATACTGAATGATTAATCGTTTTGATGATAATACAATTTCAGCAAAGAGAATAGTCTTCATGTACATGATTTCCTTTTGTCCTTAATGACTTTTTAATTTATACTATACTGTTGTCATGGTAATAGTATTAGACACATTGTTCTGGTTTGGTTGGTGAAAATCTGACAAAAAGTGAACAATAATACAAACTTCTGGCTTATAAGCCTTGTATACTGTGTTAAAATAAAGTACACCCCTGGCCAACTCTCTTGGAAGCATTCCAATATTTTTGTTTTCATTGAGGGATATTCATGTTTTCTTGTTGCCCCAGTACTAAAAGGTTAGTCACATGAAATGATTACTCAATATCAAGAGAACCAGATGTTTATTCAACTATTTCTTTATTTATGTTCAAGATGCACATTCTAAGATAAAGTAAAATAAATATACCTTTGATCAAACAATGAGTCATACAAGTACACTTGTTTCTAAACATGAATGAATATTTGCACACATTGCTTAGACATTTGAATACAAAAACGCATGTATGCTCCATCAATATGGTACCGGTAAGTGTCATATGCATGTCTCAATACATGTAAGTGTATGTAAAACCACCAACAAAATAAAACAATACATATATTTACTTTATGACTGATATATTTGTATTTGGTCTTATCCTAATGGGACTTTGCCCAGGTTTTGTTTAAGAATTATTTTATCTGATTAAAGTTGCATCCATAGAGCGTGACAAACAAACAACCACAAACTGAAACAATTTGAAAAAAAGATTAATTATAAGCATACTATATCTTCATTATCATGATTTATCAATATTTGTATATAAGCAATATGAAGCCAATTATAAGTATGACACAATTGAAGATAAGAGTACAAATATATTTCATAATCAGGCACGCTGAAAAATATATACCCCAGAGGATAATTAATAAATGTTATTTTTCAAATGCATGGCAATTACCGTAACTTAAAGCTGTTTCTGTTGCTTGTTCTTAAAGTTCGAACTTTTTTTCTCTCTTTGGTATTTATAATCCATAAACAAGCAATACGTTGAAGATTTAAAATAGAATAAGACTTACACCATAATTACCACATAAGAATTTAATATCAATATCAAAACCTTGTATTGTTTTTGCTGCATTGTCCCCGTCCTTGCCAATTTATACATTACATGCACTGGCGGATGCACAAGTACAAATAGTAGTAACTGCAATTTTTTAAAAGTAATCCTTTCAGACTTCAGAGGGTTGGGCAAGCAAACAATCCTTTTGTTTCCTGGTTGAAATTGTACAAACACTACACTTGTACATGTTTGGGAAGCTCTGCACAAGGTTTGATTCAAAGTTGGCTGATTCTAAAGAATGTGCAAACAAACTAGTTGACCGACAATGATTTTCTCACAAAAGAGTCATATTTACACACTCCTCTTCAACCTAATGTTCCATGCAATAAAAAGGAAGAAAAAAGTGGAAGGCTTATGTTCTGAATGTATCCATTTCTCATGACAATTTTCAATGTAAGTTAGAAGTATGGAAACATGTTGCTGAAGATAAAAATCTACAGCTATTTTCTCTCTTTTTTTTACACACTAAATAATATATTTACAGACAAACACATGTTTTTCACCCCTAGTTCCAAATTAAAATTGAATGATACATCACTGATACATGCCTAAAATCTCTTACCAAAAAAGACCTTAATCCCTCTTATATTGCAGAAATCCACCCTGCTATTCAGTTGGTATCAATTTAAAACCAGAGAAATAAAAAACAGTTCATTGATAATTTGAGGAAAATCCTTCCGAGGATAACAAAGTTATGAATAGTTAATGTTGACAATCAATCAAACACAAATTAGCAATTCTGTGCCATACCGCTTGAGCACCTGTCCCATTTGTTTTGTCCTGAAAATTGCATAAATTCTCATTTTCTTTGAGGTTGAAGACAGAATAGATCTGTTTCATGATAATAGCTGTTCTGAAGAAAAAAAAGCGTGTGCTTTTATTACCGGTATATATCTAGGACGTAGAATTACCACAAAGAATTTTTTTTTAATTATGAATTTTTTAGTACAGAGCAAATTTATGGGAGAGGTGCTTATAAGGTGTATTTGCCAATTTGAGCTTGATTGATCGCAAATTCAATACTGCATAACTATTTTTTCTTCTTCATCAGATTTCCCCCTCAAATATCCTCTTATCTGTTTTTGTTATTTTGAGTCTGCTCCCCTTTAAGGACGCAGTACGAGAGGCAAAGCAATAGAGCTAAACATTTCGCTTATTATGGAAGTTCATTCTCCTGCTACAGTACATGTAACAGTGCATTTGTTGATCCAATATGATCCAACAAGATTATGCAAATAGCGATTGAGTGTACTTGCGGATTAACATAAATTTGTCTTTATTCCATATCGGTTTATTCTTAGTGAGTGTAAGCAATGATAAAATTTAAGCTATATGAAGTCAACATAATTTCTTCATTAATAAACATCTATTTGGACCCAGAACGGCGTTGACTCATGTTCGCTTTAAGGGTACTATGTCCCATTTGCAGCCAACATCAAATTCTGTAGAACTTTGCAGGAATTATGGATATGTCACATACATGTACTGTATGTCCTATCTGTGAAATTTAAACGTTAGCAGTGTCCTAATATTCAAGTAATGCAAGAAAACTATTTCACTTTCTAGATTACTCTGTCAGACACTATTTAGTGACTGACTGACTTCTTTATTTTCTTTGGTAATAACATACAGAAAATGAGCTGAAAAGGGTACATGAGCATTTGTCTACATCAATAACCCACATCTTGTAACAGCCAAAATTAAACTGATTGAATCTTTGCGGAGCACAAAATGTACAACCATTCAGTACAAGGATCTGAAAATCAAACTATTATTAGATGAATTGCAATCACAAAGTCGATTTGACAACTAGTGGTTGTTATTTTCCCACTTAAAGACATTTTCAAGCCCTTTTGTAAGGGATGTTCTCAATTAGTATATTATCTTTCAAATGCCATTGGAATTTAACCTTTTCAATATTTTGGCCTGCAAATGGGACATTGTACCTTTAACACAGAGTTAGCACCCCTCTGGATCTGAACAGATGAATATTGGTTTATTTTGAGTGAGTGAAAGCAATGATGTGATTTATACATAAGCTTCATGAATGATACAGATATGATTCTCAGATACATCTCATCATTTCAAGAGTGATACTCTTCAGCTTTAGATTTACCCTCTCTCTCTCTCTCTCTCTCTCTCCCCCTATAAAGTGATTTTTCTCTCATTTTCACTCCCTTGTGAGCCATGTCAGTGATCACTCAGTTAGGAGTGAATATCGATTAATTAAAGAGTTCCTTAAATCGAAAATAGTGATTTTTAGTCTCTTTTCCCATTTATTGCCACTCCACTCTATGATCTCTCCCTGTAATTCACATACCACAGCGTACATCATTTACTGTTTGAAAAGACAAATCTAGGTTTATATCAAGCCAGTGGCTAGTATGGTGAGACTGCTAACAGAATCAATTCAATGGCAAAGAGGAAAGAAAGAGAAAAGTTCAACTGGTTATGATGAAATAGGATTACTCTTGCCATATATACTCATAAATAACATTATATCTCATCTGAAGTGAATAAATATTTCAATGCGCTATTCAAAAGTCAATACTGGGACTTACAGAACATGGGTCTTTGACCTCTTACAAGAAAACTTCACGATTTATTCACTGATTTATTCTAGATGCCTCTCCTCTAGTCAGTCCCTTAAAAGCTCTTCTATAAATCACTTCACAGTTCACCTTTTATACATTGTCATTCTAAAAAGTTAACTAAATACATCCCTGATCCGCTGAAAATAGACTGGAAGGGAAAGAGGAAACACACACATGTCCAAAGTGAGCTTCATGCTGACGATCTCGGAAGCTGCATGAACTTTTCTTCGTATCAAGGAGCCCTTAAAAGGAACATTTAGATCACTGCATTGTCAGGAAGAAAAAAATGTTTCTCTAGAATTGTCAACATAAAGTTCACTGTCTTCTGTTGAAGTTTTATTTGGGTTGTTTTATAGAGAAGGCATTAACTTGTCTGTTTAGAGCCAGAACGACATTAAGTCTGTGTTAAAGTATATATTAAAGTTAAGGCTATTCTTGCTCCATACAGATGAACATGTATCTTTATAGAAAAAATAAATCTAGAAGGGTTAGCAAAATATAGGATGATGATACACATTGATGGTTTCTTTATTTTTTTTTTTTGCATATCTTACACTTCACTCAATGCTTTTGTCATTCATAAATAACTAATGGAATTTGCCTTATGGAGATGCACAATAACGAGATACTTCAAAGAACCTTACACTTGAAATAAATACAAAAGTCACTTTATTTCTCTTCTCATCCCCCCCCCCCATCCCTCACCCCTTCTCTCTCTCTCTCTCTCTCCCTCTCTCTCTCTCTCTCTCTCTCTCTCATGATTTTCTTTCTTTCCTTTTATCTCTGTCATTAAAAACTTACAAACTCTTTCTTTGTTTTCTCTTACAAAGTCAGTATATCAAAGTTGTGTGGGGCATATGAAGTAAACTTTCTTAAAACCAAACTACATGTAATTTTACTGTAATCTAAACACAGACAAATCACTATAAAGACACTCAAGTTTCGTGAATTTTTATCTCTGCTAAAAGGTTTTGAAAGTGTTCTCTCTGAGTGACACAAAACATTTTACAAATTTTTCTTTATCTTCACATCATGTCTGAGAGCTAGTGGTAGGACCAAATCTACAAAACAGCATGATTATCACACTGTCTCTTTGGAGCCAGAAAGGGTATAAACTCATATAATTTCTTAACAGTTTTGCCCTTCTATCTCCAAATAGACGCGCAATTTATAGCTATTTGCTTTCTGTCCCACTGTGTCAGGTCAAAGGTCAAATGTAGCCTTACATGTCCTGCAAGCCATAA